TGATACTATACATAATATCATCCACATCTTTAGACTTTAGACGATTTCAAAAAAAATTAGAATCTGATTGTTCGTTGTTTTCTTATTTTCTCGCTTATACCTCTGTTCCCAGGGCGGAACATTAAGTTGATTCGCTGTGAAAATGTAGCCATAAGTGAACGGATACTTTTTTTTACTAATACTATGCCCAAAAAGTTGTTAATAGTGGAAACTTTTCACTGTAGACCTTTGAATGATTTAAAGGAAAATAGTTTCAAAAATTATTTTCTTCCTTGGAACTAGTTTATACTTTTAATAAAAAAAAATTTACATGGAATCGAAACTATTCTGTAAATTCAATATTTCGGATGCTATATTTGGAACTAGGACTAGTTAATTTGTGCAATAATAAATTCGGAACTAGTTCCGTTCGCTAAAATACCGTTGTGAATAACGTAAATTTGGTGTGCAAACGAGCCTTTGGAAGTGGAACTAGTTCATTGGGGCAATAATGAGTTCGGAACTAGTTCCGATCATAGATTATTTTTAGCCAAAAAATAAAAACTACTTAACCGCATACATCAAAGTGCATGCCTCGCCTCGTGTCGGCCCCCACCGAACTGGTTCCGTAAACCTGCTCTTGGCATTTTGTAAATTTCCATACCATCGCGCGACGTTCCGAACGGAATGGAATGGAACGAACGAAGCGAACTGGAATTTCGCAGACAAATCGTCTGCCAGCCCAGGCAACAGACTCGCGGCAGACGACAGACAACTGAAAAGCAGAGAAACAGAAAACAAAAAAATAATACCAATGTCTGTGGCTCGAAAAACGCATTCCGAACAAATAAAAATAAATGAAACTTTTGGCATTTAAGCGAATGAAGCTGCAGGCAAGAGGCTTATAAAATAATACCCGCAACAAATCAATTAGCTGCGGCCCCTCTTTTCCGATAAGCCACCCCGATAACCATAAACAAATTGTGTGTTGGGAAAAGAAAAAAAAAGACTGAAAATAACAGAAAGACTGAAAGGCGGCAAAGGTAAAGATTGACTATTGTCGATTGTGTCGTCGTCGTTCGTCGTCGACGTCGACGTCGTCTACGGCGGCATCTGATCCACTAATCAAGGTGCATTTATATGCCCAGCGGATCCGATGGCGATAATTACAACCTGATTGAGATAGCCGACCCAGGGAGAGAGAGAGGGCTGGGGTCTGGTCTTCGGCAGAGGTTGTTCCGCATACGAAAATTAAACAGAAAATGAGGAATGAAAAACGAATTTCAATTTAGTTCCAAAAACAAATGCACTTTCCCAATCAATTCGCCTCCCTCGCCACCCCAGTTTCTGTTTCAGTTTCTGTTTGACTTTGAACTTGAAAATTGGTAATGCTGCGTCGATGTCTCCCGCCCCTCCCCGCTCCACGGCTTGGCAACCGCTGCGGATACGTAACAAACGTGCGCACATTTCCTACAAGATTTCTTTTCTCTGTGATGGAGTTTTTTTCATTTAATTTTTTGAGGCCTGCTGCTGCAGTTGTTTAGGTTACATTTCGTTACCGTTGATAAACTTATCGGGTAGGGTCTTGTAAACCCACGATTTGTGCCGCAATCAGTCACGTTTTGTTCCTGGCACTTGGTTTCAATTTCATTTCTTTGTTACGAGACACTTCCTGATAGATAAGACCACTCGTAAGTTGGAAGGAATGCAGACAGAGCGTGTGGAAAGGGATTATCTATTCGAATTTCGATTGAAATCAGCTATATTTTATATGTGTGCGTTCATCACATGACCTACCCCTACCGCTTGTGACGGAAAACTTCAGGACTGCACAATATTTAGCACCTCTTATTATTATACCAGAATGAATCACAAAGGGGCAGACAGAAAGACAACAGAGAACTGTCATCACACCGGAGAAGCTGTCAGTTCAAATATTGAATTTGACAATGATATGGAATTTGTGTTTTCACTACCATTATATGGTTTTCCATTATCTGCAATTTGTTGTTTACTGGCACTCGAACAAGTGTTGTTTCTACGTCGTTCAGAAAATCTTGGACTTGAAGACCGAACGATACTGATACGGAATAGCATACAGCATATACTCCCCTCTGCTCTTATCTTTAACGCTCCACCTACTCGATACAGTACGTAGATATATGTATATATACATACATATATATATGTAGATGCCCGCCTCTCTGGGCCAAGTTTCAAGTAAGTCCTTGCTTTAAGCCTTAAAGTTTAAGGCGACGCGCCTGCTTCCGACTAATCAGTAGTAATCGGCGGCGTTAATCGGGTACCAAATACCGATAAGATTCTAGACAGCTTTATTGGAAAACTATTTTTAAATTATTATTGCCGATTCGCTCTGGTTTTCCCAGTATTCGGTGTAATCGGAAATGGATTAGTCAGAGATCTCTCTTTTTGGGAAGAACCTTGATCCATATATCCAGAAATACTCTAATAATTGTTTAATGGATTTCAACCATTTCTACTATGACTTGTTGAATTTAATTCTTATATAATCCCAAGAAATGAGTTATCTAACGACGGTTTTCGTTTATTAGATGTTGATAATCGAATTTTTTTACCTATAATAATAAGAATAATAATAATAATAATTTAATAAATTTGTGTGCTCCTCTTTGGCTTTGAAAAGTTGATGAAAATGGCTCCCCATTGATTTTCGAAATGGCTACGATTATTTTTATTATATTATTGGCTATGAAGCTGCAGTCTCTAACATCAACGGTCGCAAAATGCTTATTATCGATTAATAATCGTTGCAAAAAGCGTCCATGGACCGATAATTGGTTTAAAGAAAGTCTATCCAAATCGAATATAAAACGTTGAATAGGTTTTGCTTGCTTATTCCCTGCGATTGTCCACTTGGCGGTCAGTGATATAATTTTATTTAATTTACGACACCGCTCCCCAACCCGTTTATGGCCACACTTTCAAGTGCATATAAAAGTAGTATCTGTTCTTTCAGCTGTCGTTCCTAATAATGCGCATTTCGACGCGTGGGCCGGCTTTCAATGATTTGCAGTGAAATGATTTTGATTTGCGTTCGAAGGCTGCCGCCGCCTTTCCACGCGAAGCCGATAAGCGTTCCAAACACGAAAAAGAACCCTTCCCACCCTCGAGCTTCGAGTGGACGCAACGGACCATAGACTGACCGCCGAACGACCGACAATCATCATCATCATTGTTGCCGATGTCGTTGTCGGCCAAGTGGACAGAAGCAATTTATTGTGTCCCCGACTGTTGTCAACGAGCAGGCAAACAGCTGAAATAAAAATCTTATCAGCTGGAAAAACTGCGAAAAGTCTATATAGTAAACAAAAGTCTTCCATTTATCGCCCCACTGTGCCCACATGGCGACCATTTCCCAAAAAATTGCATTTAAAATAGTTTCGGATGCGGCTGGCAGTTTCCAAAATAAATTTGGCCATGCTCTTGCCTTCCTGCCTCTGCCCTCCGTCTTAAAGACAAATGTGTTTTCTGGCTGCACCAAAAGATACACAAAACAGATCCTAAACAAGTGCTAAAAATCAAACCGAGAAAAACAGACTGCGATTTGGCTGGCCCTCATGGTTGAAGGCAGGCGGTGGGTACTCTATCGGTCAGGGCTCCGCTTCACGGCTCTCTATGCGTAAGTTTAAGACAAAACAGATGTATTTGTACATTATTAGGGATGCCATTTTTTATGTAAGGCAAATCATTTTTGTTAAAGAACATTTTCATTTTTGGAGGGGCGAAAGCAGGTTTTTCGAATTTGGTAGCAACCCAATATCAATAGAATACAAAAATAATAAGCCCTATAAGCTAAGCCTTGATGAATCATGCACACGATATGTAATTAATTTTTGGTTTAATCGGGGCCTAGCTTAGTATCGAGTGGGGCTTTCAACTGCTCAATCATGCACTTGGCATCTGATTTATTTATTGTACGTACTCCTGTATTCTCTTTTGAAGCATTCGCTTGTGCGTCTCGAGTCAAGTCGCTGGGAGCAGGGACGAATCCACCGCTGATGGAATTCCTCAAGCGTAAGGCTGACTTGGTACTCAGTCGAAAGTAGGATTTTACTAAGGATATTCTTGTTGAAAATAATGAATAATCCTTGGCGAGACTATATTCATATATGAGTGAAATCCAAACCGAATAGACTGCAGAAAGCGTTTAGAGAGTCACGTGCATAGGGGGTTTCATATTGTACTTTGATTAAGCTTCAGACTGAATTATGTCCTGATATATTCTGAAGATACAGGGTATGGATCAGATTGTTTTCTCTATTTTTATTGATTGATTTCCATTGATTTCCAGCCATATTCTAGACACGTTCTAGAATCGATGTGGATTATGATTTACGAATATCCTTTAACAAACAAAATACCAAAATGTAACACGAATTAAAACCCTTGCAGCCATATCAACGGTCCGGTGACTAAGCTCAGCCACAGCCTCAGTCCTTCTACCTCCACCTCTTTTCCCCAGAACATCATCCCACCCCACAACCAAACACACACATCCCCACACACAGTTACATAAAAGCAGACAGAATACACGAGGACACGACGAGACAGACACGAGAGCGGCAAACCCAAAAAACATTCGCACTAAAATGTAAACCTAAACGCCCGCGTACATATTCCCATTGGATTCTTTCAATTTTTATTCCAATTTATAAATGTTCTTCGATCGCCGACCCATTCCTTTCCAAACAGAAAGTACGAAAAGCAATATACAACATTCCTGCAAAATTCTAGCCTAACTAATTAAATTTAAATTATTTATTCAGAACCAAATCGTGTGATATTTAAACTACCATACTTTTTTTTTGTGTTTAGTCATAGAAAAAAAACCATTATAAGAAAAGCTCAACAAAAAAACCGAAAAAACCCGAAAACAAAAAAGTATGCAAAACCGATAGATAGATAGATATTATATCTAAAAAAAAAAACAAAATATAAATTATATTATATTTATTAAAGCACCCACACACACACACACAGTTGATGATTATTTTGTGTGTTTAGAGTTTTTTAAGATTTGTTCTGTTGAATTAAAAAAAAAAAACTATTTTCGAGGCAATCCACAACACAGCAGAAATCAGGGATTTTAGTTTAGAAACAGATTATTGCACGCTGCAATAGAAAGAAATAAAAGACAGAACACACACGCTAAACGCCAAACACACATACACACACACACACACACAAACACCCAAACACACACGTAACAAATGCAAAAATGTCGCTACCCAACGAACATACAACAGACTTGCCGCACAATCAGACACAACCCAACCAGCATGAGATACCGCCATCCACAGCCACCACACCATCCACAGGCACAACAACACCATATACAACACCATCCACAACCACAAACACAACACCCAATGAGCTGAAACATCGACTGACGCCGCTCAATGTGCGACGCCTCTCCGGCTATGCCAATCCACAAATGGTGAACGATGCAACGATCGATTATGCAACGGGAGCAGCAATGGGAGCAACGGCATCAGCGATTGATGATGATCCGCCACCCATCACAATCAACATGAATATGAGCAGCAACAGCATCAATAATAACAACAATAATAATAATAGCAGCTACAGCAACAACAATAATAATACAAACAACAAAAACACAACAACAACGCCACCATCCGCATATGCCACACCACCAATATACCAACAACAATTGTCCACACTGACAGCAACCACGCCCCTAGATGTTTTGGCATCGGATGATAAATTTAAATTGTTTACCATTTTCAATGGAAACGGTGAGTGGACCCCCCCATGCCCCACCCCAAAGCCCTCAATCCCCGCCATCCTGCCACCATAAATAATCCTTCAAGCGGATGTCTCTCTCAAACCTCAAGTAACGCGTCGTCTCGTATAGGTAGGCATTTGTTTTTATTTTAATTTTGGAGTTTTGAGGGCTGGCTACACAGACGTCACAAAAAGCAAGGATCAATGGATCCTTTTTTCTAGCTATCTATTTTTTCTCCATTTGCTTGCTTCCTCTTTTTGCGTACACTCTCTGCCTCTCTTTCTCTTTTATGAATACTCTCTCTCTCTCGCTGAATCTTTGATTAATATTTAAATTTAATGCACAAATATTAATAATTATTTTTAGCCTTAAATTTTAGCCAATAATTGCTACAAGCAATATCATATTTGTTTCATGAAAAGTATTCTTTGTCTAGCATTAAATTTGTAAGAAATTTGTCCCGTAAGAGTACTTGTAGAAGCATCCATTTTTGTATCATTTTTGTCATCATTGCATGCCGCTTCTCTTTGTTCATTCTGTTTGTTTAAAGGAAAGTAGAAACATGTTTCCCTGATTAGATTTAACATCTGTATACTTAAATGTAAGATGTCTCTGTTCTTCTTAAAGTTGCGAGAATTTAGATCTTGTCATTCCCATGCCTGACAGTCGGAATGACAGATAAATACTCCTGACAGATTGAAATATACCTTTTAGTACATGTTTTAAATGTATACTCGTTATTCCTCTAACGAAAGCTAAAGTTGTAGAGCAATATCAAGAGTTTAGGAGCTGTTCCATCCCTTTGTCTCTCTGTGCATTCGAAAAAGAAAAGAGAATCATATTTGTGATAACCAAGTAAGAGAAAGGTAAAAACCCTAATCAGATTAACTCGAATGAAGCATAAATGTTTGGCATCATGCACACGCAGTGTACATGTATGTTGTTTTTAAAATTCTAGTGGATTTTTTTGTTGCACTTTTCGCTTGTGCATCCGTTTCCCGGAGCAGTGGGAGCAAAAGGAGTAATGGTATTAATGCCCACCGCTGTAGTACACATTCGAAACACATACAGTAGTTCTTTGGGCACCCAAATATCCTGCCCGTTCCAAAGATTACACAGAAAGATCAAACGTAAATTGATCAAATTATGGCCCTAAGAAATTTTTACCCAAATAAATGTTTATTTATTGGTTTGTTTCTTTTTCTTCTTTATAATTAAATTTTATTTGATTTTCTGCACAATAATAATTTGATTAATGGGTAGTGGAGTGGTCTGGTCGGAGCGGCCGAGGGGTAAACGCGACACGCGTTTCGCGTATCACCTCCATGGCAGCAGTTTTAATTGTTTATTTTTTTTTGCGGTTGAAATGTTTAATTGTCGCTATACCAGACGAATGGCTGGCGAATTTGTTTATGGCCGAGCGATTTGTGGTTTATGGAACTTTGGATACAATAAACGGGGGGGATTCGGATTCGAGCAAACAACAAATAGTACAAAAAACGGTTTTATTCAAAACGAGTTTCCATCCCCGAGGCAGCAGTAGCAGCAGAGAAGAACACTCGAGACTAACAGCTGGAAGGGAGATAACGAAAAAAAAAAAACCAAAATATATACTGAAATAAAATAAAATAAAAGAAAAACAAAAAACACCAACAGACAAGAGAATATTCCGCAAAATCTTCACACATGCAAACATATAATTTATAGTGATGTTGATTAATTGCCTTGCTAATTGCATAATGCTGAATTTAAATGCATGCGACACACACAAACACAAAAACACAATATGCCACACACGGTCCGTGCATGAGACATGAGCGAGAGACCCAGCAACCAGCAACCAGCCACCACCACCACCACCCATCAACCCCAAACGCACTCGATCTTTGATCCTTTGCAACCTTCCCTTGAAAATATCCCAAAATATTTATGTACTAACCCTGCATCTTGTTGTGCTACCCACTTTCTTTTCTCCCCTTCTCCCCGATCCGAAACGATCCGATCCGATCCGTAACCATACCCGTAACCAGATCCCGACAATGAGAAGTTGTCCGGCCTACCACATTCGACAACTGGTTCACTAAGCTCAATCATCACGACGTCCATAGCATCCTCCGAACCGGATCCTGGTGCGGCGAGTGCTGGCGGCGGAGGTGCAGGAAGCGGCGGCAGTGGCGGCAGCGGAAGCGGAGGAGGCGGCCCCAATGCCCTGGTGGCAGCAGACGCAGCCAGCATCGCTGGGATCAATGGCAGTTCCGAGGAGAAGCTGGCACTAAATCGGCCTGGGATCAAGCAGGAGAAATGGTCAACGATCCTGCTGCAGGTCTCCATACCGTTCTTTCTGGCCGGCATTGGAACCATCGGGGCTGGCATTGTTCTTGGAAAAGTCGAGGTAAGACAGAGAGAGGAATATTCCCAGAATGATATAAAAAAAAAAAATACAGCTGATAAATCTCGGGAGTTCTCGTCGCGTCTATTGACACGTCTATTAACTGCCGATAAGACGCTAAGAAAATCAACACGAAAGGCAAACCGAAAATCAAAATTGCGGCAATTGTAAATTGTAAACAAAAATGTTAATTGCTTTATTGTCCGAACATAAAAAAGATATACTCAAAAGCCCAAGCCAAAAAGAAAATTATAAATAATTAATAACAATCTTTTTCTTGGAGTTTTTCTGCTCTTTGTATGCGCCTTTGTGTGGGAAAACTTCCAAGTTGCAAAATGCACGACAAAAAAAATAAAAATTACTCATTGAACAATTTTTCCATCAAATAAATTATGGTCTTTAGATAATGTTAAGAACGAAAATAAATTCCAACTTGAAATGCTTTCAAAAATCATACTTGAAATATTTGAAGCTAAAGTCGTTTTCAAACTTACAATCTTTGATCCCATACAGGGCCGGATTTTTATTTTGTAGTTGTCTGGAGGCCCCTAACTATCTTCCGAACGAAAGTAAATTAATGATTTAAAAAAATAATAATAATAAGTATTTCCTAGTTAAAATCTTATTTTTTAATTAATTTGCCCTCGCCTTCCCTCCCAAAATACGCCCCAGCTTGTACATATGTACATTTTTATGTGGTAGAATTTATCATTTATCGTTGTCTGCGAATGTGGATGGTAAAGTGTTTAATTTGCCTGCTAATTGATGGGTCGCTTGGGATGGTAAAAGTTCTGGGCCAAACTGGCAATGAAGCCAGTTCCAGGCGGCCAATGCCCGAACAGAACTGAAAATGTTTGGAAATCGCCAGACTTGAGACAGACACACAGACAGCTTAAATTTACACAGCCATAAAGAGTGTCATATAACTTTGTCATATCTTCATTTATTGCAATATAAATATATGTATGTATGTCTGTATTTATCCTCTCGTCCCCCTCCCCAGAAATGGTATGTCTTCAAGAATGTGAGCGAACTGTTTATCCTGGTGCCGGCGCTGTTGGGTCTGAAGGGAAATCTGGACATGTGCCTCGCGTCGCGTCTGTCCACACAAGTGAATCTGGGGAATATGACAAGCCGCCAGGATGTGGTGCGAATGATTGTGGGTAATATAGCATTGGTGCAGGTCCAGGCCACCGTTGCCTCCTTTCTGGTGGCCATGTTCGCTGTGAGTGTGGGTGCGGCCATGACAGGTGAATTCTACTTTGAGAACGTGATGCTGCTGACCGCCTCGGCCATGTTCACGGCCACCTCATCGTGCTTTGTGCTGGGTAAGTGCAGAAAACACCTTGTAAGATCCAGACTTGGGGTATTAAACCAGCTATTTATTTTCACTAGATTTTGTTTTGGTGGCTGTAATTCTGTTCTCGCAGAAATACCATCTAAATCCGGACAACCTGGCCACACCGCTGGCCGCCTCCATCGGCGATGTGGTGTCCATAAGTCTGCTCTCCTTTATTGCCTCGCTGCTTTATGAGAATATAAGTGAGTCTCTTACTTTCTCCTGCATTTTTATTATAAGCCATATTGATTGTTTTATTTTCCTGTTCTGTTTAGAGACCCATCTGTGGATCACTTTCATTGTGGTCACCTGCTATCTGGTGCTGTTGCCCATGTGGGTGCTGATTGTGATGCGGAACGAGTACACGCGCCCGGTGCTGAAGAGCGGTTGGGTGCCAGTGCTGTCGGCCCTCTGCATAAGTGGGTAAGTTGATCGATCAAGTGCCGACAAAAAAAAAAAAACCCTCAAGCATCGAGAATCGAGGCCATGATAAGCACAAATCCCCATAGACCAAAAATCATCAAGATTTGCTGACTATATTTAGATATCGTTCGGAGGAAGGCTTCATTAATGCCAAATCATGTCCAGGCGGCAAGCGCTTTACTACTGCTCCACTACGTATATTGTTGTGTGTGTATTTATAAATAAATCTGATAAATCTGTCGACGGGAATGACCGTGTGAAATTGTTAGCAGCTTGTTATGGATGTCCCTGACTCGCGTTTTGGCAGCAGGTCAATTGCGGGAGACACAAGCACAATATTGTATACTATAATTAGAACTAAAAGCAGAATTAGAATTCCCAATGGAGCAGTAATTATTTGACATGACTTTGCAGGAACATTGTCTACGATTGCAAATTTTTAATTCCCAAATTCCCAAATCAAAATCAAAATCAAATCACAACTCATTTTATCACTGTATTTTTTTTGCAGACTTGGTGGCCTTGTGTTGGATGCTGCTGTGGAGGTCTTTGATGGCTTTGTGGTCTTTCAGCCGATCATCAATGGAATTGGCGGGAATCTGGTGTCGGTGCAGGCCAGCAAGATATCGACAATGTTGCATCAGAGCTCAATTATTGGCATTATACCACCGCACACGAAGATCTGGGAGTGGCCCTGGAAGGCGTTATTCAAAGGAGGCAAGAACGAGGACTATAATTCAAGACGAATGCGAGTAATAATTCCACTTATAATCTCCTTGCAGTTCCCTATGCAAAGACGGCAAGGATACTCATTGCCATGTCCATACCGGGCAATGTCCTGTTTATCTTTGCGGCTGACTACCTAAATATGCACACATCCACAGTGTCCTGGGTGTTTATGCTCTCCTATCTACTGGCCAGTTTCATACAGGTAAGGAAAACACCTCCCTCCTCCCGCTGAAAAGTGGCAGACAATTAATGACTTCTGCACCCGTAGGTAACGCTGCTGCTCTACATTGCCCACATTATTGTGCATGCCATGTGGAAGTGGAAGATCGATCCGGACAACTCGGCCATACCCTATCTGACGGCGCTGGGCGATTTGCTGGGCAGCAGTCTGCTGGCCGTCGCGTGGATCTTCACCATGTCCGTGGGTATGCAGTATGGAGCCGGCGTTGAGAATGCACTGAATGCACCCAACTAAAGAGGGTGGGGCGAATGTTTCCATCTGAACTAATGCAATAGAAACCACAGAAAACAAATGAAATGAAAAGAAACGAGAAGAAAGCAGCCGCAAATCAATATAAAGAACTGTTATGTACCTAAAGTGAAAAGAAAACAGCAACATTAAATCCTAGAAATTGTATGTATAGACCAGTCCCAAGTGCCCCACGCCCTGGCACACACAAACACACACAATTAGAAACACCCAAAACACCAACACACAAACACACACACACACACAGAATAATTTCCATGTTTTGTATGTCCTGTCCTTCACTTCACATGGCTTTTGCTTGTGTTCTCCCCTAATTTTTGCTCTACAAATGAAGTTATGTTCGAGTATATGGTATATATACACACGCCTATATATACATATATGTATGTACATATTGTATGCATGGCAGGCGTGGCTGCATAATATTTTTTAAGGCTTTTAGGACAATATTATACACAATTTAAAGAAATATATACATATACAAAATGGGGGATAACAACCGGGCGAATAACGGAAAAACGGAACACACATTTATTTAATGGCATTAGCTCCCCTTACCGTACCCCTAATTTGGTTCTTGTTCTTGTTCCTTTTGCTTTAACCTTTAAACTTTTGTTAAATTTAAGGCAGCCAAAAAATAATGATTGAATCGTGTAAATGCAAAAATAGTCCTAAATGTAGAATAAACATACTTAATTCCTTGTTAGTCCCCTGTACACCTACAATTTACAAACGTAAAACAAAAACATAAACAATGTGTAGTATTAGCGCAGATTTGATTTTTGCAAATCTCGCTTAATTTTTTCCCTTTTTTTTATTATTATATCTCTCACCATTACCGCCCTGCCCACCCCAGCCCAGCCCCTAAAAAGAAGCAATAATTGAACACAAGGCAAAACGGTATTTATTATTATTGCATATTAGTTAAGATGTGGCGTGGAGATGAGCGTGTGCATGCATGTATATTCCTCGTTTAATTGTATATTGTATAGATTGTATCTATTTTAAGTTAAAGCGTGCGCATTTTTTTTTTGCTTGTTTGTTTGTTTTGTTTCCTTAAAACCGAAAAATGTTGTAAAGTGCGTGTGCGTTCTGTAAAAAAATGCGAACAGGGATAATGAAAACGATGAGAATGAGAGACGTTCTGAAAGGAAATGTGATCGATATTTAGTTATAATAATAACAATAATTATAAATTAATGTACATCGTAAACGAAAGGGCATCATTATTGTGTAATACTTGAAACAATAATACCAATTAATTCAATATGTTGGAATAAACGAAAGCAAAACGTTCATAAAGAAAGAAACCCACACTCTGATTTGAAATTATCTTTGGCGGGCTCTAGGTTCTCCACATCGGCTATCGATATATCGCATGCACTGGATCAGCTATCGATATATCGCCCGCATGCGCAGCCAGCTTAAGCCCGATGCTGAATATTCAAGTATTTTACGCGCAAAGCAAACTAATAATAAATAAACTGAATTTTCTAAAGTGTAATTAAGTAATTGAGAGCTCAAAATGTACCGCGCTATGCCCAGGCGAACGAGCGAGTTCCGCGAAGAAGCCCACGAAGATGGGGCCAACGGGGACAAGCGGCAGACCAGGTTGGAGGATGACAAATTTAATTTTCAGTGTTTTTGTTTTGTTTTGTTTTGTTTTGTAATAAATACCCTCTCTCCCTCTCGGGACGGGACTCCTTGCAGACTAGGCGCACGCAGCATGGCCACGCCCACACCCATGAAGCCCAAGGTCAGTGGCATAGCCAAAAGGTAATGATGGCAGCCGTCGGTGCAGTCGGTGGCCAGATTGGTTTTAATTCCTCTTTTCTTATGCATCCGTCAGGCCATCGCATTCACGCTTGGGCCAGCCATTGTGCCTGGAACGAGATCGCGGCAGCCAGATGGGTCTGCCGCCGATCCGCACACCCATGAAGAGCCATCGCATGGGCTCCGAGGTGCCGCACCACTCCAACAAGAAATGGGTGGCAGAGAAGTCGCAACAGATCCAGGACTACCTGCACGCCATGCTGCCCAGCCATGCCATACAGGGCATCACCAGCGACTTCTTCAATCGCGGCTCGGGCCTGCGCCAGATGACAACGAAGCAGTTTGTGGGCATAATTAACTTTTTCTTTCAACAAATCTCACGGAATCGGGTGACGGTGGGCAGCAATCATGTGGAGGACATTATAAATACGATGCAAAAGCTCAACTATCCGTATCAGGTGAACAAGTCGTCGCTGATGACGCCAACCGCACAGCATTCGTTCGGTCATGTCATTGTGATGCTGGACTTTCTGATGGACTTTGCCCCACAACCGGATGCCGAGGAGGAGGGCAGGGATTTCCCCTTTATGGAAATAGCCGATCAGCACAGCGACTACCTGCACAGCATGGCCTCCGAGTCGATAGCCATGTCCACCACTCAGTGTCCAGGCATGGTGCTGGACGAGGAGCTGACCGAGCTGCTGTTGGTACAGTCCACGGCCTGCTTCTTCCTCTGGGACCAGGAGAAGAAAGAGGAAGAGGCGCTGCTGCAGGACAGGACCAGAGACAAAGTAATCAGCAAGAAGTGCGATCTTTCCGATGGCCGGGCCTTGGATGCGGACATCGATGCCCTCAAAGCGAAGCTAAGCGATCTCGAGCTGAAGCTGGAGGAAGCTCTGCCCGGCGATGGCAGGAAGTTTCAGCAGCTGGAAAGCCTCAGCCGCGAGCAGGATCAGCTCGGGCAGCAGCTGCAGGCCCTTCAACAGGAGGACGCCATGAAGCGGGATTCGATCCAGGAGCTGCGCTCCAATGCCAAGCAAAAGACAGCGGACATCAAGGCGCTGCAAAAGGAGCTGCGCCACATTCAGCAGACGGTGTCCAGCCAGAGGTACTCGGCCCAGCAGCTGAAGGATCTGCAGGTGCAGTGCACAGATCGCAGCAACGAGTCCAAGGTGTACGAGCGTCAGATCAAGGAGATCACCGAGCGTCAACTCAACCAGCAGGTAATGCTGTCGCGCTCCAAGCAGAAGCTCCTGGACAAGATCGAGCAGTTCAATTGCCATGCGCGCAACATCTGCATGGATTCGGTGATCTGCAAGGCCAGCGGCAAGGGCAAAATGGAGCTGACTCTGTCGCTGCAGCCCAGGCACGAGGAGGTGCTGGAAGGGCATCAGCGTCTGGCCAAGCTGGCCGATCGTTTGCGTCTTTGTCGCCAGCAGACCGCTGGCCGTTGCAAGCACGTGGAGGAGCAGAAAATCAATATAATCCAGACCAAAGCCAAGCTGGACACCAAGCTGGCCACCATGGGATCAGAGTTGCGCGCGCAGAAGCAGGCAATGGCCCACATGGAGTCCAACCACAAGAGCAAGCTCGAATCGTTGGCCCAGGACGAGCAGCAGCTGATCGACAGTCAATACGAGCTGGCCACCCGGCTGGAGCAACTGCAGGCCCAGGAATGCGAGCAGCACAGCCTGCTGCAGAGCGCGAAGCAACAGAACGAGGACCTTCTGACGGCCGCCGAGTTGCGTCAAAAGCAGGCACTGCATGCCCGCAACATCTACCTCGATAACTACGAACAAACGCTGACCGAGGTCGAAGAGGAGCTCAAGGCTGTGCAGCTTACGATCGAGGAGAACGAGAAGAAGCTGTCCCAAGCCAAGCAGCAGATCCACAGCACCGAAATCCCCTACTTCGATGTGGTATTCCAGGCCATACAGGAGGCCTGACTCTATAGCTTTTGAGTTTTTAATTTTTTAGTGTTAATAAAGTATTTCATTGCCGTGTAAAGTATATCTTTCCTGTTTCTGGCTTGGACCTGGACATGGATGTATCCAAATGCGGATAATGGAAAATACAGTCTCCCGCCTGAAGCCGCCTAGAGTCTAGTCTCTAGAAAAAGGGACGGTCCAACCGCAGTAGATTTCTCCTTTCTACTCGTAACTAGAAGGTTTGACGTCGTGGCTAGCTGGAAAGGCGCTGAATTAATCGGGGAAAATGCGTTGAGCTCCGCTAAAAGGTGGGTGGAACAGCCTTTTGCTCAATGTATCGCGTGGCAGGCGGTAGGACTTTGGAAGTGGAAGCGGACTCTGACGCTGGTGCTACCTTCATCTAACCCCTCCTGCTGCTGCTGTGGCGGCCCCAACTTTATCTATTAACAACGTAATACAGTTCGGCTGTATGCATAGCCAGCTGCTTCTTCGATGGTGCAAATGCAAAATGAAAAAGGAAATGATTTGATTTGAATTGCACATTTCATATGGTTTATGTTTTATTTTGGAATACATTTTGTGGTTTGGGGTTAAAGGTAAACAGGGCTTTGGACAGGACACACAGTACTCGAAAAAGACGCCATAGGTAACGTTTGTTCGAGATGTCCAGCTGCTGGAGTCCTCCTTTTCCCCATCATAAATACGATTGATTTCTTTGAGTTGCTTATTGCCACGCGGATGAAGTTTTTGTTTTGTTTGGATTACAAATTGCACTTGGAACGGTTTAGCTTTACATATGTGAGGTTTAGGGATATAGCATATAGAATATAGTACATATACATACATACATTGAGTGTGTGTGTGTGTGTGTGGCGGGTGGGCAAGGGGATTACATATAAATATTAAATAATATTATTTTTTGGCCAATTTAGGGGGAAGAAAAATATAGAAATAAAAAGAAAAACGATTGAGAGATTGAGACTGAGACACAAATTTGTTTCGTAATAAATTAAATAATTATCATTATTTGCTTAGTAAAGTTTTTTGTTTTATACAATGCCGCTCTGCCTGCTCCCTGTATTGCCCCTCAGACAATGAAAACGTCTCCACTGTTACGCTCCAGGGCTGAGGTTGAGGCTGCCACATCAGCGCCACAGCCAGGCCGCAGCGGCTGCTGAGATATGCTCGAGTGTGGGCTCTCTTCGGTCTTGTCGAGCAGCTCTGCCTCGCGACCGATCTCCACAATGCCCTGCTGCTGCTCCATGGACACATTCCGCGACTCGTGCGCCTCCTCCAGGGGTGCGCTGTTGCTGTTGTCCTGGACTTGGCCCTGGCCCTGGCCAGCCAGGTGTATGCTCACCCCAGCTATATCCAAGTCTTCAGCATCTTTGTGATTCTGGAATGTGACTGAGATCTCTTGGGCAGCAGCCACAACCACTGACGCCGCTGCTGCTGCTGCAACTTCGCCATCGTCGCTTTCAGTGCCGGCCCCATTGCCGGGATTCGCTGGTGCTGTTGTTATCGAGGACCACCAGCTGGAGAAGGCGCCCTTGGCCTGCGAAATGGCACCGCCAACCGCTCGACTTGTGGTGTTTACGGCCTGATTGATTTTACGCCCACTCTCGCTGTTCTGCATGGTCCTAAATGCGAGGAGAGAGAGAGAGAGAGACGTGAGTTGGGGAATGATTAGGCGTGGGATCGATCTGTTACTCACTGCGCCAGCTTCAGTTTCATATCCGTCACGGATAGGGTGCCCGCAAAGGGATGGCCGGCGGGAAGTGCTTCAAAAAATTCGGGTTCGGGTCGCACATCAAACCATTCCTGATAGCATTGGGTGCGCTTAAAGGCGCCTATAAAGTGTGCATTGAAATGATCGCTGTCCTTGGGCGTGGAATCTAACAAAGAACTCATCATTAGTGGGTTCCGTCCAGGAACATGGGGTGGGGCACCTACCTGGAGCCACTGCGGTGCGTAGTAGGGCCAGAATGTAACCCTGAAACTGTTCCCGTATCCAATACTCGCTGCCCTCCGCATCTTCCTTGGGCGTTTGCACGTGCTTCATGATGTAGTCCATGTAGCGCAAGTCTTCGGTGCTCAACACCAACTGGCGACGCAATTCCGGATCGTGTGCCTCCAGATTGGCCGCCTCAATGTCAACCAAAACGTCGGCCAGCTGTCGCTTCTGCTGGAACAGAACATTCGAGGTGCCAATGACATAGGAGAGGACCATAGGATCGCTAAGCAGATCCATGTAGGGCAACGACAAATACGGCAGGCAGAGATTGCCGCTGGCAAAGATGCAAACGGGGGCACGATACTCATCCGGATTGACGGAGCACAGGGCGGCCAGATTGGCTATGGAATGCAGAGGGTTACGTTACTGATGGATACGAGCGATTCATTCGGATTCCACTTACAGGCTAGTGTATCCACGCTGGCCTCGCGTGTCAGCGAACTGTTGCGTCCGTTCGAGTCCCGGTGCGACGAGGAGGATGCAAAATTCGAGTCCTGCGACTGCGAATTCGGTGTGGAGTGGGGCGAGGTGTCGCCACTGCATTGGGAACCCGCCGAGGCGGCCGAAGAAACTAGAGCCAGGTCCTCTGCCTCGCCCTCGGCCGCCGTTGCGCTTTCGGGCGTCAGCTTGGGCTCGTCCTGGGTGGCGGCCCCAGCCTCGGAGGCGGCGACGGCGGCGGCTAGGGCTTGCGCCTCGCGTTGCAGGGAGTCGGTAAAGTCTGGCATGGGTGAGAGCGGGCGGGAGGTGCGCACACAGGCCACCTCCTGGAAGCCCTTCTCCAGCAGGCGCGGCACCAGAGAGGCCATGCCCAGTATGAGCACACACATGCCACGCACCGGAGAGCCGAAGCAGACAACGCGACGCTGCAGCAACAGCAGCTTGAAGAGTATCAGTGTCTTGTGGCGCCAGTGTAGGACGATTTCGCGCAGCGATAGTCCCACATGGAAGTGACGCAGCGGGCGATGTGACTCGTCGTCCAGCAGGCAGGCATTCAGCTGCTGATACGCATTGACCAGCAGGTCCGTGCAACTGAAGTCGCCCTGGTCAAAGAATGCGTCGGCTATCAGGGCCAGTTTCACCTCAATATAGCCGTAGATGGGCTGGCGGGCCAATATGCAGACCGACTTCTGCACTGTGCTTCGTGTGACATCGGCTGTGCGGATTTTCAGCTTCTCCACGGGTATCTGGCGGTAACAGGAGACGCCATAGATGCTGGCCGCCGGCTCGTACAGGCTGGGCAGATTAAAGAACACCGTATCCTCCAGGAAATTGTGCGATCCATCGGGCAGGGCCAGCGTTGGCAAATACTTCCAGCCGGATGGGCACTCGTTGCGGCCACTGGACCCGGCTATCAGCGGCGGATGGGAGAACTCCACCTGGCATCCCAGCTTGTGGTGGAAGCCCACCACCAGGATGTGCAGTATCGGTGGCTTGTTCTCCGGGTCCGTGCTACTGGCCATGACGGCGACAGATCTCCACACACACACACACACACACACACACACACACACACACACACAAATACACTGCGCTGTGTCAGGCTCTGCTGCGGTTAAAACAATTCCCCGATTGACAAATCGAAAGGTGGTGGGCAAATGATAAGCCTAGCAGTCAGGATTGCGAAACCCACATCAGCAGCCACTTACTCACTCACTCATGTACAAGCACAGTGTCCAAGTGTATGGCAATCGCTACTGTTATTTGTTATTGTCTATTTTCTTTCCACGCGCTAATTGTTTTTGTTTTCTAAAATTGCCGAGTTTTTTTGTTCAAAAAAATTTGCAGTGTGTTGGTGATGGGGGGTTGTTCCGAACAACTATCACAGTTGCACGTCAAGCCGCATGGGTTCTATCGATATGCCCATATCGATATATCGGCTTGGGCGGCGCACATCACTGCGAGCAACTAGCGCCAAACTATCAACAATTTAAATATTTTGAAGAGAAAAATAAATTCGTTTTATCTTCTATATACACTGACGAGCAAAACTGTAACACTAATTCAGTACTCTCACTTCAACGGTCGTATCTTGTCTTCTGTTTTATGCATGCTTAAGAACTTAATCTTGTTTTTTTGGTGAATCGAATCATTTAACATTGTTTTTTGAAAATTGCAACACCATCATTGCACTTGGAGAGACCTCATATTTTACCAGCTGCGATTTTAGATGGCTCAATACATTTATAAATACATAAATACACTGACTGAAATTTTGGCCATGACATCTAATTCAAAAATCTTCCTGAAGTCAATTCGAAAATACAATTCATGCTTCCAAATGACATCGTTCGGAGCAACAGAAATAGTCAACAATACTGCTGAAAAAATTAAAATTAAAGGACAAGTGTACCACAAGGCTCATTGCTGCCAATGGCCAACGAAGCACATCAGTTTTTACAAATATACTTCATGGGTGGTGAGGACCAAAATTGCGCACTCGCCAATCGCCAGGCGTATAGTTGGAAAGCTGGATAAATTACTTAATCAGCACAATGAATTATTGAAATTATTAAAATCACACATGCACAAATTGGAAAGTGACAATAACGCTATTGTCATCAATCCTGATAAAACACCAGATGGTGAGCACGTACGTAGATTCAAGGCCCCTGTGGTTGACGACGTTGCTGGAATCATGGTTGGCGATCGCACGGCGACTCAAGAAATTGTGATTCAAAGAAGAAATAATAATCTTGAGTTCATCGCCGACACACACAGATAATATGACGTTCTCCAATAGCCAATAATTAGCTGGAAGGGATACTGTATTAATATTAACAAAAATAACGAGATCCCGCAACAGGAGTCGAAACAAACAAGAAAGTCAGTTCGATGGATTTTTATGCGTATCGGTATGATAATTCGACGTGGTCATGATAACATTATTATACGATATAGAGAGCTATTCCAACAATTTATTGTCGACATGTACGCAAAAATAGAGATTGAACGACTGAAATTCATACGGCATAATCAAAAGAAACTGCGTGCAGAAGAATATATTAACTTGAGAGTCGCTATCAATAATGGCGAACCGGGTGAAATTGGTAACTCTATAATTCTACCATCATCATTATGTCCATGTCATGTTATGCTATGTTTTTTTTACGGGAGTGTGGACGACCGTGTTTATTTATAACGTTTACATGTAATCCAAAGTGGCAGGAGATAACTTCTCTACTATTAACAGGCCAAAACTCATGGACAGAACAGCACGAGTATTCAAACGAAAATGTAAGTCTTTAATGAGATTCATTACAAAATTATACGTATTCGGTCAAACGAAATGCTGGATGTATTCAATTGAATGGCAAAAGCGAGGATTACCTCATGCACGAGGCTATGTTTTTTATGAATATGAATAAAATGATACAAATTTAAAACAAATTTGTAGTAAAGAAAAATAAATAGCTTTAGAAGACTTGGGGGTTGGCGAACGAGCGAAGCGATTGAGAAGGGGGCTTGCCCTCTAATTTACATATAAAATGTACATAAATATGTACATATGTATGTGTGTCTATATGGGCATTTCTGCCAATAAGTCCAACAGGCCAAAAATCATGAAAAGTTGTTCCGATATTATGTTCAAAATCTATTTAAAGATAACTAATTTACACAATTGACATATTATTTCATTAACTTCGTTGTGATACTTATTAAAAAGTTCACGTTTTTGTTATTTTATGGTATTTTTATAGTCACGTTTTCTTTTACTATTATTTTTTAGAAGAAAAATGATTCTTGATAAAAGTTTTCCCTCAAAGTCTCTGACATATTGAAATATCTAAAGAAATGAACAGAAACTCGATTAGCGGGATATTTTTATATCCGGTAGTCGATGAGTTAAGGGACATATTAGTTTTGTGGTCGAACCCGATTTGATGTGTGTAATGCACAGAAAAAAACGTTTCCGACCCCATAAAGTATATATATTCTTGATCAGCATCCATAGCCTATTCGATATAGCCATGTCTGTCTGTCTGTCCGTGCGTCGGTCCCGATTAGCTTCTAGTTCGCAGAGCTTATAAAAGTTAAAGCAACTAAATTTTGTTTCCAGACTCATGTGATATCATGTGTTTCGCCCCGCCCACTTGAGCCACCACAAAGAACGAAAGTCCGTGGTATCCAAAATTTTGAAGATACGAGAAAACGCAGAATCATAGAGAATGACCATATCTACCAGATTGCCGAATTTTGCTAAGATCAGATTATTGTTTTAGCCAGAAGGGACATAAACATTTTCAGCGGCTACGCTACCTCTGCTACCCGCTTACTCGTTCTCTCCCTCGCTCACACACTCTGTCTCGTGCAGTAAAAGCGAGTTAGAGCGAGTTAGAGCGGCTGGTGTTGCTGTGAGAAGTAAGAGATAAATGGAATCAGATAAAATATTTTAAAATACACATAAAATAAAATAAGAAAGAGGATAAACGAAGTGCATGGCTCCGATTCCAATTCCGGCGCTTACGTAAAATACTTAACTAAATTGTATAGCTTACATAAATCTTAAGCTTATAGATATATGTACATACATATATACTGACTGAGTACCAGGTATAAAAGTAGAGGCGCGGCATAAGTCACGGCTCACAGCGTCCCCTTTTAACGTTTATTACCGCGGAACTTTGTAATGTAACGCCAGTTACGTACGTCAGATGTCTTCGTGGATATAGTACAACAAAAAACAGGAAAGGTTTTTATACATACATACATATGTATGTAGATAATAGCTTGAAAAATTTACAATGTTTATTATGTCAGTAAAAAAAATGATTATGCAGATAGTCCTACTAAAATCGCAGAGTTTTGCAACTTTGTACTTAACCTTTTTCTTTATTTATTTTTAACATTTTGTCATACGAATATAACGCAACGCTAGAATGGAAATGCCAAAAATGCATATACTTAAGTTCTATAAGGTTGCATATTTTTCCACGTATATTTTAAATATTTAAGTATGCGTATACTTTAATATAAAAAAATAAAACATAACTTGAACTTCTTTAATAACTTTTTTTTGTAAGAAATCGAGCTTTATCTATGAAAAATGAAGGATCCGCTTTTCAAGTGAGCGGCAGTGTATATGAATTTAAACGAAATAGAAAGCTTATGGAAATATCTTACTATAAAGCACAGGCTTCTCCTCCTTGCTCATATTTATACCGTATATAAGTAAATAAAGCGTCTATGATTTTTCTACAATATATGATAATACTTCAGCCTTTTACTTGAATTATTTATAAAATTTTAGTAAATTGAGTCATTGCCATTTTAATTCGCAATGTTAAAAAGAGCCAGTCAATAGTGTTCATAAAATGCAGAACTGTAGAAGTCTTGCGCATTTCTCCTCTTCCTCTTTTTGAAATTTAAATTTTAGTGGACATTTCAAATTGTAAACAAGCCGAAACACAAAAAAAAAACATGATTCTGAAAATAAACGTGTAATATTATACATATAATGGACAGACATAAGCCCTATATAGAATTTCTAAATATGATTTCGTTCCTAAACGGTTTTATACTTTCTGCTTTTTTCTTTGGGGTTTCTTTTATGTGTGTTTTTCCTCTTGGATATTTCTGTGTTATTTCTCCTCTTGATTTCTTCTCATTTTTTTCTTTCGTTTTCATTTCATTTAATTTAGTTAAGACTTATTTTTAAATCGACTATTGAATATACAGAATCTAAATTTGGACCGCAGCGAGTTGTTTGTTCTTTACAAGATATGTTTGTCTGTCCAGAGGTCTGGACTGCTCTGAACCATTCCTATTCAATGAAAAAATCATGCATAATGGGATCAGAAATATATATTCTCGTTTTATGGGGCTGGGCTGAGAAATTAATTAAATGGAAAGGAAAGTGCACACATTCGCAAATATTCCATAGATTCAAAAATTTCGGTGGTGAGGAAAATTTAAATTTTTTAGATGATTATTACTTTTAAAGACTTTCATCGAGATTTTTCAAGAATTTTAATGTAACAAAACTTAAAAATTCTCTTCAATATGGTATATTTTTTGCAGTTCCTGTTTTCAAATTATTTTTGAGACTGTTGTTGTAATAAGTACTTATGTTTTAAAGTATTGTAAATATATTTTTCCAGATTTGCGATATTGTTTATGTTATTCATGATCTATGGATATATTACCGACTTACTTATAGATAGATACCTATAAGATATTTAAACAAATACACGTACATGTATGCACACAAAATATATGTATGTATGTATATGTACATACGTGGCAGACTTCGTGCATATGAGCGGCACTAAAACCGAAGGCTATAGACGAGAGCGCCCACACAAATGGCCAAAAATAGAACAACAAAAATCCGAAAACTGTGCTATTTGTTATTCCCTGATTCTGGTTGTTGATGCTGAAGATGATGCGAATTGAAATTCGGTTGAAGGCATACCCACACCGTATCTATATTTATGTATATCCGACATAGTATATATGTATATTATGTACAAGAATTGTACAGATTATTGAAATAGTTGGCCCGATGTTTGCCATAAGTTCAAAGTTGTTTATCGAACGGAAATTGTTACGTGAACCCAGCCAGATGGCAATGAAATGCTCAACTGATTCTGCTCGATGTCTGTGCTGGATATACTCGTACCCGTGGCAGACATGCTTTTTGCTATCCTATAGCACCCGACTTTTCTTCCCTGCCCACCTGTGTCGCATTGCATTCAACAATTTGGCAAGCAGTGCATGATACCTAGACCGAACCGGACGACCCATATCCAACGGATACAGCTGTACAGATACATATCTTGATATATATATAATATGTATATTTGTATTGTGCATACCGTCTCGGTACACACGGCTAAGATGCAGATACAAAAATGTTCTAAATTTAAGAGGCAAGCGGATACGTTTACCTCCCACAGCCGAATCAAAACAAAAATCTTAACAATCCAACTATATACATTAATAGTGCGATAAGTTTATTATTATTAGACAAGTCTGGGATCTGATCTACAAAATGTGTGAATTTAAATGTAAATCACATTTCAAACACTTTTTATATAAATTTTGTTCGTATACGCAACTTCTAAGCCGATGTCTGCATGATTGTTCTCAAGCACATTATCTAGGCCCTAGACAATAGACACAAAAAGTATTTTATAGATCAATCTTCTCTTTTGTTTGTGTGTAGAAATGCAACAAAATATCGAAAAACTATAAAGATTCTTACTTTTTATAAATGCATAGATACATATAGAAAAACTCTCTTAACAAACTCACACTCTTTGTAAAAATATTTTTCAAATCCCAACCAGCTTATGCATATTACGCTTCCTTGTTGCATGCAAAATTGGAATTGTATTTTTCTTTTGTTTAAGCTTAAAATTAGTCAATTGGCTTTAATTCAACCAGCAAAAATATCTTTATAACTTAATATATTGTATTCCCAGCCAACTCTTTATTTATAGAATGTTCTAGAGAATTTTGGGTTTTATAATTACAACGAATGGGAACGTTGGTAGCCGCGGCTCATGCCGCGCCTCTACTTTTATAATCGGTACTCTGTCAGTATATATGTACATATATAATATATGTGATCTTATGATTTATGTAAGCTATACAATATATTTAAGACGTTATTTTACGTAAGCGCCGGAATTGGAATCGGAGTCGCTGCACTCCGTTTATCCTCTTTCCGCCTATTAGCCATTTTATTCGAATTGGTTCTGTTTTTTATCTGTTTTAATTTTTTCGCAACTGTTTGTTATTCCGCTATATCTGTCTCTCTTTCACTTGTTACACCAGCACTAGCCGTTCCAGCTCGATCGCCTTCACCAGAGCACTATGGGGAAAAACCTCATTTTTCGGGTATTTAGTCATTTTCTCAAAGTATTAAAATTAAGAAAACTTCAAACTGTAAAGTCCAATACCAAAAATGTTATATAACATAGCACAGTTAAGTTTAACAGCTGTTAAAGTCAGCTGTTGCTGTAGAAAAGCACTTGCTTTAAGATTAGAATATTTTGCAGCCTATTTTCAAATTGCCAATATTCAAACGCGAAAAATTCTTTTTGTGAAATTTAAAAAGGATAGCTAACACACGGGCTTTAACTATGTAATGGTTGTACTAATACTTTGTAGTTATGCGTGTTCTATTAATATTTTGTAAAAGCACAACAAAGTTATACAAAAGCGACTCAAATAGGAACAATAATCGACAAATTGTTCATCCAAAGTTGGCTTACTTGTTGAAAGGAGAAGGAGCTAAAAAACAAGCAGCAGCTCTATCAAAAACTCATGAGCAATGTCTCTTTGTTGATTCAAGCAGCAAGTATAAAGGTCTTGCCCTTCCCATCGATTTTTAAATCCCCTTATTATGTGAAATTGAAGGCCCATATCAAACTTTTGAGGATTTCGAAGATGAATTAAGAAAAAACTAAGAAAATTTATATTAATATTAACTATTTCCAAAAGTAAAACTTTATTTTTATGTATAAAGGAGTATTATAGTCAATAAATATTAAAGATATTCCGATTTTTAATATTATTTAAAAATAAAATTTTTTTTATTTTTCATTTTCCAAAAATGTTTCTAAGGGTGTACATAACATTAATAAAAAAACCGCATCGAAACATCTTGCTTAGTTTAAAAGTTATTAATTAATACCTGAAAAATTGGAATTTTCCCCATAGAGCTGCGCTTAAGTTAGTGGTTAGTGGCTTAAGGTAGGCCCTCTGTGCCTTACACACATCCAATACGACCAAAAAAACTAATATATCTCAAACTCTTCGTTTAATATCGAATGGTAATTACCAGGTATACATATGTATATACACTTTCTGTAATTTAAAAGTAAAACAAGTTAAAAAATTTAAATTTGTTATCTCACATGGTTTCGGTGAGATGAAAATGTAAGGAACAGGTTGATTGGTACAGCTAAGATTGGAAATACTTATGTTAACAATAAAAGCTAGTAAGACCTAAGTACAAGGTAAGACCTAGGTGATTGATTGGTACAGCTAAGATTGGAAATACTTATGTTAACAATAAAAGCTAGTAAGACCTAAGTACTAGGTAAGACCTAGGTACTGGAATCCAAAATCATAAAAAGAAGGATTATACTTACACTATTTTAATATATTTATTAACAATTATAATTATATTAATTTTAAATATTTAGTTACTGATTTATAAATATTTTTAGTTAATTTTATAAGTTGTATCACATTTATGGATGGATCTTAAATTAGGATGCTTTTTCACCCCAGATGTTCTTCCTTGAATCGACTATATTTTATATCCAAAATGATTACACTTCCGGAGGTAATAGTAATAGTAATAATCAAGTAATGAAACAAATGCTCTTGGGCCTAAATGTAGTAGAAGTTCCAGTTATGCTACAGATCAAATCGATATACATACGATATGCGGATGAATCCAATGACTTAATTAAGTGACTTTAATGTGAGTTAGGGCATAGAAAATTATTTGGCGAAAGTATCCGTTGGATAATTGTACAAAAAAAAGAAAACAGAACTAAAAAGAAGAGAAAATCAGAACAATGACGAATAGATTCAAGTGTTAGACAAATGGCAATGCGATGGGGGCCACCTAAGGCCGAGCGACGTCAGCACTGGGCCACATACATACATATATATGTATATACAGATCTTTATGCGAGTATACATATGTACATTCGTACGCGTACAGATATGTATTGTGAGTGGTTTGTATTTAAAGAGGGAGAGTTGTAGGGCGTGCACTCTGGGGCCGAAATGGGGTTCAAATGCTGCAACAATTCCCGTCGAATATGTCACACGAACACACGCGAATATCGAATATTTTCTAGTTGGAAACTCTGGCTATATCTAGCCTATACATAGTCCATACATATGTACATATGTATGACTATATGCAACTGAGTGGCAACCAAATTTTAATGGCTGTGAAATTTATGTTCAACGATATTTGATTCCAAAAACAAATGTGTAAAGAGCCAGCGAAAGCCACCAACGCACCCAAAATGCTATATACTCATGATCTAGTTATGTACATATAAATATGCTATATAAATCTGTTCCGACCCCCTCCTTTTTCGCTCTCGCTCTGGCCAATTGGAAAATTTTCATTTTGGAATCTTTTGGATGTGTGAGGCAAGTTTATGTTTCAGTTGCAGCCCACCTGAAAATTGCTGCCGCCACCCACCCTCACGCACACAGCCGAAATCCCCCTAGTCACTGAGTGCCACATCCCCCTCCCCATTTCCCCCTGGGCCGGCCACTTGTTGCCACATCGTGGCATATATCTGGCCTCTTCACGCCCGTTCGTTTAACGCGACGATTCTGGTATATAGCAGGCGATCGCATAGCACTCGCGCGGCCTCTGGTATAGGGACTCGCGGGGTAGTGGGGTGCTGAGCAGGGGGGTAAATGCTTTTCATGCTTTTCCGCGAACGCGAACGATGAAAAATTCTTTAACATAACGTGTAGCAGCGCTTTGGATCGTCAGTCTGTTTAGTCGAACCGCAGCATTCGCTCCTACGACGTCAGCTGCTCGGACTTTAGTTGAGATTTCAATTTGTTTCTTTTTCCCTAAGTAAGTTTTTTTTTTTCTGTTTCTGTTCCTTCTACTGCTCTACTGCTGCTGCTTCTTCCTGCCCAAAATCAAAAAAGAGTGTGTCAAACCGAAAGAAAAAACAAAAAATGAACAAAAACTTTTCGAAAAGCGAAAAAAAAACCATGAACCAAACTTTAAATCGAACATAAAACGAAAAAATCCTTTGTCGTAACAAAACAGAACAGCAAGGAAATCCATCAATCAACCGAACAATTTAAATCAACAACAAATCGAAACAACATTGGAAATTGGAATTCCTCCGCATTATATAATCCTGTTTCAGTTACGTTTTTTTTTGTTGGCAATTTTTTTAAAGTGAAACTGAATGAACCGAAATCGAAATAAAGTGAAATCAAATGAACCGTCAAAACTCTGCAGAAAAATGATAATTTTTTTCCAATTTTTTTTGTATGCAAAATGTATTTGAATTTTTTTTTGTACAATTTTTTTCGTTTTGGTTTTTGCCTGGCGCAATGGCTAAAAATACTTATATTCGACTGCTCCCCAGGCATTTGCAACCACAACATCAAAAGCCAAAGAAAACCCGAAAAGCAAATTCAAAAGAAAAAGCAGCAGCAACAACAATAACTACAAAAGAAACAACAAAAGCAACAACAACAGTAGCAGCAGCAGCAGCAGCAGCAACAACAACAACAACAACAAAATAGGAACAACAATAAAAAAAAACCACAGCAAGACAGGAATATATATATACATCCGATTCGAGCGTCGAGTCGTACCAAAAACCAAAAAGTGTTATATGATCTGAGAGGAAATTTAATTTTTTTTTCTTCATTTTGTTCGAATTTTAAAAATAAATTCGTTCTGCGTGTGTGTGTGTTTTTACCTTGGCTAAATGTCCAAGACACACACGCTGGCACAGACAGCCGCACAGATATACAGATAAAAAGATACTTTTCGTCTCTGGCAGCTGTGGCCACAATCAGCGCAGGCGCCATTGAGACAGAGATAAGACATAGACATAGAGATAGAGAAAGAGATGGAGATGTAGATGTCGAAGTAGATAAAGAAAGAGAAAGAAATGTAGATGTAGATGTGATCCACCCACGCCCGACAGGCAGCCATCAGATATACATAGATCTGGAGAGTCTGGAAATTAGATTTCTATAAATGGAAACCTGTAGAGCTTTTTGGTAAATGTAAAATGAATGAGCGGCAATGAGAGGAAAGCACTGCAAGAGATAGTATTTAAGGATATTGGAGATCTGTTGAGAAACAGGATAATTCCAGGAAGCAAAGTGAAGAGCGAAAGGAAAAAAATTAAAAAAGTATTGTATACAATTTAGAGACAATAGATTCATACAAAAAAAAGTTCCTAACAAAAACTCAAAGTCCCATATAAAAAGGTTAAAAAAGAAATCCTATAATCAGGAAGAAACTTTCATTTAAAGACACAATTGTGTTTTTTTTTTTGGTGCTTTCAGCATTATATTATATTAGTATTAATGCAGAATGGAACAGTAGAATTCTTTATATATAATTATGGATTATCGTGAATTTTTTGAGACAGATCGTTTCATATCTGCTAGCCAGAAAGTTTGATATGTTTTTGTGGGTTACCACGAAGAGAGGTTCTCATTTCTCAAGAATTTGTAGATGTAAAAAAGGTTTTCCGGCAACATTGCATTCCGCGTGTACCCATATTCTCCAAAACTGACCCAGTTTGTGAGTCGCTAAAAATAAGTATTTGAAACTGCACTCCAATGCAAAATGCAAAAAGGAATAAAAATGGAAAAAATCTTATGAAATTTTAGACATTTTTGCATATGAAATGTGCCGCACACACACGCCCAGGTTTCTATACTACAAATATATAGAACCATAAATAATATGAGGAATATATTTAGTATAAATATTTAGAGAGCGATCTATGAATGGCATTTGAAATTTATTTTGCTTTTCTTTGGCACACACACCCATGAAAATATATACATATATATAACCGAGAAGCTTTTCTAGGATTTCTGATTTAGTGCCAAGGTAAAAAAAATTTACAAAATTTTCGAAACTCAACCAAAAATCAGAATAAGCTTTCGTCGAAGCTTTTGCGCAGCTTTTGGATGCCAAAAGGGAAATTCAATACGTGCCACAAAGTCTATTTTTAACGGGAAACGCATTGAAAGAAAAATTGAAGAAAAACACCGCTATACGTACTATGTATATAGATCATACTATGGCGCTCTCCCTCGCACACACACACACTCACACATGTGTCTTATTATAAAGATAGAACCAGAAAATTAAATAATTTTAGAGGCAACAGAGCCACAGGAATTTATTGTTGTTGTGGAAGATTATGATGTGAGAACACGACATTGTTGCCGGCTATATAAAGACAGGTTCCTCTCCCTATATATACATACACATGCATGTATATGCGGTGTATATAAATATATATCTTATGACAGCAGACCCACACACACGTACATAGACACAGGCATACATATAGAGAGACATATCTATCTATTTATAGAGTCCTATCAAGGCAATAGGCATAGGAAAAAAAACGAACGTTGTTTGTTGTTGCTGGCGGATACTTTTGTTGAAATTACTGAACGAAATCACGACCAGCAAAACCTAACCGAACATTTTTCTTCTCCAAATTATTCTTGCAGGTTTTTTCAACCCTAAACCGTAACCATGTCCGACGATGAAGAGTACACGTAAGTAGCAGAGCCCGGAGACGCTCCATGACTTGAAAATAATAAGTATACGACGCGTCCGACGTGGAGAGTAATCAAAGTGTTAAGAAGTGATACCTAGTGCTAAATGATAAGAATTATAGTTAGTTCAAGTTAAAGTTAAAGTTCAAAGAGAAGTATTCAAGTTTAAAGAACCACCTACATATGTTCCCACTACTAATTTGAAATTATTTTGAAATATTGTCAACAACGAATTTTTTGTGAATTTTTGTAAGAAAGTTTTTGAACACGTCTGGTGTACGCCACCGTACATGCCACTATACATACACTTTTGATATACCCATGTGGCACCTATTTTGATCTGTATTCCTTTCGTCTATTTCCACGCATTCTCTCATGGAAACCACAACCACAACCCAAAACCGAACCCCGAACCACGAAACCTAACCGTGAACCACCAACCATTATCCTTCCATGATTATGTTCGATCAACCGCTAATGCTGTCGTTTCGTTTCTTTCGAAATCAATTAATACCAATCGAACAACAATTCAACAACAACACCACAAAATCAACAACAATTCAACAACCAATCGACAATCACCTCTGCACCTGCACCTGTACCTGTACCTGTGTGTGTGTGTGTCACGTCACCCGTTTGCACTCTTGCACTCTCACTCGTCAAACCAAATAATAAATATACAAAAAAAAAAAAAACACGAAAAATAAAACACATGTAATACTGTTATAATTAAACAACTCCGTTTAATTACGAACACCAAAGCAGCTCCGAGGAGGAGGAGGTTGTCGAGGAGACCAGAGAGGAGACGTAAGTACATTTTTGTTGCCAATTTGTGTCGAAATTTTTTGTTGGTTTTGGTGCAGCAGCCTCAAGAACTCGATTGGTGTTCATTTTATATACTCGTATCTGTATCTCTGTACTATTTACCTCCCCCCTCCCTATTTGTGTCACATAAATATAAATATTTTTGTCGCTCCTTTTTTTTGATTTATCCAAACCAAATCTATTTTTTTTGCGTAATTTTTTGTTATTTTACTCCAACAATTTTCTATATGTGTTGTATTTTTGTATATTTTTGTTGTCAATGTACGCTAAATGCTGACAAACCAAAAAAAAAAAAAAAAAAAAAAACAAGCAAACAAACAAATTTTTGATAAAACTGTAGAAAATGCCCTTTCCTCACCATTTTTGTGTATCACCCCAAAAGCCTAAACATAAAACCCAACCTCCACACCAGAAACCAACCCAACAAAATTTTGTTTTCTGTACTTGTCTGTAATCTGTAAATAATCTTAATTTTTTTATTAATTATACCATTATGAATTATGATTTCCTTTTCTGTTGTACATTTATGTTATTTCCTTTGGTTTTTGTTTTCAATGTGTTGTTGTGTGCGTCTATCAAAGCAGAAAGAAAAAAAATTTTAAATTTACATATACAAAATCTTGACTTAATTGTACAAAAATCTTACTAATGGAACCTGGAAAACCACCATCGAACCTTTTCACTCACTCCTTCACACCTTTCACCCAATCACTCAAGCAACGAGCTCATAGTTCTGTCCCCCATCTCCCCCCCTTCCTAAGCAAACAAATTAGCAAATCAAACTGTGTATATACTTAAAAGATATATGTATCCCCCCACCATACCAAGCGCTGAACCCATCCGCCCCCCAGATTGGAACCTATAGCTTTCCATATACTACATATATATACATACTTATTATTGTGTATTTTTGTATACGTAACCTGTCTTTTGTCTATCTGTCTGCAGCTGCAACATGTCTATCTGTCTATTCCCCCGAATTCCCAGCAGCAAGAAAATAAATTTCCAAAAAAAAGATAAAATTAAATACATTTCTAAATCTAAAACTCTAAAACAAACTTTTGGCAAAAAGTTAACTCTCTTTCCGCCTATCGCTGGCCTGGCTTAGCAAAAAAAAAACCAAAATGTTCTTGCCTTTCAGACTTGGAAATATCTCATTGATCTCATTGAACTATGTTTCTCTCTCTCTTTCTCTCTTCCATCTCTTTTTGATTCTCTTTCTTGTTACAGGAAGTAAGTAAATTGTGTGAGAAAACCAATGAAAAGAAGAAAGAAAGAAACCAAATCAAAAGTTTAAAAAAATCGAAATTCTAAATCAAATGTAATTCGTATTTGTTTCGAGACAATAACAAAACAAAATCCTATCGAATCTGATATCACAAATCCCGCAGATCTGTAAACAATTGTTTCCAAAAACAGAATGATCCACAAAATTTCCACAAATCTTTTTTGAAATGCCCAAAAACCATTGCTCGTTTGCCAATTACCAAAAAAAAAAGAAAAAAACCCAAGAGACAAAAAAACTTGTTTGTGTATATTTCTGCTCTCTTTCGACAATATATCTCTCTATCTCTCGCAACCAACAAACCATGCATCAGAGAACCAGTTCCAGTACCAAGTACCAGTTCCAGAACCAGCTCCAGTTCATACTGTACAAAGAATCGTTGCTTGGAATTTCGTTTCGTTTCGATTTTATTCACCTTTTTTTTAGTTTTCTTTAGAACAACAACAAAACAGAAAACAACAACAAAAGAAACAACAAATACGCACTTACCACGAAATAAATAATTTTGTTTTTATTTTATACAAAGAACAAATATCTCTCTCTATATATATTCTCCATCTTATCTTCTTCTTTCATTTCGTTTCCAAAAAAAAAAAAAAAACAACAAACCAACCAAAACCATTTTGCAAATGAATTTTTTAAACAAAAAAATGTTTTTCTCTTTCTTTTCAACGTTCTTTTTTGTTTGCAAAAAAATATATATATACATTAAAAATCCAATTAAATTTTGTATGAAATTTTCAAACCGAAACCCAAAAAAACACCGTGAAATTGTCAATTTTTGAAACACAAAACAAACAAACAAAACCAAATCTATATATGTATAAAAAATATCACCACCTCCATGTTTGTTGCCACCTCAATGCCTCACGTATAGAAAACCACCTCAGACACCAGCCGAGTAAGTCTATGTACAAAAACAAATGTGAACCACAAATGAAAAACAAGAATGCTAACCGAAACTAACACCTTAGTGTTATGTTAAGATCGTCCACAATTAATCCCGCCTGTTCGTACAAATAAGCAACCCAATACAAAAAAAAACACACACAAGACTCAAAAATAGTTTAGACTGTACCTCTGTACCACTACTCAACTGAACTCCAGTCAATTCCACAATTACTCACCACAAAACTCACCTCAAGCGGCGCCATGGAACCGATTAATAATCGTTTCATTTTTTGGCGTGTTTCCGTTAAGTTTCATTATTATTTTTTTTTAACTAGAGTAGAATTGTCCTCAGTAGAACGTAGAAAATCTAATGCTTTCTCACATCAGCTCTTTGATGGCTACTAATTGTAAAGAAAATAATAAATAAAACTCAATAAAGATTAGTATGTATTTAAATACCCGACATTTAGACCAAACAAAAAAAATATATAAAATAAAATAAACAGGCCTTAAGAAGTTCTATCAAAATGCTGTAATTAATTTTAGTATTTAGACATTATTCGTAGTACTAGTGGCTATCTAAAAGAAACCAAAAAACAAAAGAATAAAAAAGAACAGCCCGCCACTTGATGAACGAAAACTAATTGATTATTTTGTTTCCCCCTCCTTTAACCCTGTCTTGACACTATCCAGAGGTGAGGGCGATCCAGAGTTCATCAAGCGTCAGGACCAGAAGCGATCCGATCTCGATGAACAGCTGAAAGAATACATCAGCGAATGGCGCAAACAGAGATCCAAGGAGGAGGATGAGCTGAAGAAGCTGAAGGAGAAGCAGGCCAAGCGCAAGATCTCCCGCGCCGAGGAGGAGCAGAAGATGGCTCAGCGCAAGAAGGAGGAGGAGGAGCGCCGCGTCCGCGAGGCTGAGGAGAAGAAGCAGCGCGAGATCGAGGAGAAGCGCTTGCGCCTCGAGGACGCCGAGAAGAAGCGCCAGGCTATGTTGCAGGCCATGAAGGACAAGGACAAGAAGGGCCCCAACTTCACCATTGCAAAGAAGGATGCAGGCGTGGTAATTATATGAGATTCCATCAATGCACCCTACTGATACGCCTCCCCCCAACCATATATTTTATTTTTTTTTCTGGTTTTTGGCTATATCATTTTGCGTCTTGTTTTGTTTTCTTTTTTATTCTCTCACATACGATTCGCACCAAACACACTTACTCACAAACAAACAAACAATACACATCAATTATATTTTCTCTCATCGATTGCCCTTATTGTTGGTCGTCATTGATCGCTGATCGTTGATCCTCGATCATTGATCGTTAATCGTGATCGTTATCGTTATCGTTTGTGTCCCATCCATCAAAACTCGTATCGTATCGCATCCTTGCTTGTCATACAACAAAACAAATCAAATTAAACCAAACCCAACCCAACCCTACACAAATGTGAAACTGAAACAACAAAAAAACTCTTTGTTTTTTCCTTTTTCTTTTGCAAAAACACGCATGTATGCCCATGTATATCCGTTATCCGTACACCTCCACACACAAACAAACAAACACACACACACACACACACACACACATACAAACAAACAAACAAACACAATAAAAAACAATCGCAACTTCCTCTTCCGCTCCATGCGCTCTTCTCTTGTGTGTGTCTCTCTCTCTCACTGTTTGTCTCTCTCACTTGTACCACACGTACCACAAAATACAAAATAAAACCAAAAACACAACGAAATGTGTCTGCATTAAAAACAAATATTAAAAAAATTAAAAAAAAACCAAAAACAAAACAAAACAAAAAAAAACTTGCACGCACATGAAAACAAAACAAAAAATAGTTGGGACTCTCGTCCGCCGCCATGGAACGTAACAAGACTAAGGAACAGTTGGAGGAGGAGAAGAAGATCTCGCTGTCGTTCCGCATCAAGCCACTGGCCATCGAGGGCTTGGGCGAGTCCAAGCTGCGCGAGAAGGCACAGGAGCTGTGGGAGCTCATCGTCAAATTGGAAACTGAGAAGTATGACTTGGAAGAAAGGCAGAAACGTCAGGACTACGATGTGAGTACCAATCAAGCCCCCCTCCCTCCATTATCTCCATGGCATTAGTGAAATAAACTCCCCGATTCCAGTTGAAAGAGTTGAAGGAAAGACAGAAGCAACAGCTCAGGCACAAAGCCTTGAAGAAGGGTCTCGACCCAGAAGCTTTGACTGGCAAATACCCGGTAAGTCGATCGATACTCCTATATTCCGATATCGATATCTGACTCATACGCGATTTATCTTTGCACTTGCAGCCCAAGATTCAAGTCGCCTCCAAATATGAGCGACGTGTCGATACACGCTCATACGACGACAAGAAGAAGCTCTTCGAGGGTGTAAGTATTCAGTTGCCTGGCACGCGATTAGACTTGGTTTTTTTTTGGGTTTCTCTTGCTTCTACTATGTATATTTTCAATGTATATCTCAATATCATATCAATAATATAGGGCTATAATACGGTCTATGCGGAAACCTTAGAAAAGACCTGGCAAGAAAGACAGGAAAGATTTACTCAGCGTACAAAATGTAAGCGTCCGATAAGCGATCACATGGCTCATAGTGTGCCATCTCCAATCTCCATGTCTACGTGTGTCTCTCTACCTATCTATCTATGTCTAATCCATAAAACTATGTCCAATCATTACCAAAGTACAGTCACATCAAAGGGTTGGTTGGGAGCGAACGGATGAAGCAGCTTAGAATGAATGGGAATGGAAATGGGTTAGGGTTAGGGTGGGACGGGGACGGGGACGGGAATTGGGCGACTGACCACAATAACTCACCTAACGTCTACTCTCTGTTTATTTTTCTTTCTATGTTTTATGTAAACTATATTTCATAATTGTCAACTTTACTTGTGTGCGCTGCGTATCGTAACATTCATTTAAAAAAACCCCAACCAAAAACACGGCATCCCAAAAAAAACACACACACCAAACACACAAAACGACAGGGCTTTGATGCGATCACCAAGGACTCGAACGAGAAGATCTGGAACGAGAAGAAGGACCAATACACCGGCCGTCAAAAATGTATGTACTGTGCTCTACTAACTAATACTTCTACTGCCACTGCCACTGCCAATGGCATCAGCACAGTGAATGGGGGTGGGGGTGGGGGCTGTGGCTGTGTCGACTGTGTCGCCCCCAGAGCATCTCCACCAGAGACGACAACAACAGAACAACATTCATCCTTCTGTTCATTGTCGTGCCATGTATTGTATTATATTTTCCTGTTCGTCTGAGACCCATCCGCTAGAGTTTTTCCCCATTCGTAGTAGAAAACTACTATATTGGTGGATCGATCAAATGCTAATCGATTGTGTCTTTTTTTGTTCTACTTCAAATACAGCCAAACTGCCAAAGTGGTTCGGCGAGCGACCAGGCAAGAAGGCCGGTGAGCCCGAGACACCCGAGGGCGAGGAAGATGCCAAGGCCGATGAGGACATCGTTGAGGATGATGAGGAAGTCGAGGAGGAGGTCGTCGAAGAGGAGGATGAGGAGGCTGAGGAGGATGAGGAGGAAGAGGAGGAGGAAGAGGAGGAGGAAGAGGAAGAGGAGGAGGAAGAGGAGGAGGAGGAGGAGGAAGAGGAGGAGGAAGAGGAATAAGCCAACTCTGAACTCATTCGTTCCCCACCACCACCCCCCGTCTTTTTCGTAAAACAAACTCTACATTTAAATACCAAGCAAAAATACCAAAGCCAAACAATTTTAATAAAAGTAAAAGAATGAACTAAATAGTTATTATCTTAGCTTATTCGAAAACATACTTATTATTCTTGCAAAACAAACAAACATCAACTTGAGCAACTTTTTTTATTGAACTTATCAAATTGAAACAAGAAATGTAAAAATTTCTTTCAAATAAAACATCAAAACCAACACCAACTAAGTCAAAATACCAGAGAACAAAAACCATCATCAACTGCAACAAACAAACAAAAAACCAAAAGAAAGAAAGCAATCAAGATATTAAAGTGTGTTATGGCATCATATCTATGAACAATTCCTGTTGTTTGTGTGTATGTCTGTGCGTCGATCGGGTCGATCTCTCAGCATTCGTTCTCCAGGGCGAATACTTATTGGATATGGGGAACATACATATGTATATGTCTGCTCTTTCTCTGTACTGTGCCACATCTCTGCTGCTATGCGAGAAAGGTCAAGAAGTAAATGCTGGATATTGGCAGTCTGCAGCAGTTACAAAAATATTGCCGGAAAACATGGAAAAGATACATATCTACGATATAGAACTCTACTGAAGAGCAGTAAATTGCGCAGCGCTTTGTATTTATTTTTTAGATTTTCCGAATTTCTACTGACTAATTGGAAAGTGTGCTTTTTGATCCTTAACACATTTAGGAAAATTGGAAAATCTACAATTTTTACAGCGAACTTCAATAATGCAGCAGCACTTAAGTATGCTATACTTTTTCGTTGAACGCTACATTTTGGCCCTGGGGCGGCACTATCTTGGTTAATCTGGGTCAAATGTGGGAAGCTTGAAATATATCGCCTTAACGGGCGTCACAACAGTCCTGGAGGATGTTGAAAAAAATCGAATCGAAGATCTAATCTAATAATCGAAGATTTTTTTTAAGTAACTGGACAGTAGCCAACAAAAGAGAATCTTAAACGAATAGAATAACATTTGCGAAAACCAAATACCAGAGATGCCACAAACGCATGAAATTTCAGAGTTCTGTACGCATATATACATATACATGTATGTACATACATACACCAGGGGCGTTAAGTCCATCCACCGTCTCGGCGCGCTCCGGATGTGGTTGTTGTGGTTTTCGGACCATTTCAGATGACGCTGCGCTGGTCATCGCAGTAATCCTGCGATGCGATACTCGATATCCTTATCATTGAGGAGAGGAACGTGGCATTGGCGACCCGTGCAGGCGTCGACCGAAAGGCGGCGCGAGAGCAGGCTAGAGGTGAGCATCAGAGCCTGGGAGCTGGATAAATAGGGGTCACGGTGCGGTTAGTTTCTACACCGCACAACTCCTCAGTGGACACGGCTGCTTCGCACAGTACCTGTGCAGATTTGGCCACGACGATTCTCCACACTGCAGATGGTGCGGCAGTGCCACAGAAGACGCTGAGCACACAAGATTTGTGTGCGGGCGCTTCAGAGAGCATCAGGAGCGAACTATGGCGACAATGTAACTATGGCAGGAGGTTGTCACCCAGCAACCTGGTAAAAGCGATGGTGGGAGACGCCACGATATGGACGGCAGTGAGCAATTTTGCTGCCGCCTCGAAGGGAGATAATTTAGGGAACCCTGCGAAGGGTTGCATTGCAATGCTTCGCGGCCGTCCCGGAGGAATTTGGAACTTCTTATATTTCTCCACAAGTATAGCCCAATAGCTTTAGATATATACATACTAGAGATCTGCATAAATTATAAAAACAGGCATTCGAATTGACAATGCTCAAAATGAATTGAGTGAATTCGAATGCTATGTCAACAGAGTTTGAGTGAGTGAGTGCGCTGACGTAAAACTCATACGCACAATATTGAAACGACAAGGCACGAATTGAATAAGTGAGAGTGAGGGCAGTATCCGAATTCATTCGAATGCATTCGAGTTATTCGAATTTCTCTGTCTCTGCCATTTCTGTCATTTCGTTTTGTGCACTCCTTCATTCTAACTCATACAACCGAATGTTGAAAAGTGTGAGGCACACACACACACTCCCATTCGTATAAACTCAATTCATTGTGTGTGTGTAACTCAACTCAATTCAATTCGAATGGATTCTATTGAAATTTGTTTTTGAATGGAGCTTCGTAGATCTCTAATATATACATAAAATCATATAATACATATAATTAATCTATAAGATAGTGTACATATTTTAAAAAATGAGAGTAAAGAATAAAAAAAAAAAATTTCATAAACGGGTGGATCTGGAGATGTTCAGGTACTGAGTCTGAAATTGTGTCAATAAGTACAAACGATTTTATTTTGCATAGTTTTATTTTATATTTTATATTTAACTTTTATTGTTTCCGCATTTGATTTGTTTTTTGTTTTGCTTTTATTTTGTTTATGGGTTGTATAGTATAATTCCACGTACGTATATATTCGGCTGATTCTTAATGTTCATGTTGCTGTTATTAATGAATACAATATTGTACAATTTGCTTAGCCTACCAACTGCACACAGAAAATGTCTGATGAATAGAATTACATAGTTATTTTCCATATCGTGATCTTTGCAGCGTACAGTTTTTGTTTTGCATTTTTCCTGCTTTATATTTTGCTAAATACTCTTCGTTATGGTTCCTTGGATTGATGGGGCTTGTGTATGGGGGCGGGGGCGAGTATACATTTATTGTGGGGTTTTGGGGCGTTGTGGGTTAATTTATTTTAATTTTATAGTTTCTTTGTGCCTTGATTGTCTGTCTGCTGCAAGTAGATCGAAATACAAATTGGCGCTTCAACATGCAGCGATTACCCACAGAAAAAAAAATGTTTACATACAATACACATATGTACATACATAAATATATGTGTGATTGGAGAGATATAGTACATACATACATACATTGGTACAAATTATACAAAAAATGCATATTTTAAGATAGCAAAAATAGTTCACGTTTCAAATTTATATACTCGTTTTTTTTACACATACACTGCGTTTCACGGCCATTAAAGCATTCGCTTTGCTCACTTTATGGCTTACATTTATGCTCTGGTTTCGATGGCTCTGAAAGACGCACACACAGATTTAAAATATATTGTACATAATTATTATTATCTTTTGCCCATTCCTTTGTTAGACATTCTCTTTTTGTTTTTATTGATGTTTAGTGAGCAAGGGAGACAGCATCATATGGATTATCCTTTTCTGTCTTTTTTCAATTTTAATTTTCTCTAAGCAATCATTTTTTCTTTCTTATTTATTGTCAGCAATTCTCTTTTCTTTTTTTTTGTCTTGAAATAATAAATAGAAAAAAAAAACTTAACTAACGGGATTTTTTCTTCGAGCCCAAGGCTAGCGGTAATTAAGTTCGAACATGCATACAACATATAGCTATCCCTTTCGCGTACGCACACACACACATGCGCCTACGCAGCAGTTGGGACGGACAAGGGTCATAGGGCTGTGTGAGTTTGTGTGTTGTGTGGCAAAAATAAAAAATAATAGTAAAAGTTTCCTCAAGGACATTTACTTCACAAATGTACATGGAAGGAGTGCTGCTGTGTTAGCGAGACAAAGTCATGTGGTAAGTACAGTACGGTCATAGCAAGTCGCTGCCTCTCGCTCTAGCTGGTTATTCTTGGTATCCTTTTACGAAAAATTAATGAAATGAAGTGAGGCTTCAAGCAGTACTCTCTGAAGTAAATGTCATCCAGGCGCCAGCAGTTATCCTGTTCTTAGCCTATATCCTGAAAGTACAGTCCCGTCACTCTAGACTTAATCTTTACTAGTATACAAAAGTTGAACATCCTGTGAGTACACAGATCTTCCCATTCTGCAGCATTCATATGTCATGCAGGCGCCAGCAGTTAAACTGTTTTTACTCGTATATAAGTACCGTCATGTTCTTAAACTACACTGTACGAAGGCTGTGTTCCTATGTCCCCTTTTAACTATTCTTAAGCTGTATGCTGTAAGTACAGTACCATCAAGCAGTCGCCTATCATAAGTTAGTTGCCTCTCGCTCTATCTGGTTCGATTTGCCGTCCATCCAGGCAGTGGAATCTGAGATGGAGTGGAGTCCTCCAGGTACCTACCAAGACAGCAGTTGAACGGTTCTAAGCCTAACACCACTCGAGGTCTAAGATCCTCTCTTTTTCGTGGCATACAATGGCATACAATACATACATACGTACATAAAATCTATTACAACTCGCATTTACATTTAGACATTAAGTTTTACATAGATACATCCATTTATATATTATATAATATATTGTATAATTAAATATTTATATTGATTTATTCAATTTATTTTCTTTACATTCAGTCAATTTATTGCAACAAAAAAAAAAAACGTTAAAAAAATGCCTAGTTACATATATTTGTATTCACGTCATGTTTGTTACCCCCTCCCTACCCATCAGCAGAAAATATTTGATGTATTATTATTACTCATATTTCGTCTGATTAATTAAAACATTTTAAAAGCTCATTCATTAAAAATTTAACATTTCTAGATAATTGTTGTTTTTGTTTTGCTCTTCATCATACAAACGTATAAACAGTGCCTATTTTTTATATATATTTATGTATACATCTATATATAGATGTTATAATATGTTATGCCTTAGCACATAGACGAATTTCGGGCAAAGTCCGGCCACCGGAAGAGATTCTTTCGATCCGAAACGCTTCGGGGGAAAGCATATATAATCGAATTATTTCATAATTTACTCGTATATACACAATTAAAAATATTAAAAAAAAAGCGGGCCATCTAATTAAAAGTCTCTCAAAAAACATGCGTACAAAATATTTTTACTAAACTAAATTGAAAGATTTGTTATAAATTATTATAGTGGAGGTCGGTGAAGGTCCAGCTTTTGCTTGCACTTATTCAGCTTATTTTGGTGGTCTTTTGCAACTTAAAGATTGTTCATACACATATACACATATAGATATATGACCGAGTAGATATAATATACAGACAGTGCGTTTCATGACATAAGAGTGGCCACAAATCGCCTTAAAAGTGGTTTTAGTGGTTGTATGGAAGTGGTTTAAGTTTATACATATTAAGTCTGTTGTCCAATGGAGTCTTTGCTTTAAATTAAGTTAGTTTAAACCTGGCCTGTAATCGTAAAAGTGAAACTAAATCATAATATCACTCATCTTATTAAGACAATTACTGAATAGAGTTGTGGGAATGGTGTTATCGTAAATAAACACATACGTAGGAGATGTTGCCATAGCGAATTATGGAATAGATTAAATCCCGTGTTATTCCATAGAGTACAATGTGATTACATTTATCATATATGTTTGTATGTTTATGGGATAATCTGTTCCAATGTCTATGCTATTGTTTTCGCTTGCTCGTTGTCATGAAACGCACTCTGCGGGGGGCTAAAATGTTGTCTGTTGTGTCTGTTTTTTTTTTGTTACATTCATTTTTGGTAACATTAAAAAGCATTAGTGTATGTACGTACATGTACATCACACATGCATATACACCACATATGCATATCCATATGTAATCTTATATGCTTTATAGCTAATACAATTAAAAATTGGTGTGCATGTGTGTGTCTGTGTGTTAGGGTGTCTGTGCGCACCACATCATCATCCTACATCATTATCATCATCTACATTAACATCTGTCACTGTTATCATAATCATTATCAAAGTTTCCGCGTTCTTTCAGTGCTTGCCACGTGGCAGTCTTATGGGTATATGCGGATATCATGTATCCGCCAGTGGGCCATTCTGGTTGTGGTTGTTGTTTTTATTGTTGTTGTTGTTGCTGTTGATGTTGCCACTGAACTGTAATGGCAGCTGCTTTATCGTAATGACATCCTTTGGCTTTTGATGCAACAATTGTTGTTCTTCTTCCGGTTCCTGTTCCTGTTCCTCTTCCCGAATGAATTCTTTTTCTTGATGCTGATGCTGCTGCCGATGCTGTTGCTGTTGCTGATGCTCCTGGTGGTGTCTCTGCAGTTGATGCTGATGACTCTGCTGCTGCTGTTCTTGTTCTTCTACTGGTATAATTTTATTGATATTGTAAAGATTATTATCGTTCATATCAATATTATTATTATTATTGTTGTTGTTATTGTTGTTGTTGCTAGTGTTTATTATATTGTTGGGGTTGTCGTTATCGGTGTCCTCACTCGACCTGGGATTCATTTGGAGCACTTGCTTGGCCTTATTTTCCCACAGTCTTCGATTGGCCTTGACCTGCAAAATTGATAAACAAATTAATTGCCTTCATAAATAAAAGTACTATAAATGTTTTTCTTTTAAATAAAATTATCCTTTAAATATTTTAAATACATTTATGAACGAGTATATGCAGTGGCACACATTTGAGGATTGAATATAATTGTTGTGGATTATATCCCCCATTGAGCAGCTGTTGCCGATGGCCGCCGCCTCATTATGGTTGCTCCCCAATCTGCACAGCCACACAACAGCAACACATGCATACATATGCCAACAGCTGCACATTTAAGCTTCAGAACAATGCCAACGACGGAAACTTTCGAGCACCGCCGAACAACAGTTCAACTTTATCGGGGGTTCCAATTTAAGCGGAAAATATGTTGCTATACAAATATCCTCAGATTTCTAGCTAGTTAAAAAGCGATCATCTGTTGCCCCCATACAAAATGATCCCCCAAATACATATGTACATGTATGGAATTCTTTCTTAATTTTTTTCATTTTCTCATCACATATTTTTTGCATACTTTTCGTTTATATTTACATTAAAATCCATTTCCCATCTTTTTTAATTAAAAATAAATTAAATATTTAAAATAATCACTAAACAATTTTAAAACGATGAGAACAAACGGGAAAACAGTTTTATTTTTATATTTTTAAAATGCTTTCCCCTTCCATTCTTATTATTTGTCATTACAACTTTGGCTTTGGATATCCTGAAGTGGTTTAAATATTATACAAAATATGATTTCTTTCATCGGTAGTGTAGTTAATTGAATAATGCTGTTTATTAATCTTCCCTGCGCATTTTTTAATCTGGTTTCTGCAATCATGTTTTTTTAATAGCAAGTTTCATTTTGCAATTTACATTTTTTTTCTCTACCGCATTTTCTCTGTTATTTTTGCAATGTGTTAATTTTTTTACAGATTTATCTCGCTTCTCTCTGGACCCTGCCCCTTCTTCATATTTGCTTTACACGAGCATTTTTTCATGGCTCTCCTCTTATATTTACTTTCCCTGGTCTCCCATTTGGTGCCCTGCCTGAGGGTATTTCCTTTTCGTTATTTTGATTTCCATTTTCGCGTGCAATTTTCCTCCCGCACTTATTATTTTTACTGCACAAACATGCAATATGAAATATGCAAATATGGATTAAATATTAAATGTGCGCAGACACCTCCAGCAGCAAGAAGGCGAAGAAGGAGGAGCAGCCGCGTCAATTAATTAAAATATTCGCCATTAACATAAATTAAGAAATATTATGGAATTGGCGGACTTTCAATTGATATTAATTGCGTTGCAACCTTGTTACCGTTACGGTTACGGTTGGGGGTGCCAGGTGGCAGCATGCCTGGGCATGGCAGGTAGTATGTGGCGTCGGGAATCGCCAGTCAAACTACGACGGGGATTGCTAAAGTTGACTTAACTTTGTCCGGCTTCTCTCTCTCCCTCGGTCTCCGTCCGTCCGTCCATCTGTCTGTTCACCTGTCTGCTCGTTCCTGCCACTGTCGTTCCCTGTTGGTGGTGGCATGCATGTATAAATTGCCACTTATGCCATAAGCTGTCTGATATGTTTCGGCGCCCGGTTACGCCTCCCCGCAGGCAACAGCATGGAAACATTGCAATTTCAACTGTCAAACAGAAATTGCCGCCGTGACAGCGCAATAAAAAAACACAAAAACTCAGGGGAAAAAATTAAAAAAAAAAAAAATGAAACCCCGGCAAAATGACAGTGAAAGGTGAAAGCAAATCGAGTTGAAAAGTGCAGCCACGGTTCATATATGGCTACAGACACACACATATGCCAAACGGAACTGTTTAGTCCCGACTCCTGACTGCCCTCCCTAGTCCTGGACTTCCGTCTATCGCTGGTCCCAGACTGAAGCCCCCCACCGGAGTGGAGAATCGAGTTAAATGTGCACCCGGGATAAAGTCTCAGAGAGACCAGAGACCAGAGTCCTGTGTCTGCTACTATCAGCATTGGTCTGGCGCTGTCACTGATGCAATTTTAATTTATGAGGCACTCTTTGGACAAACAAATATGCAAAAAATATAGAAAAAGGGCAGATAACTCAACTTAAGTTAACTCAACTCGAGTCGAGTCGAGTCGAGTGGACTAATTAATTAGCAGCTAATTTAACGCGTCGCTGCGCAGGACATAACTCAGCAGGATGCACTGGCAAACAGAAGGACAGAGAGAGCAGCGACAGAGAGCGGGCAAGGATGGGGCAGATGGAAATGGAAACTGGAGGCACACACCCACTGTACCACACCGCACCGCTGGTCAGCTCCAAGTACCTCCCTGGCCCACCAAAAATTGCAATTAAATCTTGTGGGTAAGGCGGACACCCGCGGGCAACATCTGTGTGGCCGAATCATCATCCGAATGAACATGCCGCTCAGCCAGATGGCAGAGAAGGCCACCCCGCCTATACATATGCGACCCCTCGAATGCGTATACGAATACGAATACGAATATGCGTAATATTACAACCGCAATGGCCCACAGCGCAATTGAACTGTGACCTCAGGGCGTTGTAATTGCTAACCAAAAGTCATTGGAGCAAAATGTGATTGGACAAATTGTATGGACGAATGGAACTTGCCAAGCGATTGTGTTTGAAACTTAAAGCAAAATTGTATTTAAACATGGCACAATCTTTGCTGACACATCATTTTTGACATTTTTGGCATTTTTGACATTTTTGGCATTTTTGTCATAAATAAACATACAAGACAGTGCTCTTTTCTGCTGCTGCTGCTGCTGTTGCCGGATTTGGTTATATTTACTGGCTCGGCATTGCCTGTCTGTGTTTATTTGACAGATGGTTGTGTGTCATCTCTTTGGACTCTCCATACAAAGATACTTATACTTTGACTTTTTGCAATTGCAGCGAACTATTATAATCTCCGTTTGGTATTTGTCTATAATCACAACTCACATACTAGACATCGAATTAAGACCGAAATTGGGCAATCTCCGGTGCACTCTCTCTGTTCTTAAGCCAATCTGCATCTTCTGTAGTCTTTTGTATTGGGTATAAAGCTAGCATCGATTCTATCTCTATTGTTTCTCTATTACTTAGTTATAATATTATTTATTCCCAGTGTATTATGGTTAATATTTATATAAATAATTGGTGAGTATTCTCAGGCATTTATGTACGTTCTGCCATTGAAAGGATCTACGTATCATATGTGTATTCTTCTTAATTAAAATCTCTTCTTGAACCTCTTCACTGTGTATGGTTTTAGTTTTGTTGAGTGGGAGAGTGAAGGGTTTTATGCACGTATTACTACTGCTTTGTATATCCACTTCTAACTCACTTCCCCTCTATTAAATATTAGTCCCTAATTCTTTCCTGCATGCACCCTATCTGCTCGAGTAGCACCCGTCTCTCCTGGCTGGGTGGCTGTGGCTGTGGCTGGGTTACCAGCGCGTAAGAAGCTTCATTTGATGGTGCAATCATTGCACGTAAACATGCTAATGATAGTTATAATTTCAGTAAGTCTCTAATTTAAGGGAATTATAATTTCCACGCTTCCTGCTCTAAGATTCTTATGAATCAAATCTCCAGAGCTACTCCAGGAGCGCTGCACTCAAGTCTGCTTCCCACCCCCCACCAAATTCTGTGCACTCCAGAGGTCTCTCCACCTCTGACTCACATCATCATCATCATCATCATCATCAACATAGTCATCATTTTCATTTCCCCCGTTGCCGTTACCATCCCATGGGTCGTTCGTCTACATATTGTAGATATCGAAACTTTTGGCTCATACATATATGTACACACGTACGTAAGCAACAAGCGAGAACCAATAAGAAGAGAAAAAACAACAAATAAGTACGATATATCGCTGGCATAGGAACAAGAATCAAAGTAGCTGAAAAAGGAGAAATATACATAATAAAAAAAGAAAAGGAAAGGAAAAAAAAGAATATGAAATAAAAAGGGGAATTGCAGGGGTGCAACCAACAACAACAATAACAACAACTAAAAGGCAGCAAAGGCAAAGTGCAAAACACAAAACAAACAAAACAAAACAAAACGCAAATCGCACACACAGAAAACGAAATCGAGTAGAAGGATAAAAGAAACAAAAAATAACGAGTGTGTTGCAAAACGTGTGTGATGCAAGGCGTATGTCTGCGCCTCCTGCCCTTCCCCCCATCCCACAAATGGGGAACGTGGGGAAGGGCTAAGGGAGTGCAAAATATGCCAATGAAATGGGTTGGAGGGGTGGGCTGGATGGTGGGGATGGTGGGGAAAAAGAAAAAGGTGAAAGATAACAAGAGCGTGCATGGAGGAGCACAGCCAGCAGTGGGCGGCAAGCAGAAAGTAGCTCTTACTCGCCCCCCTTCCAAGGGAGAGAGAGACTGCCACAAGAGGATGACAGAGAGAGAGAGAGAGCGAAATTGTGACATTGCGAGGGCTTAAAATGCGTTTCGTGCAAAGTAGGAGATAGACTTGGACATGGACACGGACACGGACGCGGACACGGACATGGACATCGACATGGGAATCCTTCATCGTTTTGAAGTCTGCTTTGTCGTGTGTGGGTCTGTGTGCTGCTGTTTTGCTGTTGTTTTGGTGGGGGCTGCACCTTACCTTCGACGTGTTGTCCTGCACCCATGCATCTGGCTTACCATAGTCCGGCGGATTCGCATACGGATCATAGCCGAGCACGGACAGCATGGGCGCTATATCGGCCATATCGCGCACCACATCGCCCGGTATCTGGCCCACCCATTTGGACAGCGCCTCCAGATTCACCGGCTTGATAACCTGATCCGATGAACGTTCCACTCTAATGGGGCGGAATAAACGGATGAGGTTAAGGGATACAATGGATTTATCAGCGTGGGTCTTCTATCGGCTGCTGGCAAACACTCACTTGGAGAGTGGCACCCCATTGGGCTTGTTGATGAACTCCTCGTGATGCAGAACTGCATCGTTCCATGGCACATCCAAGAACTGCAGGATCTTGCGCATCCACTCCTCTGGGTGCAGCACCAGCTGTTCATAGTACACCTGAACAGAAATATTTCAAATGAATAATGCAACTACACAGAAAGAAGATGAGGACTACAGAGATACATAGATCCCATAGCATATTCGGCTTTTAAACACAATTATAGTCAAATTAAATGGAATAAAGTTTGATTTTGAATATTGAATTCCATTTAAAACGTCTTGAAAATATATTTAATAATGAAAATACTCCACTATTGGAGAGATAATTAAAGTTGAGGTATGACTGTTCTCCGTGGAGGGGGAATTCAAATAAAAATGTGTATGAGAAGGTTTTTTGGTGATTTCATCTGCACTTCTATGTAGTTGCTCCGCCAACATTGATTGGCTTGTCACGTGGGGTCACCCTTGCACCCTTGCACCCTTGTACTCACCATCATGCAACGGTCCTTGCCGATATCCCGGCACTGTTCGTGCATCACCTCAATGGCGTGATTCCATTTCTGCATACACTGGCGGTAGCTGCTCAAATCGAAACCGGTGATTGTCACCTTGCGCGATATAATCGAATGAACTGTCGCCCGGCCGTCGCGCACCATGAACAGGAATTTAGCCTGTGTAGGGAGAGAGAGAGAGAGAGAAGTATGTAGAAGTAGAAGAGGATGGAGGAAGGAGGAGGAAATTGTATCACAGCAGGATACAGCAGGGGGGGGGGGAGAGCTGACGTAAGAGTCTGCTCTCTGGTTAGTGGGGCTTTGGGGGTTTATGCTTACGTTCGGAAAGAGCTCGATGACATAGGAGCCCATTTTCAGCGTCAGCGGATCCTTGTTACATAAACGGGGCGCCGGCTCGCCATGCTTAGCAATGATTTCCAGACAGAACTGCGCTATGGCACTGTTCATGACCTCTTTGGTGATGCCGGCCTCCTGCAGCCGTAGCGACTCCTTCTCGGACTTTAGCCAGTGCGAGCGCAATTGCAGGATGCGTGGAATGACGCGCGTTTCCTGCCCGCAGCTATACCACACACATACACACACCACACACACAAAGAACGGCAGGAGACGGTAGGAGGCGGTAGCATAGAGAGAGAGAGGGAGAGAGAGAGAGAGAGAGAGAGAACAAACACAAAGTAAGTGGAAGTGGAAGCAGCATCAGCAGCAACAGCAACAGCAGGTTGCATATACTCGTATGTATGTATCGTATCGTGTGGCGGTTAGGAACTGTTCACGATATCGCCTGGCAACAACAGGATGATGCAAGTGTTTCGGTTGTGGCACAGCAGGAGGAACAAAGGGAAAACCATACCCCACGAAAACCACCTTCTAGAGCAATCGACAAAATGAAACGGTGTACCCATCACGTGGAGCGCCCTGGCGCCACCACCCCACTCTGGCCTGGATGTCTGATGCATAACTCTCATTTGGCTCCATTTTTTTCCCACACTCCCGCTGCTGTTGGTTTCCTTTTGGGCTGCTCAGAGCTCACTCAACTATGAAGGGCTTCAAACGAATCGTTTGAACCCAGCAAGCAGCAACCTGCAAGCAGCAACCAGCAACCATGAACCACGAACCACGAACCCAAGCTAGTAATCAAGTTCAGAGCATACACAAAAAATTGGTACGCTGATTGCGTAAATTGCGTAAATTAAATATCGCCACTGCCTCATTGATTGCAGCAGAGAATTTTCGAGTGCCCTTGTATCTACCTATCCACGTATTCGCGGAGGATGCAGCCGGCAAGTACTTTCCGCTAAGGGATTAGTTGCCCCCCATTAAGTCCTTGCCACGAAGGTATGCCAAGTGAAACGATTGCGGTTGCAAGTAAAATCTTTCATTCATTTAGCGCACTCAAAAGTTAAAGGAATTAAGAGAGCTCACAGCCAAATCGGATATGCCACAAAACGCATTTTGTGTGTGCTTCACACCTCAGCAGCAACCGTGAGCCCCCCCACCCACCACACTCACACACAGATCCCACAAATTATTCCTGGGGCTTACCGAGGACTCACACTAATTGAGTTCAAGCCAAGTCTAAATGCTAAAATGCTAAATGCTACAAATACACACCAGATACCAGATTTAATCTGAGGGTTAGAGCGAGAGAGGCAGCCGACTGTCAGTCTCCTTCCTTTTCCCTTTCCTTCGCCTTCGCTTTCGCCCACACACACACACACGACACGAGGAGCTTGCGGAAAACTTTACAGAATTTTTGGTATGAACAAAAGGACATGGTGCGGGCGGGCACTGGCGGAATGGTGGACCTTAACCTGGCGCTCGCTGAACCTATTTCGTAACTAAAATCGCCCTTCCACATCTCGTTTCCACATCCCAATCCTAGTCTCTTCCGTCCTGTACCCGCAGTGGATGGCGGATGGAGGATGGAGGAGGGGTGGCAGCAGTGGTGCTTCGAGGAGAAGGGAAGTAGGTTTTTAAATAGCGGAAATTGCGCTGTGCAGCCATCAGAAAGAGCGAGCCCGAACTCCCTGTCAACGGACATCTCCCAGACCGGATAGACCATGGATGGGCATGGTACTGGGACTGGGGACTGCAGAAAGGCAAATTGTTAATAATAAAAAATAAAAATAAAAAAATATAAGCTGCTAAAAAAATTAAGGCATCAGGAGAAACAGGAGGCTGTGAGGCTTCGGCTCCGGCTCCGGCTCCTGCACCGGCTCCGGCTCCAGCTCCAGCTCCTCTCTTTGCTCTGCTGTGCTTATGGCCTTTTTACATTTTCAGATTGCACAATTTTCGTGGCTAATTACTCATGCGTAAAGGGAAACTTAAGAAATTATGGCAATACGAGTGAGTAAATGGCGGGGGGGTGAAGCCCCCACCAGACAGGCGAGGAAGGACCTGCCTGCTGTCTCTGAAGCAGAAGGAAAAATTGCTAAAGGGCGACACGGAATATATTGAATTGTGGCCGTGGAATCTGGTGGAGGCAAATGGCAGCACAAGGCCACACAGGAAACCCAACGGGGAAAAGGAAAAATGCAAATATTAAAAATTACAATATTTTCCCTGCGGGGCCAACAATAGACCAGGATACACTTTATGCAAAAGGCTAAGAAAATATGCCACAATTTTGTTTGGAATTCAAATTTGACAAAGGAAAAGATACATCGATCGAAAAAGAGTTTTCCCCACAGGTTTTTTTTTTGCAAGTTTCAAAGACAGTTTAAGGCACACTTTCAAGATCTTTAGAAATAAATTCTTTGGCATTTGATGCTCCCAAACGTTGCTCAGGACTCTACACTAATTGAACAGTTTGCCCCATCCGTTGTAAAGGGGATATCATCCGGTAACCGATTTCAGTTGTGCAGATTGAAGAATTCCTGGAGGAACAAATTTACTTACCGCACATCAGGATGAGCATCCAGCATGGCGCGCATCAGCGTCGTACCAGACCTGGGCACGCCGCCTATAAATATTAAAGGCATCTCCCGGTTATATGAATAAACGCGTTGATTGTTATCCGTGACGTATTTCTGCTCGGGCATGGCGGTGTGGCATGGCGTGACATCGGTGTGGCATGGCGTGGGTGTCCGTGTTGGAGGAGAGAGAGAAAAAAAAATGAAATTAGAGAAAATGTGGCAGGCAGGCGAGAGAAAAATTACGTGGCTCAGAGCTGATGATGATGATGGCAAACGGAGAGGGCGTGGGGGAGGACTGGCTTGATGCTTGAGTTAACGCAGGTGTTAACGCCTTCGTAGGCATTAGCGTCAAAAAAAGGAAGCAAAATGACAGAAGAATATCTGGAAAATGTCTTCCGTTGTCGTTTAGCGGACGCGGACGGGCCATAATGTGATGGGAATTACTATAAATAGAACTCAAACTGTCAATAAAAATTAAAGGTCGTGCCTCTAGGAACTTTCTCTAACCCCTTTAGCGGTCCTATCTATCGTGGGTTATCACCACTCGTAATGAAATATCGATCGGTGTTCCTTTTTCGATTATAAATGATTTAGGGGCTTCTTCAATGGGAACCCTGATATCTGATATGATAGCTGTGGGGTTTCCAGCGGCTCCTACTATCTAATCACTTGAGGGGAAAGCACTCCACTCTACAGATACTATAATATGATACGTACTCATATCTGTGTTTCTCCTGTGTGTGTCATTAATTGTATTAAATTAGGGAATATTTCCATGTTTAGCTAATTTTGTTTGATTTAAACGTTAATTAAACAAAGTTGAAGCATTTATTTCTGGTTTTACAGATACATATACATATATGAATTGTGCGTGTGTACACTTAGAGGAAAATGGCATAGTAAAAAGAAACGCACGCATACTTGGATTCTGTTTTTAAGTACCAGAAAATTTAAATAAGTTATAAGTATGTTTAATACGGAGCAAAGCTATTCGTATAAATTTATAAATATATTATTTTACAACTTCTGTGCGTTCTTCTCAGTGTGTATGCCAGTTAGCTACCAGAAATAATAGTTGAATCGATGCGTGCACATTGCAATTTACAAAATTTACGTATTTGCACTCATCAAACATATCAAAATTCAATTTCAAAGACAATTCAACTGGAATGGAACTCCCACATCACATTCACAGAGGGCATCATCGCTTCATTGTGCCCTTAATTACGAACAAACCAGAAATTCCAAGAAATTAAATTCCACCTCTGGGCTAAAGCCAAAGGCCAAAAGATGTGCTAATGTTCTGTGAGCAAATGGAAGTGTGGAAATCTAGAAAAGGAAAATTTTTGGCTATCTCAGTACACACATCTCAATCGGTATTGTCTTTCGTGTGGAGTCATGGCTCTGGTCTCTGGTCGCTGGTCCGGTTCTAAGCTCCTTATGGCCTTCGATATTCCCAATGCTAATCAATGGCTTTTCCTCCCTCGCCTTCTGCTCTCCCTCCCTATAGTATTCAACGTCCAATGAGGACCATTTTGGTTTGGACTAATGTTTACAAAATAGTGTTCGGTCATCCGATAACCAGTTAAATTCCCTCAATGACTTTTGCTTTGGTCTGCGTGTGCGGTCGTTCGGTCGTTCGGTCGGTCAGTCGGGGGGATGGTCGGATGGATGGATGGCCACTCTCTTTTCCCTCTCAATGGAATGTGGCAGCACATCCTCCATTTACCACTCCACTCTACTTTGTGTGTGCAGCCAACATGAAATTAGTTATCCTGCTTTCGGTTCTACTATTTCTATGATTCCTATATGATTCCTCCGAGTATTTTTTCTATTGATTTATCATTGCAAGCGTTTTGTGTTTTTACCCCAGGGACCCAGCCAGCACAGTGCGTCACGGCAGTGTATTTGCAGTTGAATATTGAATTACATTGCCTTTGGCTAGTATAACCGAATCAAATGCGGATCTTTCATACGTCTTTTGGGGGTCAAACTGGTAGTACAGCTGAATAAATACCCCTCCTTTGCCCATTATTCGTCGATTTGCTGCACAAACTTTCCATAAGCGAATGGACAACAGAGGACCATTCTCTACGAGTGTTGTGGGATAATTATTTTACGATAAACTTCCAAATACGATTATACAACAAGCAGTGAGCAGGCTTGTTAAATTAGAAAATAACAAAAAAAAATCATGCACGCGATAATTATTTTATTTCTGTATTCTAGGGACCGAGCCTCAGTCCCAGTTTTGATTCGAACATAAATGTGGCTGGGTATGCCAAATTCTCCTTTGCATTTATCGCTTGTGCGTCTAGATGGCAACGGTTGGCCAAGAATAGTTACTGGAGCTATGAGAGCACGGACGTGCCGACGTGCCGACGTGCAGGACCCCTTGTTTGCATTAGTTCTCACATCAATTTCACTTACTAAAGGGAGATTCGTTATCAATTTGAAACTAATTTCGTTTTGGAGCTGCCATCAAATTGATTAAATTATCAAATAAGCAAAGTCCTCAGGCGAACAAATGTTTGATATGTAAATGCCACAAAAGTTTGTTCCTACACCTGGAAGGCAGCAGATCTACCTTCCTCCCTCCCTGCCTCCCCGTTTTGTATTTCCCATTATCTAGCTGCTCGTACGAGTAGGTGGAAGAAAACTTTCTTTTTCCCCCTAACTTTCTTACACACTTTTGAAACGCACGTTGAGCCCACGAGGATGCGAAGATGTTTTCTTTTGGGGGAGTGTGTGGCTGTGGCTGTGGGTGTGTTTTTGTGTGTGTGAGGGGGCCGAGATTTCGGGGTACATACCTCAACGCGAACCATTTGGGAGGACAGCTCATTGGTGGTGGCATCCACCCTGAAGAGGCAGGTGGGGCGCAGTTCGGTAAATTTGAATAGGAACATCGTGATGACAATGATGCCAAAGAGCACCCACAGGGTGACCTTTTTATTACGATACGGCAATCGCATCCTGACTTTTTCTCTCTCTATCGCTTTTTACTTGGAAGGTGTTGAAGCTAACTGCTTTTTGATTTGAATTGCCGCTGACGACTCCTGCCGTCTGCCGTCTGCCGCCTGCCACCTGGGGCCTGGTGCCTGATGCCTCCTTGAACTGCTTGGGGGGACTTGTGGCTCCTTCTTACACGCCTCCTCGTAGTCGTCGCCTTTTTATTGACGAGTGAGTGGTCTTCTAGTTGGCTCTATCCTCCTCCTCGTTCGTTTGCCCAAAGCTTAAATATGTAAATTGGTTTTCTTGAGGCATGTACAGAGCCGTACAGCGTACCCAGTTCTCAAAGCGAGTTGTTTTGCTGTGGCTCTGGCGCTGGCTTTGCTTTCGCTCTTTCTGCTTCACTGTTTGCTCTCTAGAAGAAGGAAATGGCGCTGGAAGCGTTGGAGGAGTAGTCCTGGCTATTTGCGGCAAAAGGGGAGTCCTAGAGCAGATGTTTCTGGTTGTGATGCTGACTGCGTTTCTCCAGTTGCTGCTGCTGCTGTTGCTCCTCTGTTATGCCACCGCAATGACTACGTCTACGGCGGCCACTGTGGTCCTGCTTCTCCTTCTGCTGGTCCTGGTCCTGTTCCTGTTCCTGCTGCTGCTGCTCCTGTTTATGACGTTGATTGCTTGGCATTGCCTCGCCTTTTGTTTGCTTATTTTGGCCAAGGCAGCGCCCGCTCTTGGCCAAACAAATCCCAGCAGCTGGCCTCTTGTTTATCGCTCTCCTTTCCTGCTCGACTCCTCTCCTTCCCCCTCAAGTCGTTTGCTCTCGTTTTACCTCTTGGTTTTTTCTGTTGCTTCTGTTTCGCTTCCACTTTTCTTTATTGCATTTTGTTATAATTTATTTTGTTGTATTTCAACTGCAAAAACACACAAGAAACAAAAAAAGAATCAAATTTAAATAGTTTTTAAGTGAAAAAAATTATTGCTTGCGTACAAATTGGTATACACCCTACACACACCCTATAATCGCAGCTAACAGTGCGGGTATATGGTATTCTTGGACATATGTACATATATACATACGTCGCAAGTGGAAGGAAGTCTTTTTCGAAAGTGCCAATCGGTTAAAGTCAAACCGTTTGAATGAATTTTTTTTTTGTAATCTCAAGATATTAAAAAAACCGATGAAACACCACTGTATGTTGCGTTTTTGCATGTTTTTGTTTGGCTTAGCTTTGGATTCAATTTTAATCATCTAACGAAACTCGAATTGCATCCATCTCAAGGATTTGTAGTTGAAAGATTGACTGGAACTCAGATTTAGTAACAGACCTGCGCGCTTTGCTGCTTACTAAATGAATTTAATGTTTAGGCATTCATCGAAATTAAACAATGATAATCAAAAGCTACAAAAGCTACTTACACAAATTGCAATTGTTTCGATACATCGTTTCTGGTCGCTGCTACAACAGACCAACCACTAACGCCAACAGGCGTTGAAATCACAAAAAAAAAAAAAACAATGTTTCACACAAAAAGGTATAAAAACAAAATCTATCATAAAATGTTCTATAGAATGACACAAAATGAAATGAAATATGATTTAAACACACACATTTTTAGACCGAATTTGAGATTTTTTTTTACCAATTTTTGAAGAACCTATTTTTAAAAAGGTAAAGATATTTTTTATAAAAACCATGCGACATACTCTGACAATCATTTCAAAAAAACCTAATGCAATTTGGTGCACGCTTTGCGGAGATTTCTCTTCTCTCCACTCATTTTTTCTACAAAATTATAGTATAGATTATTTTATTAATTTACAAAATCTTTGTTTTGCTTTTTGAATGAATTTATATTTGTTATTTATGTAACTTATCTTAATTTTTTGTATATGCATTACATTTTTTTTTTTTGTATTTATTAATTTTTAATATTTTGAAATTAATTGTTTTGTATTTATTTCTTTTTTTTTTTACTCGTTTATTTATTTATCTGAACTCTCAACTAATCTCAACTATAGTTATTTTTTCAAATGACGTTAACCTGGGAAACATTACCATCACTTCGATGTTCTCACTAATTTAAATTCAATTCCCAATCTATAATTGTTTAATCCTTCCCACCGGATATTTTTAAGGCGCACTGCGCGAGCATAGAGCCTCTTTAGGTGCTGCTGCTGCACTTCAAACTGTTCAACGCTCAACATTCAACGCTCGACTACCGAACACCGGACTGCGTCTGTGTGGAAACCTCGAGTGACTACGCACCTTTTTTTTGCCCTGAATGCAGCAGGCGAGTCAACACACTGGTTGGGATGCCGCGCGGAGCGGACCTCTGACCTGTGTTTGCTCAGTTGTTGACAAAGAGCTCCCAGCCGAGGGTCTTGATGAGCCGAAATGCCAAATAGACTGGGACCAGTGTTAGCGATATATACAAATAATAGCTCCAATTGCCTGTTATTTCCTCCGTCATACCTGCAAACAGATGATCGAATATTAAGTATTATTAATAGTTCCAAAACATTAGACAATGAGGAAAACAGACAAGAGAAAGAGATGATGGCAAACAGACGCGCAAAAAGTGTAATCAACTGCTTATTACTCTTATTTTTGTATTGTCATTTGTGATACTATATTTGATTAAAAATCTACTACCACGTATGACATGGGGACGTGACTCCTGGGGATGGATGGATGCATGGATGGGGATGGTGGGAGCACAAGCTGCTTAGACACAAGACATTTACCAGCTGTTTCCACAGGTCTAAGTGGCTTGGGTCACACATGCAGCACAGTGGAGACTAGCAACAGATGAAAGCCAGTAGGACGCTGCACAAATTTTCCCATAACACACACACAAAGCAGAGAGCATTCAACATTGGCTGTATAAGCCACAAAATGTGATAGAAAATATTTGTATATATTTGCCATTCAAAAATCCTTCTCGAAACGTGGGGAAGCTCAACTGTACCTTGTGTCGAGTGCATCTCGTAATATTCTGAGGGGACATTCGTCACGGGGGTTCTCTTGCTTACTCTCGAGAAGCGATGGCAGTGTGGCAGTGGCAGTTGGGAGACTGAGTTTCAGAAGTAGTCGTAGCTGGGGCAGCAGCACTTCACAACTGCCAACTGCCAAGTCCCTGGCAGCTCTCGAGAGTGCGGCCGACGTGTCAGATGCTCGAGCATAATTCCCTTAAATACAGAACTTTTCCAGTTACAACATCAAAAGAGAATGAGAACGAGAAGGAGAGGGTGGCAGGCAGAGCAGCAGGAGTGACAGAGATAAAGAGTTGCGTGGGCTTGTGATTCCTTCTTAAAGGGAAGACTCCATCAAAGAGTGTGTTTTGCATACAGATGGCAATAAAAAGAACCATTTAGTTCATGGAAAAGTGACCATTGCAGTGGAATACAAATCAAATTATACAAAGAAATCACAGAAATGATTCCTGAGAACTATCTTAGCTGGTGGACTCTTTCACAGGCAGACTTCCCTTTTGAAACATGGAAACTGTTGTACGACGCATTTCATTTTGCTTTTTCCTCACACAATTTCCGTATTTAGAAACCGTAATTACACTGCAATAAAAGTTGTTCCATTCCCCCGGAACTTAATTCATTTAGCATTCATTACACCCTTTCTCCCCTCCCCTCTCCCATCCCATTTCTGATGATTTGCCGACAAAGAAACCTTTTCCCCTCTCTCCTACCCCACTGGAACTTCCGGCCCCGAAACAGCCGCAGAATGAAAAACTTTGCACAAATCATCTCTCTCCAGAGTTTTTTTTATTTCTTTTTGGTGTGTGTGTGTTTTTTTTTGTTTCATTACTCGCATGCAATTTTCTTAACCTCAAAACTCTGTTCCGGACACGAGAAACTTTCAAAGAAAGATTGCAATTTGTCGTCATCTGCGGTAGCCTATCCTAGTCCGTTCGCCCTCTAACTCCTTTCATTCCTTTCATTTCCCAAATGATTCACCTTTAGCCGTTAGAACCAACACAAACACAAACACACACACACACACACAGTACACTCGTACACGTACGAGGAGGTGAGGAGAGGGTACACGCCTGTTATTCTCAATTAAACATTCAGCTTTTATACTCTCAACGGTGCTGGCAAAAGTAAAGGGGTATATTAGACAAAAGGATTGGATCTACAGCCTATCTATAGTACACCCAGCGAAAAAAGGAATGACATTTTACACTTAGATTTATATTTTAAATATAAATGTTTACCATTAGATTTGCTCCAAGAGTGGACTTTAATTAAATGAAAATATTTAATTTAAATATTTTTAATATTTAAAGTAAACTCATCTCATGTTTAAAATAAACATATTTGTGCAAATTCAATTTAGTATATTAATTTGATAGTTCTTCATTTTCAAAGTACTTTTTAATACATTTATGTTTAAATCAAAGTACATTCTATCTAATTTCATAACTAATAAAATTAAAAAAAACGGATATTTAATATTAATGTGTGTGTTTAGTTCTACTATGCCATGTTATGTTTACATTCGTCCCTAGCGGTGGACTCTCTCTCTTCATGTGGGGGAGTCGTTTGCTGTGTAGCGGGTATCTTCAAGTCGACCCACGCAAGCCTCCACACAAAACATTCCCACTGCTTCTTTGTGTGCGTGTGCGTGTGCATGTCTAAGCGCCTGCCTGTCTGTCTCTTGGCTGTGTGCTTCCTTGCATCTGACCCTGCCAACTTGTTGGTCATTCCAAGGAGTTGTTTTGGGCGGGGGGAGGCGGTGTTGGGTGAGTGTGTGTCTGGGAATGCAAAAATGTGCTTTCCACATATGACAGCGAGCCCCTCAAGGGTTTGCTTCCGTTTCTCTTTGGTTCTTTGCCCTTCCGCTTCCCATTTCCCATTTGCCCTTTTTGACTTTCTCTCCCTTACAGTCTCTTCACTTTTGCGCTCGTATGTCGAAAAGTTTTGATATTAACAAACAAAAAAATAAAAATAAATAAAAAAAATGCAAATTCCTTTTGGCCATATTTTGCATGCCACATTTGGCTTATATATTTACCCAGAAGGGCCCATCAGTCGAAACTTTTTTTTTCAAGTTCCTAGAGCAACCTCTTTCCGAACCAGAACCAAACAACCCCCCACTAGCCCACTTTTTACTACTTTCACCCCCACTTCTCTTTCAAATAGGGAAAAATACCGAAAAGCAAGTTGAATTTTTGTTTGAAGAGGTGCCACAAAGTGGAGGAGTATGTGAATGTGGATGTGGATGTGTGTTTGCTGGCAAAAGGGTAAACACACACATTGCTCCACTTTTCCACCCCCAGTTGTTGTGTTTTTTTTTTGTCGGTCGGTTGTGTGAGCCCAAGTGTCGGTTAAAGTCTTGTAAAAATTAATAAGCGTGTAAATTTTATTGTATTGCCAAACAAGAGAGCGAGAGCGCTCTGGCTCTTGCTATGCCTCCGCTCTGGATCCAACATCCAACATCCCAGCCAGCCAACACGGTCACATTAAACTGTTTATGCATATGAGAAGAAAAGAGTTTTTTCCTACTTTATTTGATGGGACTTTGCTTTTTATTATACTGGTAGTAAGTACTACTCCTTCCAGCATGCATGGCTGTTTTTTGTGTGCGTTTTTCCACAAACAGTTCTCAGCTGCTTTTGTTCTTTCGTGTTATGCTCAACTTAAGCTTAATGGCATTTTGTTTTGGCCACTCCACTCCGCTGATGCTAAACTCGACTCCGCTACACTCTGCTCAGCTGCATAGTGGTTCGGAAATGGTGATTTAAGGAACAACACACTAAAAAAGAATATATATATATACATACATACATACATAGGCAGCAAAGCAAAAAGCATTACCTAGTGCAAAAAAAAAAATGTTATTTACTAAAAATATTTTTATCTTTCTAATTCATAGGACAACTTTAATGATTTGTCGCTAGATTTGATGGGAAGAAATAAATGCAAATGTTTTAGGGACGTAAGAAAAGGTAGAAAACTTTTACTTTGGCTTGAATTATTTTCAGGTGTAGCCATTATATGGATACGAATCAAAATTAGTATAAAAGTACAAAAACTCCCCCCCAAAATTCTCGGAAATTCCCTGGTTCTTGGGATATTAAATATCGAGATTCCTAATCGTTTTGATCACAAGTCTTGTTAGCTACTTTTTCCCCAGGTGATTTTTGTTCTCTTTCTGTCGGAGTTTTCCGTCGACTGTGTTGCCACGGTTGCACTCTGTTCAAATAGTCTGGCGCTAGTTCACACGCTTGTTGCGCCTCCATGCGTCTCATGTCTCATTGTCTGCCACATCATTCGTCTGCCCCAAAGTGAGTCAGAGAGCGAGCGAGATAGAGAGGGCGGTGAAAAAATGAAAGAAAATCTGCATAAATAATGTTGAGCCACGCTTTTTGCAGGAAGTGTTGATGATTTGATGGAAAATTCTAAAAACTAAAGCGCGCAAAAACAAAACAAAAACAAAAAACGGAAAACAAAATCCGTGAGGCTTAAGCACAGTGATAGGGAAGAAGAGGAAGAGAGAGAGGGGCAACTGGGGATGGGAAGGCCATAGCCATTCTATTTTTCAACACAAAACGTGGCTGAAACGCCATGGCCCTGTGTCTCGCAGAGAGTTTATTATTTAGCCAACTGACTCCACGGCGAGGCGACATTCGGCTCATTTATCAGGCAAAAGCAGAAGGCAGCGGCATGAGCATGAGCACGAGGCACGTCACGTCACGTCATGATATTATAAATTACTTTAGGCAATATGCAGGCAGCAGTGGAGGAAGCCAGCAGTAGAGGCTAGAGGGTGGGAGGCAGCTAGGGCGTTATCTAAGCTCACGACGAGGGCCCAGTGACAGGGACTTGGGATTTGCCCTTGCCGGAACGATGCGACGGAATGCAACGCAACGCAACGCAACGGTGGGGCAGCGGATGCAATGAAGCGAATATCCCCCAGCATATTTGCACAGTGAAGCGCAACGCCACTCGATGATGATGAAAAGCGGGGAAGACAAAGAGAAATGCCATGCCACAACATTCCAATGAATCTTAGAATACCCAACAAACCCTACCCTACCCTACCCTCCACTTCCTCTGCAGCAGCGGTGGGCAGTTTAATCTGTTAGCAGAAATAAAGTTAAATAAAAAGGTTTACTGATTTATCCCATCTCTATCTTTTTACTGATTCTTTAATATCCACTTTCGGGATTATGCTCATATATTAGCTTATTGTTGAGAGCAAAGCCATACTAAGCATTTACTGCGAGTAAAAGTACTGAGAAGCCAGGGGCTGGGCTTAGGAGAGGGCTTTCCCTTCCACTTGCTTTCTCTCCCCCTACTGCTCTGCCCTCTCCAGGGCTCAGTTAGACTTAAACGTAGCCACCCCATTCCAACCATCCATCCATACGCCAGAGATCGGGCGGAGTTCCCGTGGAAGTGGAGCAAAATGTGTTAATTAAAACTTAACGTCTGATCGCGTTATACACGGAATGTTGCAGCAGCAGCAGCAGCAGCAGCACCCACAGCCAACAGCCAAGGAGGAAAGAAAGATGGGACAAAGAGGAACAGGAGAAATGTTATAATTCAATTTGTGTTATGTCAACTTCTGTATAAATAAATACGAGTATTGTATACATACGAAAGAGAGACGGGAAGTATACTTTGTACAGCTGTTGGAATCGGAATCGGAATCGGACAGGTGCATTGAACTTCATATTTGCCATAGACACCATGTAGATAGCCATAGTTATACGAGTAGATGTGACATTTCCATTGCCTTAAGCACTTTTAATATTTAACAAAACGGGTACACAATTTACCACAAGCTAATGCACAGGAGGACCCTTTGCCACGAGTCCACGATTGCCACGATTGCCACGATTGCCAGTCACAAGTGAACGGGTGTCATTATTCAGAGATGGAAGCCGAATATATTTTTCTATCCTTTTTCTATATAAATGAGCTTCAAGAGTGATAGAGCCTCCCCCACCCTGTCTTTGTTCTGTCATTACATACTCCAGAAACTAATGAACCAATGTGGGGAGGGCTTATAGCATCATTAGGGCCACACAAAAAAAAAGCTTAAAAGCTGCCTATTACCGACGACACGCACGCTTCGCAGACCAATCAAAATAGTTATGTATCAGCCAGCCAGCCAGCCAGCCAGCGACTGTTCCGTCCCGCCTGTCAGAGTGTCATTAAGCGGGGCGGTGTGGCTGTCAGCGATTCCTCCCCTCGCTTTGTGGAAGTCAAGTCACTTTTGTGGCCCTGCGTTCGATCTGCCACGATAAAAAGTGACAATTAAAACAAGAACAAAAAAGAAGAGAAAAAGTAATTAACACCCCCAGAGCAGCAAGCAGCAAGCAGCGAGTAGCGAGCAGCGAAAGATGCGATACGATATAAAACAAATGCTTCAAGTCATTGAACCCAAAATATTGCGCGATTAAAGCAACAAAAGTGACACACAGAGAGAGAGACAGACAGGGACGGAGAGCGGAGAGCGGAGAGGGGGCGCTTCGTTTGTTTGCTTTTGGATGTGGCATCGATTGAAAGCCGGAGCGCCGTTAGGGGCGGGGCGGGGCAGGGGCATCAAAAGTTGAAACACACACAGAAAATACAATCGAATGAATGAATGACTTTGAAATTGTGCAACAACAAAACTTTTGCCACTAAATGTGTGTCGAAGACGGGACACTCCGTGTGGCACTCTCGAACGACAAGAAGAGGCATGGAAGAGTGAACTTTATTGCGACTATAGGGATACCTGCTACTAGGACTGTTATAGGAGTATATTCTAGAATCTTGATGGTATAAAATGTACGTATAAGGGATATTTAAATGATCAAAGGGAAACCATATGCAGAAATAATTTGGGGATTGGCTTGGGCAGGCTGCAGGATGGAGTAATGGTAACATGTGTACAAGAAAACTCGTGCAATATGCAGAAATTATATTCTGAGCTAAAACTGAACATTGTAGCTGTTTCTGGATTTATGGCAGAACCATGGCCAGCCATCACGCCCAGATCTCATGTTGCAATTAGTTTTAATTGCAATTATCTAACTTCAAAGAACTAAATCAGCATAACATCTTGACGTTCTTCAGACTGTCAGCGGTATATACACCGATAGCTTTGTGCACTGTGGAGTACTATGCGGCAGGGTGTGGGTGGGGACTGTAAAAAATAAAAATAAATATAAAAAACAAGATGCACAAAATGTAACAAACTGTCAAGTGGAAAATGTTAACTGCAAAAAACTGCATTGTATGCAAATTGGCAACAAAGTTGCTGCAGTGGCGGGCGGAGGTGCCGGTGCTTGCCGGGTGGCCATGTGACGAACGGACTGCATGGGCGTGTGGGATCTGACGGGGGGCGGCGACTGGGACGGCACGGGACGGGACGGGACGAATGCCATAAATTGATAAGCGTGCTAAATTGTTGCACTTTTTGTACGAGTGTTTTTTGTTTTTGTTTTATTTAATTTGCAATTTTAACTCGCTTGCTCTCTCTCTCTCTCTCTGTCTCTGTCTTTTGGCCGCTCTCTTAGGGCTTACGTGTTCAAAGACAGAATTTCGAGCCACGACTGGATGGAGGTAAGGAGCTCGCGGACTGAAGGACTGACGGACTCAAGGAAAGGCCATTAAAACTTCTCTTTTGGGAGGGGGCATGGTGGCATGGTGGCATGGTGGGAAGAACGATGAAACCGATGTCAAATGGGCCAACTTTTAATGGAGCCAAGGAGTTTCCTTTGCATTTCCTTCGCATTTCCTTAATGTCAGCCTGCCTCTCTTTGGCTTTGGGGCAATTTGTGCAACTGCTTGCGGGTGGAGGGGGGTAGACCATGGGAAGCAAAAAGTTCCCTGCGCTTTGGAGGCCATCAAAAATGTTTTTTTTTTTTATTGTTCTCTTTTTTTGGTAGCCCAAACAGTCAACGTAGCGTGTCCACGTTTTGCATATTCTCGTAAGTATTCCCCGTTAATTTTTATATTCATTTCGTTTTATATACTTTTCCGGCCCGTAATGGGCCGCGATTTGAGTGAATGATGAAAAATGCTGATAGCCACGTTAATATGAATAGAATGATGATAAATGTATAATGTTTGCCCTTCGAGTCCAGTCCACAATTAATTTTTGTTTTCATTTGTTTGCATTATTTTGTATCACTCCCCGCCACAATGCCCACAAAATGCCGTTAATTGAGTGGAGAGCGGAAGTCTTGCAAGTGTGGGAATTATTTGCTTCAGAAATCAACAGGTAGGTCAAAGGTTGTGTTCGAATCAGATTGAAAGTAAAGAGAGAACCCGAAAGAGACTGAAGCTCTTAAATGAAGGATCCTTCATGATCTATGCATCTATTAGTCGGGGAATATATTAAGTCTGGAATTTTCCATCTCTCAAAATTTCTCCCAGTACTTAACGTGTTGCATTCGCATTTCTACCTGTAAATGTACCTTTAAATACTTTCTCTCTCTCTCTCTCTCCATCACTCATTCTCTGAGAACACGTTTACCCCCCTTGACCGCGACGCATCCCACAAGCAGTGCCAAGCGGACGAATAAGCGTGACGAATAATGATTTTACACCGTCTCAAAGACTTGGCCGGAACTTTGAGATTGAAGTTCTCTGTATTCTTTTTCTTTTTTTTGTTTTCTTTTTGGGCTGTTGCCACGGCTAGCGGAACGGGGTGGTGGGAAGGGGGCTGTGTGCTCGAATGGATGCATTCCAAATTTGCATTTAGTTGAATTTTATTGAGTTTGATATCCAACTTCTCAGCCTCCTTCTTCCTTCCATCCTTTTCTCTGTTTCTCAGTTGCTGGGGAGACTAATTTAATTTGTCGGCAGTCGGGGAGGAGTGGGAGCGCACTTGCAGTGTGCAGGGGTGTTTGGTGGGAGGAAGGTAATACAGCGCTTGGGCTTCTTCTGCTTCTCTGTGACTGTGGCATGTAATATGGGCACTTCTGCAGCTCTTTTGGGCCACTTGTTTTCCGAAATTGAAAACCATGAAGCGCATTTAAAAAGATGAAGTGACAACTGGCATACTGATGATGCCACACACACACACACACACACATTCCAGAGCGAGAGAGAGAGAGTGTGTGCAAGTGGGGGGGATGGGGGAGGTGTGGCATGTGCAAGTGTTCGGAGCGTATAAATATAACAAGTGCCAAGTGAAATGTGTACATAAATAAGAAGGGAATGCCAGATCCATGAGTAGGGGTCGCAGCATTTAATACCCTATCATTCGTGGGGGATCTACTACTATAAATATCTACTACAAATATATGAATCCAATAAAGTAATCCTTCTGTATAAAGTCTCTCTAAGCTTTGCTATTACTTTTGACAGCAAAAACGTCATACCCGCTGAAAGGGTATCAAAAGTTAAGGCAGAGACAGCGCTAGAGAGGGGCAGAGAAAGGGCTGCAAGAAGGCAAGGCGGCTTTTGTCTGCCAACAGCGTCGCTGTCGCTGCTGCTGTTGCTGCCGCTGCCGCTGCCTTGGTGCCCTTCTTTCGCAGCTGCGACTAATTGTTGCTGCTGGGAGGGAAAGGAGAGGAAACGAAATACAGAATGGGTGTACTATGTGCGAGAGGGAGGTACTGGTACTGGTACTGCTGCTGGGCTGGCTGGGTTGACAGGATGCGAAAAGTGCAACAAACTTTGACAAAATAAAACGAAAATGTAGCCCAAGGACTAGTGGGGGTGTGTGGGGGGAAGGACGAACAAATGAAGCGCCCCCTTCCAGCCAGGCCCGCAATTTCAAATCGCAGACTCCCTTCCAAACACACAAACGTAGAGGAGACACTCTACCAGAACCACAGCTGGATATTCTCATGCACATGTGCCCGCTGCCAGAGGAACAGAACACAGGCGAAATGCATTGAAATTGAAGCACTCTCATTATGCGGCTTGCAGGCGGCAGAAAGCGAAGCGACAAAAAACCGCAGAAGCAGCAGCAGCAGGAGGAATGGCAAATGGCAGAAGAGACCGAGCCGAAAGACCAACGCTATAGTTCCTTTCCCTTTACCGAATGGTACTCTGCCATGCCCTTACCAACCAAACAGCAGAAGCGAAAGCAAAAACGTCGCCTAAAATATATGACCAGATAAGGTGTTGACGGAGGGAGAGAGGGGGGGTAAATGTGTTTCATTAGTATTAAATGTACATTATATTTACTCGATATGCCGTTGGGCTGTGTGCCTTGTTTTATTCATTAATCATTTCGCTATCAATGTTCTAGCAACAACAACAACGTGCCTGGCTACCCCCTGCTCCAACAATCTACCGCCAACGGTTATTGTTATTGTTGTTGTTGTTGTAGTTGTCGTTGTTTCGTGTCAGAAGAAGTCCGCGCGTTGTTTGCACTTGTTGTATTTTGTTGTGCTCTTACTCTTTCTCCTTCTCCTCTGCTGTAGAACCACCGTTTCAGTTCAGCAAAGTCTTCCCTCACTCACACTTAAACACGCGCCAAACACACAGACACAGGTGCACTACCGCTGCACTGAACGCCTCTTGGATTCGCGCACTCGTAGATTTCCACTGTTTTGCAAATTGTGCGTGCGACAAAAAAAATTACACGTATGTTGCAGAAGTCGAGGAGTCGTACACGTCCGCTTGCTGTATTTATAAAAACAGCTGACTGCCCGCTTGCTGTATTTATCGTTATCGTTTCTTGAAGTGGAACTTTTGTTTGCGCCGCAAGGTTTGAAGTGTTTGAGGTGTGAAGTATGACGTCACAAGATCCAGAGCTTTCAAGGAAAAAATCCACCTCACCACATAACTTACCGTGGGGAATTTTGTGCTTTCGCGCACCCATAGTATATTTAGTCCGTCGGGGCTAGGGTGAGGTCCTTACGAGGCCCTTAAGAAAAGTTTGGCAGTCTTAATACTGGGGCCATACCTTGCCATGACCCAGTCGAAAGAGAGCACTCAAAACGCTCTCCGGACTCACTTCTGCGTTTAAATTGTGAGACCAAAAATACCCCAGAAATATACCGTAAATATACCGCACATATACTGACAAAATGCGTTTGATATTCCTGGATTTTGATATTTCGTTTAATATTACTAGCTAGTTGGCCCTTTCAGCCCTAAAAAAATAATTTTATCCAGTTCCTCAATAAATTTTGTTCAGGATTGGGTAGTTTTCAGAACTCTTTTTCATTGGATTGTTTACATAATAAGGTTCAAACAAAACGCCCAAAGCATAAAACGTAAATGTTGACTAAATGTGACGTCATTGTTGCTAGTCAACCAAGTTTGTTCTATGCGTATGGACTTGTGTATACCATATTTCCTTAAATTGATGTTAAATTTGTTGTTCCAAGCTGCATAGAAACATTAAGAATGATTTGATTCTAGATTGACATGCTTTTTACCTATTAATTCATATGTTTTGATTTTATATATACATTTATCCCTGTTCTGTACGTATTATTGGTACCCGTGAGCTGCAAAATTTCGTTAATATTTTTAAAACAGAGACTGAGTATTTTCTGCATTAATTGGAGCCTGATATTACAAACAATATCTCAAGTCCATAATAATCATTTTCCCAAGGTATTTAGATTTGTTGCTCATTTCGTGCCAAAGTTGCAGAACAGTGCTGCCTATTCATTTCCCCATGTTCCTGAAATTTTTCCCAAACTAATCAAATGTATCTTACGGGAACGCGTATGGAAAAATACACTATTTTCCAAAATATACCGTAAAAATACCAACGAAAAAAAGGACTTTCTTACAAGACTGGTTCATATTAAGTACTCTCCTTTATTGGATTATTTATGAAAGAAGGTTTAAACAAAAAAGGTCCCATTTAACCGAGTTTCGTTTTTGAAGTCTAACGAACAGCTGACAGCTAGCAGTGTGCCCGACTTTACTTGCATGTTGCTGGAGAGTGTTGCTAGAAAACATGCTGCCGGCAGGGTAAAAGGTTAAAAGGTTTGCACAACAAGCCATTCAGAACTAGCACCGTTACAAAGCTCCTGCGAACCTCACCTCACCATGTTTGACTAACATATCGGTACGATATTAATATTTCTGTGCGATAAGCGGGAATATTTGGCGGTTACATGCCATTTGTTTGAAATATATGTATATACACACCAAGAAACTATTTTCGGGCCCAAACTATGCCCCATGTCTGTTCTGATGGGTATTATTTGTGTGCTTATATGGATGTACATACATAGTTCCAACCATCTGCCCCAAATGAATTTCAGGCTACTAATGGCATTGAAACCCATAAATGTTTCTTTAAGCCTAGTACTCAGATCCAAAAAAAACACCTTGCGAACAGAATCAGGGTTGATATTCTTATGAAACCGATAAGAAATTTTTTCCGGCAAAAACTGTTTTCTATGCTCTGTACGGAAGGCAGTACTCTGATCAAAAAACGAAAAGGTCGGTATATACTGGAAGAGTATCCGAAGTATTTGCTTGTATTGCTGGTATGTTTCGACCCACCTAGAAAGTTGTATCAATTGGACATATTTTGCCAGCAAACACGAAGCAAACATTGCAATAAGAGAACAAAAAACCAAATGAAATATTTTAATAATGAAGACAAATAGAATCTAATAAATGCAGTATTATATGAATGAAATTTATATATGAATATTATAATTTATTATTTTTATTGATTTTCATAAATATAAAACAAATATTGTTTTCAAAACATTTTTTCTTCGCGGTGTCATCTGATGCTGCTGATAGTCAGACACATTACCTTGCCAATACGAAATTTGTTTGCTGGCAAACAGTTTTTGGATCTGAGTACCAGGCTTGAAGAACTACCAGCTAAACACAACAGACATTTTGTTTACGGTATCGATATAAAAGGCGCATCTCTGGGATGTTGCAATGCTTAAACTAATTCTGCTAGTCTGGCAGCTCCAGCTGGTAAAGGGAGCTTAGATGCTTCTCCCCTAATCTCACAGATGGTGCCAGCGGAACTCAAAAGTTCACTCAACGGTCGAACGTTAAGGTATTTTTTTCAGGTTCCTAGTGACAACGAAAAGGCACGTGTGAGTCGCTTCTAGCGACGCGACTCTCTTCAATCTGGTAGATATGGGCATTCTCTACGATACTGCGTTTTTAGTTTTATCGTATCTTTAAAAATGTGTTCGCCACAGATTTTCGTTCTTTGTGTGGGCGGAAGGGGGCGGGGCGAAATTTTGAAGTAGCAGTGTGATATCACATGAGTCTGGAAACCAAATTTGGTTGCCCTAGCTCTTATAGTCTCTGAGATCTAGGCGCTCATCAAGACGGACGGACGGACGGACAGACGGACATGGCTATATCGACTCGGCTATTGATGCTGATCAATAATATATATACTTTATGGGGTCGGAAACGTTTCCTTCTCTGCGTTGCACACATCCACTTTTACCACAAATCTAATATACCCCTTAACTCTTTTTTGAGTACGCGTATAACTAAAGTTGCTTCCGTTCATGCTCATTGCAGCAAATGCCAGCGCCTTCAATTTCACCGTTCCATTATCACTGAGTGTCTTAAGGTAGTGCTGAAAATATTTAACAAATATAAATAGTTAAATAAACACTTACCATATGCTGTAGATGGTATTCGTCGAAATATATAACGAAGGGTTCATTATGAAACTTCGTTACCGATGACAGCAAATTTATTTTCCCATTCTGCATCTCTTCTAAATGTGCTGGTCGCTCCAAAAACTGAATATTTGTCTTCAACTTTCCTATGTCAATTTGTTTTTATCAAACGTGGTGAATAAATATAACCTGTGGTCGGTAATGATTGGTTCAGTGCGAATTCTTGCCAAAGCAAACAAGAATAAAAGGCTGTTCAAGATGCAATCGTTGCATATTTTTGTGAAAACAATTTTTTACTTACTTAAAATAATGCGCGGGATCTGCCGCATCATTGCCGTTACCCGTAATCCGCAGACGGCCCGACAGTCCCACCTCTACCGTGGCCTGGTGCCCCTCATCTACAAGGGTAAGTGTATACATCCCTCATGTACCCTCACATGGTAGTGATAATCATCCAGCACAGAACGACTGGCTGAAGGATGTGGACCAGCGCGTCCAGTTCGGTGTCTAGTTGGGCAAGAAGAACGGCTTCATCAAGACCGGTGACGCGGTCGTCGCTGTCACTGGCTGGAAGCAGGGCTCCGGCTTCACCAACACCATTCGCATTGTGTAGGTGTCGGCATTGAGATGCAGTGTAAGCGAAGTCCCAATCTCTAATCTCTAAATTCTGCTTGCAGTGCCGTTGAATAAATCTTGTCGCTGAGGAAGTACCTGATGCGTCGCAGGAGCAGGGTCATAGACGCCCTCGTACTTCTTGGGATTCCTTGCACTGGCACTCTGATCCGGTGCACTCAAATATCAGCAGACCGGCGCCGGTGGTGAAAATTATGAACTCGCCCAGCAGATTGGCCCCCAGCTCGATGGCCATGGCATCGTTGAGCGGCGGAACATTGGCAATGGGTTTGCTGATCTGCTTGATGGCCAAAACACCAGCCAGTCGAAAGCCTTTTGGAATTTATGAGAGTGGCCTGCCAGCCGACAGCAAGCTGTCGTAGAATACTAGATGTGGAGATTTTATCCATTAAATAATGGGTAAGCTCAGCTTTCTCAGCATTCAGACGCCCTCGAGGGCAGTTGAATTCTACTCTCGTTAGTCCCAAAACTAGTCACTCAGTCAGACACTCGGTCTGAACTAACCACAAGGCTTATCCGTGCATAAGGATAAGCAAAATGTTACGTATGCTTTACGTTTGCCATTCCCTTCCATTCACATGTGTCGAGCGGCTTGTGCTGTGGACCAACTCGGTCCATGCCCCCCCGCATCTCCCTCTCTGCAGCGCTACATGTGTATCTCTGTGTCTGGCCCTCTTTCTGCACATTCCTTCACTCGTTTGCTGTGTCTGTGTCTCGCTGTGTTGCCGCCCTGCGTAACCAACTTAATTCTGGCTAATACATTTTAATCATTTCCATGGTACCTTGCGCTTGGTCCGCACTCTGCAACACTCCGATTTACCCACCCACAGCTGCTACCTGCCACACTTTCCGCTCTCGATTCGCATCCGTTGCCAATAGGCTCTGGGGCTCCATTGCAGCTCCATTGCAGCTCCCAGCTTAGGCGGTTCTCTGTTTCTGATTCACGGACTCTGGCCTGTCCGCGTTCCAGGTTGCGGTTTCGCCTTTTGGCCACACAATGCGGCAGTTTTTCGGAGGAGTCACGCTGCCATAGGTCATCCGGCGTGGGGCCAGTGGTGTTGGCATTAATGTTGGTGCTGCCAGGAGGGGGGTAGACCGTGTCTGTCTAGTCACGAGCCTGGCTGGTCACTCACGTCGGTCTGCGGTTGCGGCGGGTCTGTGTCTCTGGACCCGTCTGGTCATATCTGCTAATGGATGCTGGATCCCCGCGGTCCGTGCAGTCGGCAAACCGAACCAAATGTGGAGCATTCAGTCGATTTAATGATGCGTGGTGCAACTCGGCACCACTTAAAGATACTTCTGTGCCAGCTTTAAGCTCTCCACAGTGTGGCAGTGGCAGTGGCAGTGGCAGTGGCAGTGGCATTGGGGGGCATTTAATGGCAGTCATCTGGTAATATGTAATTACCGCTGGCTGTTGGATGCTGTCGAAAAAGGGGAAGCTCTGCTCTGCTCTGCTGTACAGCTTAAAGTTCCATCAAATGGCAAACTCCAGGCAGGACCCGACAACGAGTCCGGCAATTTCAATTGTTGCTGCCTGGGAATTTTCCCCCAATTGGCATAACCAATGAGGCGGAAGTGGGCTGCCAGGGGCAGAGGGGCACAGTGGCAGAGGGGACTACAGAAGAATGCGGAAGTTTAAAAGGGAGTTTTGAAAGTTTTGGGTTTGACGATTTGCAGAGTGGTGCAGGCTACCATCCTGTCCCGTCCGGTTTACTCCATTCCGGTCCGGTCCGGTCCGGTACGGTCCTGTGTCCTGTGTCCTGGGCCCATTTATGAATTGTGAAAAAAACTTTCGTGTGCATAGAGCAATGCGGTTGTGCTCTGCTCCAACAACAACAAACAGCAGCTTTTACATGCCACAGTTGGGTGAATTAGTTGAGGAAGCGGTTAGCAGAGCGGAGAGCTTAGGTTTTGCCATATTTAAGAGAGAGTGCGGCAATAAAAGTTGCACACAGAGAGCGCAGTGATTAGGGGATAATTGGGGGCGGGGGGGATAACGAACATACATACCTTAAATATTTGAATATCGACTGAGTCCAACGATTGCCAACGATTGCCTTCCCAGTGCACTGTGGTTGGCATTGGCTCTATTTCATATAGCTGCCATATAACCGATCTGGCCGACTTACAGCGAGGTGTCCGATTACACTTCGGCACTTCCCTTTTTCATTCATTAGCATAATATTCTCGTCATTTAAATGTTTTTGAGTGATAGTTTTCAATATGTGCTGCTGTACTGCGAGCTATGAGCGATTGTTGTTGCTCCAAATGTCTACACATAATGTACTAGAAAATTAGACTTTTTTCCAAATCGTGTGCATTCGGACAAGGAGGATTAGTTTCTCCCAGATCTGCTCACTTTGATTAATAACTTCTAGCTTACAATTTTTCAACGCTTTGCCATGCTGAAATACACACGACACAATTGGACAGAAGCTCAGAACATCGACACAAATATTAATAAACTATAGTTTTACACACCTAGACATAGGGAATAGGGAACTAGCAAACATAAGCAGTTGGACACTTAATAACGGACTATGGATAGACCAAACCAAATCTGAAGACGGTCGTAATTACTAACTTACCCGAAAAACAAATTAAGCATAATGCAAGTAATCTGGGCTTGTTCTTTAAAATATTCGTCTCTTAGTTGCTTGAAAATTGCTAGAACAAACTGTGTTAGCAGTTGTGAGCAATATTACGAGTATATGTGTTTTATATAGAAGGAGGGACCATAAACCCACTCATGCAGGCAGCATTTTTGGGGATAGGTTTAACCAAATGGATTGACTCGCGAGCATTTATACTTTGCACAAAATTATAACCAAGAAAGAGCCAACATATTTGTTAGCCATGCTAAGGTCAACTGCATCACGGAGAACAAATACACTATGGTATATCTTAAGTACACACTACATAGCTAGCTCCGAAAGACATTTTTTCCTTTACACTGTTCGCCTATGGCACCAGCTACCGAACAGCTTAAAAGCCACTGCAGACACATGCAAATTCAGGACAATTTTAACTCTACATTTAAGAAACCTTAATTAAAACAAAAACAAAAATTTAAAAATAAAATTAAGAAATTTATTGTGCTAAGGAGGAATTTAAATTTAAGCAAATGTGTAGGTATATATTGTAATTAAGCAAAAAGCCATCATATAAATACATATATTCAAAATTAGCTAAAGGAAATATTCAATTTAATTTACTAATTAATCTTACTGAAGTGCTGTGACTAGTGCATTAATTATAAGGCATAACTTTGTAGCACTAGGAATACTAAAATAAACAAAAAAAGCAGCTGTACAGTGTACACTGTACACGCATACTGTCGAATCAGAGCCAGCCTGGCCTGGAGTCGCTTCGTTCCTTGCTACACAGTGAAATGCTGAAATACCTTCCATCTAGTATTCCATGACAGCCTGCCTTTGCACTGTTTGTGAAACAGGCACAACAGTCACAACAGTTTTGACGTTCATCAGACACACATCGTTTCAGAAATAAGTAAAATAAATAAAAGCCAAAATTGTGTATTAGTTGCTCAAGAGAAGAATCGTTTCGTTTCGTTTCCATTGAAAACATTTCGGCCAAACCAAAGATGTTTTAGATGAAGGATTAGTTGCAGTTAATCGACTGTTCGTGAGCGCCATGGGCAGCATCCGTGAACTGACCTGCAGTGAGCAACTTCAGCTGGGACAATGGCTGGCGAGCGAGGGCATCACCCTGAACTGGCGTACGCGCCGGGACATCTACTCCGACGTGCGCCCCGTGGCAGAGATCGTGAAGAAGATCTGCCCGTTCATGAAGCTCGAGTTCTATCCATCTGTCAGCAGCTTTTCGCGGCGACTCCAGATCTGGGAAGTCTTCTCGTATCGCGTGCTCAAGAAACTGGGCCTGCGACTCCACAGTGAGGATCTCAAGCAGCTGGCCGAGGGCAGAAAGGGAGCCATCGAATGGGTGCTGTTCAATGTGTTCGCCCAGGAGGGAGTGCCACCCATAATGTGGAGTATTTCCAAGGCTGTCAATCCTTGGGCGGCGTGATCGACTGCACCTTTGCTTTGTTTCGACATCTTCGACGTTATTGTTTTGAAAATGCAAAAATTACCAGTAGCCCCCCGTAAATGATGTTAGCAAAAGAATAAATATGTAAATCTAACTCGGAGCATTGTTCTGCTGAAATGTAACCCTTAGGCGGAGCTGGGTGCAGCCTCTTATCAAGTTTTTCCCTTGGTTACGCCACGAATGCTACAAAATGCTGTGCAGAGTTTTGTCTGAAGTCGCCGAAAGCGAAGTACAAAGGCGAACTTTTAATTTTATATCGCTTTGCCGAGGCTTTTGGCCCCATCATGCTGTTCCGAGCAGTATCCTGCAGTTTCCATTTCCCGGTCATCCTGTTCCCGGCTCATTGCAGAACTTATCCTCCTCGCTCGAGTTGCATCCGCTCGGCAAAGCTCTCAGCTGAAAGAGGAGTGGATGAGTGGATGAGTGGATGGTGGGTGGGGTTGCATTTTACTGCTTGATTTCCATTTGGCCATTCACAGATTGAGGTCTTTGAGCCACTGTCTGTCACAGGAGGTTCAACTGGTGGCAGCCAGCGAGGAGGGCCCCAGCTTCCTGCCTTCCTCCCTGCTGTAATTACATATTAAGGAGTTCTTTTTGCCAAAGTCCTTTTCAGACTGTCAACTCAGGGCAGATTAGCCCGGCCAGCGACTGGCAGCAGCTGAAGGGGTTCGTTCTCCAACTGCGGCAATAAAAAACAACATCCACAAAACTTTATGCCCTGCTCCTGGCCCATAAATGTTTGTCTTTGGCAACTTCAATCCCCAGCGGTGCAATTTCCACAAATGTGTTTCATTGTTGTGTATTTTATTTTCGGCTAGTTTTTTATAGTTTAAGTGGTTCAAAAAAAAAAATAAAAAATATTTTATATACTTTTTAAGGGAGTTTTGTGGCAGTGCGATGCGGGGAGGGGAAACTGTTGATTCGAAGAAGGATTGGAAACGCTCCTCTAATTCCTCCTCACTCATCCTACTCATCGATAAGCCCCGCCGTGGATCCGTATCAGATCTGTCCACTGAGCTCCTCATCGAAATCGGAGCTGGGTGGCGCATCCTTGACATCGGCCCTCACCGTGTACTCCTTGTCGTTGACACTGTAGTAAATGTTGAAGTACCGCCCCGACTGTAGCCTCATGGCGAAGTAGCCACTCTGGCCGAGGTCCTTGGCCGTTCGCTGATAGACCACATGCCCGCTGCTGAGGATGACACGCAGCTCCTGGGATCCATCATCGTTGCCGCGCACATTCTGCCTGAGGATCCGCACCAGCTGCGACTGGGACTGCGACTGGGACTGCGATTGGGTCTGGGTCTGGGGTCCACGGAGCTGAGAGTTGGGCTTCTGGCCGGGCAGCTGGATGAGTGGCTCGCAGCGACAGCTGAGCTTCTGGGTGAGGGGGCACTGCTGATTGGAGGGGACACCGGCGATGGGTACGGGTGTCGCCACCACTGGGGTGAGGCCGCCCAGGCCAAGTTGGCCCAGATTGATGCCGCCCAGTGTGCCGAAGCCGCCGTTGAGGTTGCCCAGACCCAGGCTGCTGATCAGGTTGGGCAGACCGCCCACCAGGGTGCCAATGATGGGCAGATTCTGCCCAAAGTTCTGTCCGAAATTGGGCAACCAGCCCGACTGCGGCTGGCCCTGGACATTGCCTGGTTGCACCACGGTGATCGGCTGCAGCTGCTGCAGGGGTTGCAGCTGCTGCAGAGGTTGCAACTGCTGCAGTGGTGGCAGCGGCTGCAGTGGCTGCAGGGGCTGCAGGGGAGGATTCACATTGACGCCATCGTAGAAGATGGGAAAGTTGCTGCCGCTGCTGCTGGCGGCGGCACCAACATGGCTGCCCTGCAATGGAGAAGCAAACCAGGCATTGTACTACGGATGGCACAAGAATATTCACTATTTATTTATGGCATTACGGTAATTAGAGTAGCAACATCGAAGCATCCAGGTACTGGTAATCGTATGTGGCAGTCCCAAAAAGTCTATTCAAGTGCATACAAAAAATCGTATCGGAAGGAAACGCTTTACTTCCTTTTTTAGACATCTTTCTGGCTGGACAGATAGTTTCCCAGAATTGTGGAAAAGCTTGTGGAGCACCTTGTGCTCCCCGTATATCCCTAGCTACGAGTATACTTCCCAATTCCACTTACCAATTGACGTTTATCACGACGGTCTGTGGTCTCCTTGGCGTCATTTCTCGGCTTCCCTGTGGTGGTTCTCATGGGTTCCTTTGTCGTTGCAGTCTGTGCCACGACCACACATACCACAGCCATCAGGATAAGGAATCTCAGACTCATTGCACCTTCCATGATGTCCCCTCTGAGTATTTGTATATCTTTGATTTAAGTTTCAGTTTTCTTGTAATCTTTTCCGATCTCCTTTGCTGCGTTCCTCACTTGATTTCGCTTTGATCTCAGCCTCGAATCGGCATCTTCTTATATATGATTTCTCTGGTAACAGATTTGAAAAGGTTTTATGATATTCGCTCTGTTTTTTTTTCATATATTTATTGGGGTGCGGTTAATGGAATGGAACCTGCTTTGGCCAGAATTTTAATTGCTCTTTATAAGTTCTTTAAGTGCTCAGAACTTGAATCCACACAAAAAGTGGGTCAAATGTTAATATCGAGTGCTGTTCTCTTGGATGTATTTATAAAAAATATACAGGCATATTCGGCAGAGGTTTAGTGTTAAAGTAAGAGCATGGGAGATGCACACACAAATTGATGAATATAAATAGACACTTGAAACTATCTACGAAAATTAATACACACATCGTTAGGGCAACAAGGACAAAGCTTTGGCCCTGATGGCGATATCAATTTTCCCAAAATAATTCAATGCAGAATTATTTACTCAAATGCTTCATTGTTATCGAAGGCCATTGAATCCTACCCTTTGGCCCCCTGACACAAGCTGCGTATTAAAATTAGATCTAAGGAAAGAAGCATCCAACCCCAGCCCGCCTCTGAGTACTTGCCATTGGCTAAAAATAATTCCTCTTGACATTGGAGCTCCTTCAGTTTCATTTTCAGCTTCAGCAGGTTAGCTTCACCTTGTTGCACTTGCTTTGCGATGTTGCAGCAGGAAGCAGGCAGCAGGCAGCAGGCAGCAAGCAGCTAGGAACAATGGAACTTGAGCTGTTTTGTTGAAATCACGACTTTTGCTCCTTCAGCAAACTTTGTCAGAGCTTTCTTCATTAGTGCAATCACATAAGACTCTGGAAATAATTCGGTAATAGGATATTAGTGCATAGGGTGTGGAATTATGTTGTTGCCCCAAAGCCAATTTAATTTGAAGATTATTTTCGATGAAAGCCACATGCCAAGTACAAGTGCAGCCGACAGTATGGCAGACACTCTCAAACGGGTAGATTTAAGCTTAAATTTTGTGTATTTAATCACAAGGGTACTCACGCATACATATGAACATATATAAAAAAATTAAATAAACAAAATTAACATTTGCCATAATTTGAAGGACCACTTCCAGTAAGAAATATTTAATCCGCCAACAAATTCCATAAACAGTTTCTTATATTTTATTAACTACTAAAAATAGCGCGAGAAATTATTGTTATTTTGGTTTAATTTCTAGTTTTGTATTGATTAATTTAAACACTTAAATAGAATGGCTGAGTCCGAGCAAATGCATAAATAAAGCTGCGTTATTAGTAAAATCTCTCTCCTATTCTTTTTAAAGTATACGTACATACATACGTACATCAGTACATATAAATACATACATATGTATGTATGCACGTATTTCAGGCTTAACTTAATTATTCACCAATTAACAGAATTTAATTTAGATAAATTAATTGCATTTATTATGAAAATATTTCCCTATTGGCTGTCTTAGAAATTAAAAAAAAAAGTTAGGATTTATTATGAAAATATTTCCCTATTGGCTGGCTTAGAAATTAAAAAAAAAACTTAAATTAGATTGAAAATAATCTTGAATATTGACAAATTTAAATTGGATTAAGCTACTCGGCGGTATACGGCTACTATGTCATAATCTGGGATACAGATTGTACATACATGCATACATATGTATGTATGTATGTATGTATGTATGTACATACATATGTACGAGTGTATCCTTGACAAATTGCCTTGGGGCCTTGTCCAGCGGCATTCACCAAAAAATCAAATCAAATTAAACTTGTACCCAAAAAAAAAAAACAGAAAAGAAGGAAGGAAGAAAATATAACGAAACAGGAACAGGGCGAGGATCAAGGGGGGAATGTTTCGTTTGCATGGAAATTTGTGTGAGAGATTTTCAATTTTCTTTGGTTCCATGCGGGGTTATGGGTGCGGGTAGCGGCAGGGCCAAAATGGACTGGGACAACTTGTTTGACAGCCGCTTGCTGTTCTCGATGTCCCATCGCTGTTGTTGTTGTTTCTGTTGTTGCCGCTGCCGTTGTGGACTCATAAATCAAAAAAGTTTTTGACAAATTGCACATTAAAGACTCGCCCCACCCTCCCCATGCTGTGTCTGTGTGTTAGTTTCGCTTTGGCTTTCCTTCAATTAAATAGAAATTGAATTAAAAATCTCGTTACAAATTGATATTGCAGACTGCCCTTGAAAATGCCAAAAAAAAAAAAAATATTAAAAATTAAAAATCAAACCAGAAAATACCGACACAGAGGCATCCGAGCGATTCAAATTCAGTTGCCGAAGCGGCAAACGGGAAGAGGCGTTGAACCGGTCTTAAGAGAATCAAGCTTAAAAATACCTCACAAAATAAAGTATCTTTTATGACACACGACAGCAACAAAAAGACACAAGAAGATGCAGAAGAAGAAGCGCCAGATAAACGAAGAAAGTAGAAGAAGACGAGCAATCAGAAGAAAACACAATATGATACATGAACGGACTAAAGGATACCCTAATTCAGATTAAACTGCTCACCGATTTGGAGTAATTGATTTGTATCTAACTGCAGCAACTAAGATTCAGATAGCTTTCAAAATGTGGACATTTTTGGCACCGTCATAATTAATTTCTGAGGCAGAAATTCCCTGGTTATATCCAATACCTTGGTTCCTTTGACCCGACAGCTGCTTAAAAAGGTGAAGTTTAATGCTTTTATGAGAGAGATTATGAGATTTTTTTATTTGTATAATTCCATAAGATTCCCTTCGGTTACAGAAAACTTTAAAGTGCGGAGCATCAAAAGCTTGATCCTCATCGCCCTCCCGTTCCCGCTGCCGCTGTCCCTGCTGCGTCATCATCATCATCATCAACAGCAGAGCCAATGCCAGCGTTGGCATCAGTGTCGCTGCTCCGCGAATTGCGCTGCAGCTGCGACCGACCACTGCTTGCCTTGCCCCTCCCATCACCGCCACCACTCCACCATCCACCATCCACCATTCACCAAGTACTCGTATTTTGTTCAACTTGGAAAATCTCATTATAAATGACGTACTTCAAATGACCAAAAAAAGAAAAAGAAAAAATAGGAGAGCAATAAATAAAAAACTAGAATGAAATAGGACAAATAATGAATCCCTTTGACGGGACTGCCAACAGAAGGTGAAGGGTCATAAGGAATGCCAGTAAGTGTCTTTGGTTAGTATTTCTCTCTTTCTATCTATCTCTCTCTACGAAATGCTCCCACAAGTACTCGGTCAGAATCAATTTGATGCAGGAAATCGTATTTGTCTGATAAGATCCCCATCTATAAAAGAAGCCAATGAACTTTCATCAATACAAAAACAAAATAAAGGCACGAAAACCCACACAAGCACACACACACACACACACCCACATACAACGAAACAATTATAAACTTTATAACAATCCTGCACCTGAGCCCCTCTCACATCTTTATTGTCTGATTTTCATCATCTTTCAGGATTGTAAAATACATTTTAACCCTCGCAAAGGCCAAGCATACAAAAACGTTGTAGTACGTAAAATGAAAATATAAACAATATTATATACAAGACTTATTAATAATGAAAATAATAATAATAATAATTCGTATATCTGATATTTGTTGATTAACTATTGTTCTCTAAGCTCAAATTTAAGACGCGTCTCGTTAGTAAGCTTACAAATTAAATAGGGACATTCAGAATTCATGTTATATTTCATAATAAGAGAGATTTCGTAAAGAAATCTAGTGGCGGAGTGTTAAGATAACTTTCTCTTAATCTCTTTTATTTTCTTTTAAATGACAAAAATAGAATGGGTTTCAGTTTTTATATATTCATTTCAATTACCTGAAAATGACCAAACAAATATTTAACAGTGAAGTTATTTAAGTGCACAACAAATTGAATGAATAAAAACTCTTAAATTTGCAATCGAACCAGTCGATATTGTTAGGAAATGTTTCGATGAGAATAACTTTTAGTGGGTGGGATGCAGGCCCAGTGACCCACTGAAGGGTTAAGCAGAGGCGAAGCTTATTTTGATCCTCTTTCATTCCGTTGGCCCCCCCCCCCCTCTCTCTCTCTCTCTGTCTCGTTCGCTGTTCCCATTTCTCCGCTCGCCGCATAACGGTATTATAACAATGAGAGAATAAAATGTTTCTGGTGTCTAAAGTGCTGTTGATTAAATCGATGATGCAGTCGATGCTGCAGTCGGTGCTGCAGTTGCAGTTGCAGTCAGACTGAAGCTTTTTCGATTCGTATAAATACAAGTCTGAGCCTTTTGGCAGCAAGAGACGGCAAAGAAAAGTGCCCGCAGTCATGACATCAAACAGAATATGGCTCGTCCTGCCACTGGCCATCATGCTGGCGACACTAATCCTGGCCAAGAGCTCTGTCCAGGCAGCACCAGTCGAGGAGGTGAACAAGGGCCCGAAGCAGGACCAGTTGAGTTCCACAATTGAGATGGACAGGCAACGCATCGACTGCAAATTGACTCTCGATGCGGCGACAATGGACTCGTTAGGCTGCCACGATGAGGTGGTGGCTGCTGCTGCTGCTGCTGTGCCGGAGGCAAGTAGCACGGATAATAAGCCGGTCCAACTGCAGCGCCACTTGAAGTCCTCCGATAGTCAGCCCATCTATGAATTACAATTGGTTGTTTGGCCCAGTGACATTGAGGATGGTGATGACTTCAATCCGCTAGAGGATAGTACTACCACCACAACAACAACAACAACAACACCAACAACAACACCAACACCAATAAGCACTACAACAACAACAAAAACTACGACCATAACACCACCCACAACCACAACAACAACAACAACACCTATTGAACAAATCTGGCCATTGTATGAGGATCAATTGGTTGTATTTCCGCAAATGGACTTTGAAGAGGAAAATCTTGATTATTTCTTGGATGAAGCAGCTCCAGCAGCACCAGCAATATCTGCAACCACTGCACGTCCCTGGCCCATAGATCCCACTGGCACAACCACACCAACACCCACTTATGTTGTTGAAAATTATCACGTCATACATCCCAATGGAACCGAAGAGTACAAGTAAGCTGCCACCCATTCCCATACAGATGGAGCTAGAGATTGATTAATATTTATTTCGATTCTACAGATTAGTGCTGAGCAACGGACTGGCGAACTATAAGAAACTCTACACGAAGCGGGTGGGCGAACGGCAGATCAATGTGCAGGAGGGCTACAATTCGGTGCCCATCGCAGGTCGACGCAATCTGATACAAACGCAGTATTTCATCGCCGATGAGCGTGGCTACAATGTCTATAGGAGTGAGTTAGTTGGGGGCTCCAGCCCCAGCATCGGCTGCCCAAATCAACCATCATTGTTATTGTCTATTCTTTTCCTTTTTCATCCCTCTTCAGTTGAGCAAAACTATCATCAGCCAGGGTTGCCCAAACATTTGCATTACAAAGCCACAAAAGCGTCCAATATGTGAGCAGGGATGGGGATGAGAACAAGCATTCGAAAATGCGCGATGCACAGTGGTCGGAACTACATAGGAGTAGCACTTAATAATTTTTTTTTCATTTTTTTTTTTAACTTTTAATACGTCCGGAATAAATTGTTTAAAAAATATGAATAATTATTTAATGTTATGGAACCATACGGAGTATTAATACAGCATTTCGATGAACTGAATAAAAGGCAATTCTTATGAAAAGAGTTTAAATTAAATTAAATAAATTTATTGTTTACATTTTTGAGTAAATGTAATTTTACGTATCTATTTATTTATTTGATCTTTATCCTAGTGCTACAAGATTTACTTATACTTAGGGCACAAGTCAGAAAAATTATTTCAATCTTAGTATGTATCTTAATACTAAACATATATAGTCGTATTTGAAAGTTGTATTAGTTTTAATATAATCTTTCAATTTTTGATTTTAATGGAAATACTTACTTTTTTATTTTTAGTTGGTTCAATTTTGTTGCTTTGTTTATTTATTTATTTTTTTTCTTTTAATTGTAATGTAACTTAAAGTGATAATGGGAAGTGCACTTGATGCATTTGGTTATGCGATAATTAAATAAATAAAATAAAATACAACTTTGGTATCCTTTCTATCTGTAGATCTTTTATGATTAGATTTGCTTTAACATTTGGACCCACTGTTCATTTTTGGCACCGGCTACTGCTACGGCAAACGAATGGCGAAATAAAATGTAATGCCCGCAAAATGATTTTCTGTTTTTTCCGTTCGCTCTTATGGCTGTCCTGTCTGATTGTGTTGCTTTTGTTTTCCCACCGATTGCATGCCCTTCCTGAAGGTATTCGAATTTGTATTAAATTTTCAACGCTCTTCCAAAGGGGTTTAGACATTGCTTAGGATTATGTTGTAGATAATGTTCTAGTACGATCACTTTTCGTTATATTATTTACCATTTACCGATTGGAAATAATTGTCTAAATTTTTGTCGTCCCATAAGAAAATAGTTAAGTTTTCAAAAGGTATGACCTCATCGGACTACCATGATGTGTGTGGCTACGATTAGACCTTTATTATACATACATCGAGATAGACGAGATCTGTAGGAACAAATCTGTAGATTGGCAAGGGTATACGTACTTTGTTATGCCACAGCTTTGATTGCTGGACTCCAACATGCTTCTTGCCACCGCTTCCCCGTTTGAATGTCCTGGATTCCGCTTTAGATTGTTGTTTTTGTTTTCTTGTTCGTTTGAGTATTATTCTATTTTCTGTTTCTTTCTCAATCGCACCGATGCTGATTGCCATCTTTGGAATATGTTCTTGTTGTTTTTGCTTTTGATGTCACATTTGGCGCTGCGTCTCCGTTCCCGTTCCGCCCGAGAATTGGCGATGGCGATGGCGATGATGCTGCTCCTGATGATGCCATTTAGATGCATATCAAAGTGCGAGTATCTCACTGTTCTGTAGCCCAATCCTTTTCGCATTTTTGCATATGTATTTATTTATTTATTTATATACTTTTTGCTTTGTGCCCAAAGCCGCTGCTGCTGCTGCTGCTGCTGTTGCCGCCTTTTCTGCTGATGCCTTTGTTGTTCCTTTCAATTGTAGTTTATGGCTTTCAACCCGCTTCTTGACACATCCCTCCCCTCCCCTCCCCTCCCCACCCCTCCCCTCCCCCCTTCACAAACCACTCGCTACCAACCAAAATCGTAGCACTCGTTGTTTGTTGTTTATGCCGCAAAGTTTTCCTGCTCCTTAGGCTCCATGGGCGTCAGCCTGTTGGCAGCTGTGAAAAGTTTTTTGGGTCTCGGGTTATGATTATTTAAAGTCTTGTTTGCCTCTATTTTATGTATATGTCCCTCGATTCCAATGATTGCCCCCTGAATATGTATTTAAAAGATGATTTCAATGGATTATTGACCGAATTTCTGTGGCATATTAAATTGGCGGCAAGGAAGAACTCAAACAACATTAAATACATGAATTTAATTCACTGTAGTGAATTACAGTGAGAAGCGCTCCCCAGAACCCTCTTCCGCAGAGATCTTCATTTGACATACCTTTACTCCGTTTACTGCAAACAAAACGACTTATTTTAGTCAGAATGCAATGCCAAATACTCCCCAAAGTTCTCAAGGGCAACCCTTTAACTAAGATATCAAAGTTCTAGAAGATCGCGCAGCTAATTTCTGATTTGAAAGTATCCATTTTCGAAACATATCAGATGGAACGGCTCTGCACCATTTACTGCAAATTAAGCAACGAATTTTAGTCAGCATGAGCGGGGAAGGGAGAGGGAGAGTGTAGTAGTAGTATCCCATGTCCTGCCCCATTTATGTGCAATTATTTAAGAGTCTCGAGGGCAACCCTTTTCCGGTTCTTATTGCTGCTGCTGCTGTTGCTGCTGTCAGCTCGTATATCCGTTTCGTGTCGTCTTGGTCGTCCGTCCTTCGCTTAACGGCCTTTGTAATTATCACTTTAATGAACTTTGCTAGTTTGATAGCGAGACCCATGCCTCCCGTAAAGGTGGGCCCCCCAATAATGGGGCCAATGGATGCGCGCAGCCGAGAGAGATGAAGCGCTACGTGCAGAACTTCCCCAGTCCCAGCACCAGCTCCAGCTCCAGCTGTGCCTTGGGACCCACTATCCCACTGTGCTCCACTGGGGTTCCTGTCCCGGTCCCTCCTCTGCGCAGTGCCTTGGCACTCCACTGTCCCTCCTGCATCTACGCTACTCAGCCATTTGCCATCGCTTTGTGCCTTTGGTTTTTATTAAGGAATAAAATTAGTGAGCGCGTGCCGGGAACGCCAAAAATGCCAGTTGCAGTTGTTTTACTATTATATTATATACCCTTGTAGATAGATCGCTTCTATAGAAGCTGAAAGTAGTTACGTGTAATACGTATAATGAGTGCAATTTTTAAAGATTAATTTATATATTTTTTTAACTTTTTTTGAATAGTCCGATTTGTTCAGTGATGTTTGGCGATGACCAACTCTGGGACATGGCTATGCCTAATCAGATATATATAGAATTGTAAATGGTCACTGCAAGGGTATAGAAAGCTGTGTGCAGGGAAAAGAAAGAGTGAGCCCTTACTCCAATGTTCGTCAGCCAAGGAGCGAGCCAAGCTAAAGTAATATGAAACGAATGTGCACAAAATGCACAAATGTCAGATAAACGCGCCAATTTCCAGTAGTAACAAAAACAACAAAAGCTGCAACACACACTAAACAAGAGCACCGAGAGAAAAGAAATATACGAAATATGCACTCGAATTTTGGGAAGAATAAAAAAAGGAATCCGTTTGCATTTTCATACTTATTACGTGCGGAATGAGTTTCCTTGAATACCCTTTGATTTTTGACAGCATTTGGGGGGCTATGGTCTGGTCTGTTTTGCCATTTTCATTTTAATCTCATTTACAGATATACATATCTGCCGGGATTACTGAGTTGCCAATACCATCAGAGACAAAACACTTTCCTCCTAGATATGTTTTCCGCCAGTGTGCGGAGGGTGCAAATGTCAGGGGAAAGCTTAAAACGTTGTCCAAGACTAAAAAAGCTAAAGGAGTAAGGTGGGGTGGGGTGAGGGGAGCGCAATACTCAGTTACGCCCTCGTTCAGGCAGGGATTAATTATCGTATAATTATATATGCTGCGGATCACTATTAAATCGTGCAAATAAAACTTTCAATCCGCGCAAAAAAAAACGAGGGAAAACCTAGAGAGATGCTTGCTGACAGAAAGAGCCACACAAACGGACAGACGGACGGACGGATGCCAAGTGTGAATGCGAGAAATGTAAAGTCTGGCAACGAGAACGATGGGCAGGGAGGGGTCAGTGGGGAGTCTCGAGTGTGGAGTGTGGAGGGGAGCAATGAAAATGGTGTGCAAATGAAATTGCTGGGAAAATACAAATTGAAATGCAGAAACGGCTCGGCTCGGCTCGGCCCGACCCGGACAGGCTCTCTGCGTGTGTCTTCATCCTCCTGCTCCTCCTTGTCGTGGTTCATTTTTCACTGGAACGGCAATTAATCATAAAAACAGATTTTTACACGAGCTGACTTCATTTCCCCTGCTGCCCTGCTGCACTCCTGGCCCTCCTGACACTCGGGCACCGTCCCTGCCCTTGTCCTTGTCCCTGTCCCTGCTGCACTCCATTGCCTCTCACACATATGTACATACATATGTATGTATAGATATCGTACGTGTGGTGGCTACTTCTTCTCTCCTCGAAACCATAAAATATGCAAAATATCTTGTAATGTGTTCATCAATGTGCGTGAGTATCTGCCGACATGCCCCAGTGTGCATTTGTGTGTGTGTGTGTGTGCTGCAACACGGCCTGGCCAATGTTCAGTGCCGTGCCCCGGTTCGTTGGGGCCTTTTCTACACCAGTAAAATAAATTCATTGAATTAACAAATAGCTTCATGTTCATTTTGTACCAGAGAGCGAAAAAAAGAAATAAACAATTAACAATGCCCGAATCGGGGGATAACGACTATTGAGATACCCGCTACATATGCTCATAAGTATAATATAATATAATATAAATACATGTATATATATATACATGTATGAATCATCTGGGAAAGATTTGTGCGGTCGAAAAGCAAAACCAGCTGAGGATGGGAATTGTTAGGCCAGAAGAAGACTTGCTTTTGGCTAACACGGAATTATAGCGATATAAAAATAAACTTAATTCCGTTGACTTGGCTGCTGTCATGGGTTTCAAATCTTCTGGAATAAAGATTCAGTTCAATTCCATTGCCGTGTCCTGCTCAGGCTAATACCCTCTGACGATGGTGAGTCTTTAGTCTTCAGAATGATAATTCGTATTACAGAGTGGCGTTACAGTGCCACTCAAATGGGCCAAAGGAAAACAGTCTCGCATCGAAGAAGGACTTTCTTTCTTTCTGTAATTACTGTCAGACAATTGCTGCATGGAAGGAGAGCGTCGAGTATCACAAATAATAAATAATTATCGCTCATCAATGATTGCTTCCTGCTGTTACACAGATCCTTACGAATGCAATATACCCTAATATACCAGCCAAAAGTCGTGTGCGAATTTTTTGTTTGTGCCCGACGCCTGTTTGCGGGATTTTGTTACACAGCAAAAAGGAACAGGGAATTTTTATTATACATTTTTATACATTTTTTTGCTGTTTTACTCTCGCATACATACATACATGTGTACATGTGTATACATATTATTCTACCGCTGCCTAACCTGAAAATCCCTTCCTAGAACCGCCGTATGGCGGGTTAAGGTTGATGTTAATGGTGGATGGGCGCTGAGAGTTGGAGCTGGGACTGGGACTGGGAGTGCGACTGCGACTGGGGTACATGGGGGTTTGTGTGTGAAATGCTCTTAGTGGATTTTCGTTAAAAATTTAAATGTATTCCCACAGTTGTTATGTGGTTGGAAATTCCCTTCATTTTTTTTTTTTGCATGGCACTTTTTTGTCTGGTAGTAGCTTTAAAATAATTGGTGGGCCCGTATTTAAAATCGGAGCTGGTCCGTCTGTCCGAATTGTCGGGTGCATGGGCATGCTCTGTAATCAGTCCATAAATGGAACTAGCGGAGATTTTCCACTGGGAGGATGGGATGATAATGATTGGAAGGTAAAGCTGCACTAAGCCGTAATCCGTTGTGCTGAAACAGACCATTGAGCGCAGACTATTTAAATCCACGCTAAATTATTAGTTATCTGCCATTCAATGGTGTCCTGTCCGTGGTGGCATCCAATGACTTAGTACTCCCCATACTTTGTAGCTACACAAACTCCCAGCAAAATGACAAACAATCAGTGAAAGCGAATGTACCCCAGTCGCAATCAGCGGCGAGGGACCAGAGAGACCATCAAAGCGGCGGGCCAGGCTCATTCAATTTGGAATGTTAATTCCGTGCATGAAATTCGTGCGAAATGCTCGTACAATTTAATCACGCTCAATAGCTGTAATAGGGGTATTCCACTTGCAACCGCACGAATTACAGATGTGAGCCGAGGAGCAGCGGCAGTGAAAAAGTTCATCGCATAATTTGCGGCATGCACGCTAAAATAATGAATTTCCACTTGCATAAACAAAGGAGTGTGGCAGGCGGCGGGCAGGGTGCGGGTGTGCGGCAAGCCAGTTAGTTAGTTAGTCAGACACACAGAGAGACAGACAGAGAGACAGACTCCAACTTGAGGACAACTTGGGCTTGGGCAAGGGAAATTTCATTAGAGGTGCAAGCCGGCAAACAACAAAAAAATGGATTAAAGAAATGCCTGCCCCCCCCAAAAGAATGCAATGTGCTGGCAGTTCATAATTTGCTCAGGGCTGTGCAGGCATGCGGGGATGTTCCACAAAACGTTTTCGTTTCCCACTTATTTTTGTTTGCTTTATTTTACACCATTCGGCAGGAGCTCCGCGCTCATTGAATACATTTCTCGAGCTGCATTCGTTATTTACCTACTCGCATTTCTATTTTTAATGAACCTTTTTGGCGTGCTTCATTTACCGTGGCTAAGCCAGCCCCGTGATCATTTACTTTTTGCTCATTTTCCGCTTCGTATTTCTTGCTTTTATTTATTTTTATATTTTTTGATGGTTAACTGGCAGGACAGAGTGTCCTTTTTCTGTTTGCTGGATCTCTGCCTTTTGCTACGGTCGCTGATGAACTGCACACACGGCCCCTGCCGCTACCCCTTCCCTGATGAACAACAGCAATGTCCTTTTAGCACATCCTGCCCACATACCTGGCATGTGGCCTGCCTCCCTTGGGAGCCGAACCGAGCCGCGCCGCGCTCTGGCCGCGCTTTGGCCGCGCAGCTAAACGCGACTTTCGCTTCTTAAAAGCCATTTTTGCATTTTATATTTAATTTTTTTCGCCCCACCCAACTCCAACCCTTCCAACCCGCCCACCACCACATCGCATCGCACCGCACCGCATCGCATCGCCCTTAACCGCTCAGCCACAAAGCTTATCCCCCCTTTATACCCTTGCCAAAGGTATTCGAATAATGAGCAGCAACTTGCCCCACAAAAGCCAAAGAGTTCAGCATTAAGAACTGAGTCCCTTGTCCGCTCGTCCATTAAGTGTTGCAACTTGAACTATTCTGACATTTCAACTGCTGCCGAGTAGGGTCGTGATTTTGGTTGGCTTTGATTGCACTGCTGCTATGCGAAGCGTTCAAGCAAGAACTACCGGAATGCCTTCGCTTTATCAATGCTCCGAAAAGGGAAATTATTTTTGAGGAATCAAGCGAAGGATAAACAAGTGCACTGCCATTTTCGGTAGTCTTAAATACAGAATAGTTTCTTAGTTTATATTTAGTTTTCACGGTGTTTCTTGGGGGTGTGGAAAAGCCTAATTTTTTTTTATTATATATAAATTAATTGCTTCCAAGGCAAATTGAATAAACAGTCTCATAAAGTAGCGCTAAGAATTTATTTAAGTTAACTGCATTAAATCTCATGCATACAGAGAACTAAATCCCATCCCAAAAAGCTTTAAGATAAATTAAGGAAAATTTAAAAATGATTCCTTCACAAAAATACAAATAATAATTCTCATGTTTCCATGACAAAATGGGGTCCAACACACACACATAAATGTGTACATTTATAATAGAAGGATACAAAATATGTTCTTGAAGTGTAACTGCAGTGAAAATATTTTTAATAAGCGTTATATAGATGATAGATCAGGTTTCTGTTGTCCATAGCCACATACTATATGTCTTGATTGACTTTAGGTTGAATGTGTATTCCCTGCTACCCTTTGTGTAGTTATTTCACTATTTTCCAAAGTGCTCAAGTCAACTCTGATCCACTGGCATTTCGCTTTGGACTCTGTTGGCCTTCCAAGGGTATCTAGTGCCCTGGTCAGCTCCAAGTTAGCTCGGACCTACTTGGTCCTTTTTGGGTGTCCTCTCCTGCTCTGTTTGCTCGCCATCCTTTAGCTCTGGTTTACATTTTTTTCTGTCGCTGTTTTGGCTGTTTGCTGCTGTTAGCGCGGCGGCAGGGCAAACATTTTCCAGCCATTTGCCGCGTTGTGGTGTGGGGGAGAGGCGTTGAGGTCCCTGTCCTAGTTAAACTTTGCCTGCTTTGTCACATTTGCAATATTTATTGCCTTTTGATTATATTTCGGCCAGCCACAAGGACAAACAGCAAAAAATCGCTTTGCATATACATGTACATACAGCAAAGGCTTTAAGATTTATTTTTATTATTATTTTTTGTTTTTGCGGGTGATCTAAATTTAATGGAAAACAAAGGGCAGGTAATGCATGGAAGAGCGGGCCTGGCATTGACATTGACACACACACACGAATATTTTTAAAGTTCTGCGGGTCTTTAAGCCAGTAAAAACTCGAGTTCGATTATTTTTCCAACTGTTCAAACTCGAACTCGAGCTCAAACTTTGGCAGTCTCTTTCGGGGGCTTTTCTTATTCCACGAGTTGGTCTTTAATAAGCGGCAAAGTTAACAAAGTTGCAGTTCAGTTAACTTTTTCCTCTGTATTTGGTTTTATGCTTTTCTGCCACCCTGTTGCTCTCAGTTGTACCTCCCTCGTCCCTCCACCCCACAAAAGAAAACCCAATCCATTTTCCTGCTCTTCCGCTTCCGCATCAGCAGCAGCAAAAGCAGCTTTTCCTTTCTCTCTTCTTCTCTTTTTTCTCTTTTTAACTGTGATTGTAAAGTTTCATTGATAATTTTAACTACCTCGGATACATGCGTCTGTCTTTGGGTCCCTGGATCCAAGTGAGCGGATTTTTGTGGATGAAAAATCGTGAAGAGGGTGGCAAAATGTGGGCCACAAACGATGTGAGCTGGGGGCTGGGTTGAGGGTGTAACTTCGTGCTGAGCTGAAAAGTCGCATTTGGTACTTGTCAAAGTTTATTTTATTGTGTATCTTGTATAATCACTCTCGGAATGTTAAATCGACTCTAGAGTGCATTTACCATCAAATTTAAAGCCTGAAGATGGGATTTTCCATTTTCTATTCAATAAAATATACCTACACTGCACTTATTATATTAAGCAATCAAAACGAACCTAAGTAGCCCTCGAATTCTTTAATGTCAAGTGTGCTAATAAAGCTATCAAATTAGTTGGAGGGCAAGGGCAGATCCCACACCCAAAAGAACTTGTCCTCGAAGATCTGTTTCTGCTCCTTTTCATTTGCATTTACATTTTTCCTTTTATTTATCTTTTCTGACTCGTCTTTTCCAATGCGACGACAGTGGCAAGCCATCGAGTCAAGAGACCAAGTCCGTGGCACCGGCACCCAGTCTCCCTCCATGTCGCGCCTCTAGCCTCTAGCACCTCCTGTCTAACGCCTCCCTTTAACAATCGCTTCCATGGCTCCAACATTGCCACGAAGAAGTGTTGCCTTTATGGCAGCCAAGTGCTCGCTTCTGCAATGTCCTCTTTAGTTCGATTTCTCTTCTGTTTTCATTAGAGCAAACTTCCAGTTTCTATATGCCTTCCCTTCGTGGTTTATTTTACTTACTTTACTTACTTAACTGGTAAATCATACAGATCATACAGGGAGGGGACTTGCTGTCACATTTTTACGGGCACACAAATCATTATATCGATCATAACAATTTCCAGGGGATACAAATCCCAGAACAGAGCCAAATACAACACAACCGCAATAACCAAAATTAGTTTAGTCATTAAAGACACTCATTTTCATTCGGAACTTGAGGTAAACTGAAATCATAAGTACAACTCGTGAGATGGCAATGCAGGGCATCCGTAAGCTTAGCTACTACGAGCGTGCCAGCCTTGAGAAGTGGCTGCGGAAGGAGGACGTCGCCCTGAACCCCCGGTCCCGTCGCGACAAATACTGCGAAGTGCGACCAGTGGCGGCCATCCTCAAGAAGTGGCACCCCTCAATAGAACTGCGCTGCTACACTTCGGCCAGCAGCTTCTCCCGTCGGCTGCAGAGCTGGAAGGTGTTTTCGTTTAGGGAACTAAAGAAACTGGGCCTGCGCCTGAAGACGGAGGATCTGCAGCAGCTGGCCGAAGGAAGGCCAGGCGCAGTAGACTGGCTGCTATTCAGACTGATTAGCAAGAAGGAAGTGCGGCCGCCCATCGCAATAGAGTTCTTACATTTATTTCATGGTAGTTCTTGATCTATTTGTGATTTTGCAACAATTCGCGTAAAGTGAAACAAAATCAATTTAAATTTTGTATTCCTTTTCCTTTTTTGGCGGGTCTGCAATTAAGCACATCGAATGCAATCAGATCTCTGGTTGGTTCTTTATGGGCTTTTATGTTTTATGACTTAATAGCCGGAGAAGGATAAAGGGAAAATATTCCTGCAAGTCAAAGTCAGAGGTGGATCATTGAACTCGTTTTATCCTCGTTTCGGGCAACTGTCTGCACTTTATAAATTTATGACGAACCTTCACACACTTTTTGGATGGGGATTTGGTATTCCATTCCCAGTGTCAGTCTCAGTCTCAGTCCCAGCCCCATTCCCATTCCCATTCCCAATTCCATTCCCGCTCGTTTCGTTGTTCCTTCTGGTTTCAGTTTTGGTTTCGGTTTCGGTTTCATTTTCGTTCCTTAATTGCCTTTGGCCAGAAAATCCGTCCGAGAATTGTGTTAAAATGCAAAAATATGACCAGATATTCGATATGTACATATATGTACGAGTATATACCCCAAGGGGCGTGCAGCGAGAAGGCTGGCTGGCTGGCTGGCTGGCTGGTCGGCTGTTGAAGGGTGGGGAGGGGCTCTGCACTTGTATGTTTTATTGCCCGAATCGCTTTGCGGTAAATTTATTGCCAAATTGTCGGGCGACGGCGACTTTCGAAAATTCGCGAAATCTTTTCATCCCAGCGGGGAAGTGTGAACCGGAGCGGAGAGGCGCGACTGGGGGAGACCCTGTAACCCACTGCCTGGGACCATAAAATACCCGAAAGAGTCGCACAAACCACGGCAAAACATCTTCAATAATAAATTCATAATTTTTGCAGCTTTGCCTTAATAAATTTTTATTATTTTTTAATTCGCTCTCAATGAGCACAAAAAAAATAAAATATGAATATTAAAGAAATAAAAATAAAAATCAAAATCATAATAATATAATATCAGTAGTCAGGGCACAAAAAAAAAAAGAAACCCTATGAAGTAGAGGTAGGAGGTAGGAGGAAGGGAATAATAATAATAATGAGGGGAGCCTGTAATTACTTGGACCCGGTCTCAGAAGCGTCCGCCCCTGCGACTCGTCGTTGTAGCCCCCCTGGGCGTGGTGGCACTCTCAGACGGCGAACGGGTGGTGGGAGCGGGATATGGGGACGAGCTGGAGCTGGAGCTGTAGGCGGACTCTGGCCGGGACTGGGTCTGGGACTGGGACTGGGAGCGTAGGTTGGACGTCCCGCTGCTGGCCATTGGCACCTCAATGGAGCGCGGCAGATTGGGATACACCTGAGGTGTGATCGCTGCGGGATAGAGAAGAGAGCAGAAAGAGAGAGGGAGACGTTGAGAGTCGAGGACGGCACTAATTGATTGAATTGATTGCAAATTAAAATAAATACATCCAGAGGTATCGATACTCGCAGAGAAATGTTCAATTTACATCGAATCTAATTGAATTTTATATTGAATGGATGGAATATTAATTTCGTTTCGCTACCTTTTATGTATTTCCCACTTTGAATATTTTTAATCAATTCAATTAAATTCACTTTAAAAAAAAAAAGAAAAAAAAAAGATAATTATACATAGAAATTTACTCCGTTTACTCTTCACAAATTGGGTTTGATTCAAACAGATTTCACATTTATTGTTGCTCATCGCGAGCATCTTGTTACGCGTATATGTATATCATAGAATATCTCTCGGAACACTTTAATAAAGACTCCCTGGCAGCATTCAATTGCACTTGAAACTACTCTTGATACTCACATTGATTCTGGCGGTATCCAAACTGATCGGCATTGTAGAAGACGGTGATGTATCGGCCATCTGTCATGCGATAGGAGTAGTAGCCGACCACCATCAAGGTCTTGACCTTGTCCACCATCGCAAAGTATCCCCGCTCGTAGCGCGCCGTGCCATCATCCAGCTCGAAGCGATACTCGTAGCTGCCGTCCGGATAGCGATTATCGAACCGATCCAGCAGTCGCACGCCCCTCTGATCCGGCTGCCGCTCCAAGTGCTTCTGTGCATCGGCGGCACTCGCACTGAGGCCCAGCAGGAGAAGGGAGATGGAGAGCAGGATTACAGCATTGCTGGCATTGGCCATTTCCATGTGTGAAAGCGTTGCAGAAGGTGTGTGCTGGAGGGGCTAACTAAGATGGTAACAGATGCGGGAAAGGATGCTTTTTATGGGTGTGTGTTTGGTTGGGGAAATGTGGGTGCGTGTGCTGTCGCGTGTTGTTTTGTTAACAGTTTAATTCGGAAACTGCGTAACTTTGGCTTTTTATAGTCAACGACAGGCAGCGGTTGAGGCAGCAACAGCAGCAGCGAAGTCAGCGCCAGCGCTACAACGTCGGCAACAACTCATGAGAGCTCCAGTCTCAGTCCCAGTCCCAGTCCCAGTGCCAGCTTCAGCTCCAGCTTCAGTCCACAGTCCACAGAGGGAGACGAGTACTGAGAGCAGTGAGTGGGGGGGAGGGAGGGCGGGATCGAGGTACATCTGTCGGAGGAGGCATTGCCGTCAAAAAATTCTCAACGCTTAATCATAAAAAAAATCTTAATTTCATCTACTTACCCACATGCTTATCTGGGGAGGGGCCGGGGGCGGACCACAGCCAGCCCGGACAGGTTGCTAACTGGGCAATTTGGTTGCGCCCCTCTCTGCCCCAGCTGCCCCAGCTGCCCCAACTGTCCCAACTGCCTGGTGTGTGTCTGTGTTTGCTTTGGGGGCTGTTCGCACCGCCGCCAAATTGGCCGAATCGGCTCTGCCGGCCGGCTCCCAGGAACTGGGCGCACACTGGGCCCAAGCCCCCCAAGCCCCCAAGCGTTTGGCCAGGGCATCACTGCTGGCAATTGATATGCCGCAGATAATCGATTGGTGGTCGCTCCATTGCTGGGGCTTTCTTTGGGTAATTGGGTTTTTGGGTATGGTCAGTGCTCAGTGCTCAGTGCCACAAAAATTCAGACAGCAAAATGAGAGAACAAAGTGGCCATTACTACTTGTTTGTGTTTTTTCTGGGGCAGTGTGGCAAGGTGAGGTTTAATCTGCAGGAAGATATATATTGCCCTCGATGTCCGATTTATTGTGACTTTTTTTGCCCAAGTTTTGTTCCTCGTTTGGAAGCCTTTTCGTGTGACATGAGTGCGACTTCTACTCTCAGTATTGCTCCCATTTTCGGAGCACTTGAATTATCAGTGCATTGGGTTCCACTGTGCCTGGCAATAGTGGCTAAAAATACCGCAATTTGTGCACCCTACAATTTGGCCAACAAGTACGTGCCGCCTGTCAGCGCACAGCTCAGTGAAGAGTGAAGAGCGACGAGCGAAGAGCAACGAGCGAAGAGCGGCTTCTATATGGAGCAGATGCACCAGCTGGAGCAGGACCAGCAGCTGGAAGAGCAGGAGCAGCGGGAGCCTCCCTATGGTGCCTGCTTGCCTATGGAATGAATTGTGGCGATCAAACAGGCAGTCAGGCAATGAGGCAATGAGGCAATGAGGCAGACATTGCACGAGGACGAGAAACGGGAGCGAGACGATGGACGCAGAGGCGTCCTGTGGCCAATTAGGGCTAATTTATGATTTCAATCATTTCTTAATTGCATTTAATGTGCAGCGATTTAGCGAACAGGCCTGGGACCTGAGACCTGAGACCTGAGACCTGGCTCCTGCTTCCCGCTGCCTCCTTCCTGATGGCTGCCCTGCGGGCCAATTGATGATACCAGCAAGCAGTGGCATAGTCGTCAGAAGGGGCAGGGGCAGGGGCAGGGGCAGGGGCAGGGGCACTACTTGGTCAGTCGGCCAAAGTTAATGATGTGCAATTGAGCCGAGGCCCCAGAGCCCATCCAACATTTGCGAGTATCTGCCCTTCCCCCTCCCCCTCCCCCTCCCCCTCCCGCTGCCCGTGCCCCATGCCTTTGCGGCTGCTGCTCTCGGGGCAGCTGTCAATATGTCGACACGGAGTTATCGCCATTTAATTAATTTGCCCACACCTTCAAAGGTCAAGCCAATGCATTAAACATGTTTGCACAAAAAAGTTATTCATTTTTATGAAATTTATTTATTAATTTTCAGTTATGGCCTGCGCTGCGTTTGCCAGTGCGGCTGCTGCTGCTGCTGCTGCTGCTGGTGCTGGTGCTGGTGCTGCAGCGGTTGCTGTGTGCTCTGTGCTGTGTGCTGTGTGCTGTGTAGATTTATGGCCAGACCGCACAGTGACAGGACAGTGACAATTGCAGTCACAGTCGGGCGAGTCACTAATTCACTCATTCAGTGAGTGAGTCAGTGAGTCAGTCAGGCACTCTGTCAGTCAGTCAGTCAGTCAGTCAGTCAGGCTGTGTTCGCGCTAAACCTGGCAAAGTGGCAACATCCTGGCATAAACTGATTTATTTTTAAACGTATATTTTATCTCTGGAAGTGACAAAGCGTTCATTCCAGGGAAACAAAAGACCAGCCAGCCAGCCAGCCAGCCAGCCAGCCAGCCAGCCACAATGCCCAAATTAAAATATGTGCACAAAAAAGTGCAAAAATGTTTGCCAAACTTGTTGCGCCCCTCCTACCCACCTACCCAGCAACCCACCTACCCAGCAACCCAACTACCTACCAGCTGAGGGAGGGGCATGTGTGGCTTGTGGTACGTGGGGGCAGAGACGACTCTCATCAGCAAGGTCATTTGTTTTGTATGTCGATGACAAAGACAATGTCCGAAGGGGAATCAACAGCCAACAAGGAAAATGTGGCCGCTGGGCAGTCGTGACAGGAAGCTCTCTGGTTCTGCTGGTGCTGGTGCTGGTGCTGGTGCTGGCAATGTCTGGCGGGGCAGCTTGTCCCTGGTTGCTAAATGGCTGGGACAACAGGCGCTGTTTGTCATTACCCTCAGGTTGCCGCTGCGCGTTGGTTATTTTTGGGCAGATTGCTGCTGCATCCTCCTGCTGCTGTTCTCCTGCCGATGTTGCTCTGATGTGTTGCTGTTGCTCTTTGCTGAGTCGAAACTCCCCCAGCAGCAACAACAGCAGCAGCAGCAGCAGCAGCAGCACGGCACAAACTGCAGCAGGAGTAGCCAGCCGTAGCCGTAGCCGAGCCGAGCCGCCTCTGCCTTACTTTGTAGGTGTCATCGTTGTGTTGCGTTGTGCTCTCAACATTGAGTTGACGACGTGCTTCAGCTTTCAGCACAAACAGTGGGACGAGACTCAGGAGAAACGTTACAAAATAAATCTCTCATAGTACAAATAGGAGAGAAAATATAAGCAGAAGGCGAAAGCGAATGCGGGAGATGGGGGAGAGAGCTTCTACTTAGCATCGATGAGGTATAAAAAACAATTAAAGTGTCAAAAAATCAGCGAGAGAGAATCTAAAAATTCAACATATTTCCCATTGAAATTATAGGGATTAAATATATTTTCTATCCATTGAAAGTTTTTCATTCAAGATGACAATTAAGTAACAAATTCGTATTCGATCAACCAATCGGCATTCAAGAGTTCCATTTGCAGATGTTAAACTTAATTATTGATAAATTCATATTATTTTGAGCTGCCGCAAATTGGATGCTCACAAGAATCTCATGAAAATATCACTGAACATCTATCAGATCCCAATAAATGTCTAAAATAGAACTAAGACGCACTACTGAGGTGGGGCTTATGGCCTAGTATAAATAACTAAATGGGTTACTTTATTAATTTATTGATAGTGAAACGAATACGTATGTTTATAGATATACTGGTATGCCTTTTGATATATGCAAATCATGTACATTAAATGATAAATGAGGGATAAAAGTGGGATAAAAGTGGGGAATTAAATCCCCATAAAGTACAGAAAATTTAAATCTAAATTCATGGTGCTGGAATAATTTAAAAGCGTTTCTTGGAGCTTTCGACCACAGTGTGGACGGACGTTGCTGTCGATTGCGCGCAAGTGAATCCCCGATCCCCCCTCCTCAACAACAAACACGGCAATGGCAGTGGCAGTGGCAGCGGCAGCGGCAGCGGGAATGAATTGCCCCGAAAAAAATCGCATGGCAGTGAATAAGAAGAAGACGAAGAAGAAATCGCACGCACACAGATAAAGATACAGATACATCTGGAGATAAACACACGGAACAGAACAGGCAGAAGACCGTGGAGCGGTCGGGGAGGGGGCGTGGTGGGGGGGCGGGGTAAGAGCCAAGTTACACACAAATAATGTACGAAAGTGGCTTATAAACAAAATTTGTATGAATGGTCCATGTAGCGATGCCTGCCCGCTGTCTGTCTGCTGCCTGCTGCCTGCTGCCTACGTGACATGACATCCCGAGATACAACTTGCTGCAGACCCCCCTGGGTAGGCACTGCCCCGCCCTGCCACCGTGCCCCACTGAGAGTGCTACCTTTGGTCTGAAGCACTTTGCACAGTTTTTTCGTTGTTGTTGTTGTTGTTGTTCTGTTCTGTTTTGTTTGGTTTTTTTTTTTGTTTTTGTTTTTGTTTTTTGTGGCTTTGAATGTCTGCCTGCCTGTTGCCGGCGCTCGACTCTGGGCTCTGATTCCGACTGTCTCGGCAATGGAATAATTCCCATCAAATCACGTCTCTCTCCTCCCCTCTCTCGACGTCTTTTTGCGGTGCTCTTCAAAACTCAGATACAGATACAGATTTGCTGTTGCCGTTGCCGTTGCCGTTGCTTTTTTGTTTTTATTTTTTATATGATATGCCGAGCATCTCAAAACAATTTGTAAGACTTAAGCAGAGTTTGTTTGGTGTCTTGCATAAATTATAAAATCCGAATGCTGAGTGCCCGAGCAAAACACCCAGGGGGGACCTGGAATAGGGGTAAACTTGCCGCTACATACATATGTATATATATGTATATGTATGTATTTGTATTTGTATGCTTATATCCGTGTACTAGGGTGTCCCTTATGGCCAACATTTAACGCGATTGGCCGTGGCTTAAAGTAATTCAAAGCGCCAAAACAATTTGCCGTAAGTATTAATAGAAATAAAACTTAAAAAAAATAGAAGGAAGTTATGTAACCCTAATGTTACGTATCCATTACATGGCTGGAAAACGTTCCAGATACATTCCACCGCCATGGAGACACAAATGTATCTATCTGTCCACTTGCATAAATTTATTAAGCGGCTAAGCCAATTACCCAAAAGTATGGCACAGGAGATACTTTGGGGCAGAGGGCATGGTCAGGGCATGTTGCAGGAGTGCAGCATGTGCGAGCCCCCCACTAGCATGTATCTTACGGATGCCAGACTGGAGCGCACCGAAGCCCCAAAAACAGAGCTACATTCACACACAAAACTAATCCAAGTCAATAAAATTCTAACCGTAAAAGGGGGGCGGCAGACACCACGGCATGTGTGCCGCCATTCCACTGCCTGATGGCCCCTCCCCCACCTGCAGACACCCGTGCCACCGGCATTGCTGACCAAGTCCCAATTGCAGCTGAGGTCTCCCCATTAAATCTACATTTTTGCACACAGTCCCCCCCCCCAACCCACACTCGTTGACTCACTTACAGTTCCATCTGTGTGTATCTGTGTGCGTGTGTGTGTGTGTGTGTGTGTGTGTCTGGTTACAATTGAAATTTACGCAGAGCCGCATTATTAATCTCAAGATTAGATGGAGTCTTGTTTTTGATAAACTGAAATAGGAAATGTTTATTATGCCTTTGCCTAACTGTACATATGCATCATCATAAATAAATGGTCTGCCCTGCCCCCCTTCCTCTCCTTCTCTCTCCATCCCTCTCCTACTCCGAGTCACTGTTGGAGCTGTGGTGGGTGCAGGTATGTGGGTGCCATATGCCATATGCCAGAGGGAGGAGGGTTGTATACACTGGGAGAAACTGCAAGCAAACTATTGAATATATTTATTAGTGGCACCTACATATATTTTTGTTTAGTGCATTATGTACATACATATGTATGTACATAATACAGAATATATGGTAATGCAATAAATCCCAGTTCCTTGCTATTATTAATTGATAAATCGAATAATATTTCAAATTAAAAATAATTATTTAATAATTCATAATAAATTAAAATCATGAAATAAAACTATGAGAATATTTTCGTTAATCTTAAAAGTTCCAAACTGCTTGCAGAAAATGAAGAAATTTGCAAACAATTTTGTTTATTCAATAAAGTAACACAGAAAGAAATAAAGCGAATAGATTGCATAAGAACAACGTTCTGTTGTTGTCATATGTACATATATGTATAATAGTACTCGCATCTATTTCAGTGTAGAGAGTATTTGCCCCAGACTGAAAAGCACACACCCCTCTACGTACCTCCTACGTACCGCATGCGGTGGCAATGGCCCCCATTGACCCGTCTGGAGGAGCGAATGGTATGGTAATGGTATGTGCCCAGTTTACTAAAAACCCAAACACAAATAAATGTCTTAGCCGCTTTTTAGTTTTGCTTTGCTCTGTGGGCTGTTTTTGGGGGTACGAGTATTTCGGGGGGTTCGGCTTGGCATTTTATTGTGTATTTTATTGTGTTGGGTTGTGCGTTGTGCGGTTTGATAACCCGATATAAATCTGCAAAATGCCGCAGTCCCTCACACGCGCAGCACTCGCAGCACTCGCAGCAGTCCCAGACTCAAGTCATTCACTCGGCTCTCGGCACTCGGCAGTCTCCTGCCTGCATTGGGCTAAAATTTGGCTTGGTTTTTGTTTGACTTGGATGTGGATTTGGATCCGTTTCGGATTCGATTTAGATTTGTTTTTTTTTTGGTGGAGAGGGGCTAATCGCACGTCCGACGCTCTTCACAGAGAGAGAGAGAGAGAGAGAGAGAGAGAGCGAGATCCATTCCATTTGTGGCTTAAAAGGAAGGCAGCCTGGCATGAATGCCTGGCATTCAATTTGTGTGTCGGCGCTTTGAATTTTTCATCGGACACGTCAATAATGGCCATTACTCAATTTGCGTATTTATTTCCTTATTTATTTATTTATGAAGAGAGGAAACCCAGAGCCAATCTCCCTCTATCTCTCGCTCTCTCTCTATCTCTCTGGGGGCTTTATTGTCGAGTGTATCTGCTGGATACGAGTATCTGCTGGATGCATGTTTTGTGCTGATGCTGCTGCTGCTGCTGCTGCTGCTACCTTTTGGGTGCTCGATGAAGATAAATTAATTTGCACAAATAGCCAAATGATGGGGCCAAGGGTCGGGCGGGTCGAGTGTGCCCCCGCCCCATAAATATTTACATAAGTAATCAAGTGGACGAGGGTCATCGATGACCCGCTCTGAACGGCACTGCTCTCCTCTCCTCTCTCGTATAAATAGCCGCCACAAGTGTTCAAATCAAATTCGAGACTCGAGACTCAAGTGACAGGCGGCAGTGCGGTAAGGGGCGGGGGCGGGGCGTGTGCGGGTATCCACGAGCACCACACACGAGTGGGGATTGAAATGTGAAACATATTTGGGGCTCGTTCATTCATCAATCTAATCCATCATTTTAGAATGGGTCTGAATGGGTGGGTGGGCGAGTGGGTGAGTGGGTAGCTTTTGAGGCATCCCTGGGAGCTGTCGCTGTCTGGCGGCGCCATTCCCAAAATGCTAATGCGGCGATCGGGTGGACGCTCCTCTCCCTCCCTCCCTCCCCAGCGGAAGTTTCCGCAAAATAAAATGAAAAGTGAATCCAGCGCAAAGTCTATTCAATCTTCATTCCCAATTCCAATCGCAGCCACTGCCATTGGCAGGGGATTTTCTGTAGCCATTCTGTAGCTGTAGCCCACCTCTGTGACCCACCAGGGCTTTTGTGTGGTGCTTCATGCGGGGGCGGGGGCAAACAACTTTGACGCAGGCACGGAACATAAAATACAACAAAAATAAAGGAGGAAAAAAAGCTGAGAGAGCCAAAAGAAAAGTAAAAATTGCAGCCAAGGTTAGGGCAGGACTTGGAGATGACAGCGTGACAGCCGATGGGCAGTCACGGAGATCCACGGCGAGTGCCAAGTGGGGCAAAAGACTGGCCAACCGCTGGCCAAAGCTGCCGAGGGCCGCAATTAGAACCACCAACAAAGCATCTTTTGGGTTGACTGTGACTCCTGCCCGCATTCGAATTCGCATTCACATTCGCATTCACATTCACATTCGTCGTCCATTCATTCAGCCATTTGCACACTCAATTCATTCACACTCAGTCGGTGGCAGGAGCACCGCTCCTGGTCTGGCCATTCATTACATGGGCATGGCTGACTCGTAAATACATACACACACACACACACACACACACACACCAAACGGGCAGGGTGGCAGGTAGGCAGGGAGGCAGGGAGGGGAGAGGTGAGATGGCAGCGAAAAGGAATCCCTGGCCCGCATTGGATTAGTAGCGAAATGAATAGCTGCAGTTATCCTGCCCTGCCCTGCCCTGCCCTGCTTTGCCCCAGACTCTGGTCTGCTTCTCCAGAGTTCCGGCTTGGCTGGCAGGCTCTCTGGGTCCTGCATTTTACGAGCATATGTGTGTGTAAGGCTGGCCATGTGCATGTGCATGTGCATGTGCATGTGTGTGAAGGTAAGCAGCCATGTCTTACATGCACCCAGAAAGCAGAAGAAGGTGGATGGAGGCTCCAGTTTTATGAATGCTCAACGATTTGCCACCAACAAATCTCCTGGCATCGCCTGTTCCCCTTCCCCTTCCCCTTCCCCGCCTGCTCACATTCGGTCACTTTTACACAGAAACCATTTAATTTGAAACCAGCAACGAAGCAACACAGCAACCAGGCAGCCTGGAGCAGCAGCAGCCGCAGCCGCAGCCGCAGCAGCAGCAGCAGGAAAGCCCAGCACAAAAGCCAGTTGAGGCACAAATTTGTGTTCTTTCAGTCCCTCCCCATAATGTCTCATCTTTTGGCCATCAAATCGGGTGCAGGTACGGGTACGGGTACGCCTCCCTCCCCCTCCGCCCAAGGCGACTCAAAGATGTCTGTGACACCTCGAAACTATTTGAAATTGCTTAAATAGAGCTGTGGGCGTGGGCGTGGGCGTGGGTGTCCCTGAACATGATGTAATTACGGGGGCTACAGCTGATCCGAAGAGTGAGCCAAGTGTGTCCCCCGTGTTTGATTTGATTACTGGCCAAGTTGGGGGCATCGAGCACCAATAGATTTGTGGAACTCTAACACCAATCGCTGTTCAAATTACACGCCTAAGCAGGTGGCTGGGGAAAACCCTTCAAGCACGTGTTTCAAGGCTACTTTTTGCTCACACTCGGGCGAATTTGAGTTCTTCTTCACTGGGAGAACTCTGCGCATAGAGGGGGGACTCCCTGCTATTAGAGGCAGAGAAGATTTCCATTTAATGACGAGTGAATAATAAATTGTATGTGTAAGTCGAACGATTTCCCTTCGATATCTTTTGTATGTTTATTCTATTTGGAGTTCGCAAAAAAAAAAGAGAGCCTTAATAAAAAAATGTATGTATGTATGTATGTATGTATGTATGCAGATGTGGCTAGAGATGAGAAATTCAGGCACATTTCATCCACCCACCGCACACATTGAGGATGACTTGTGCCGCTCGAGGGGAGAAATACTTAGGGACAGGCCCACTCAACTGTGTCCGACTCTCCGGTCTCTCGGGGGGACAGCAACAATTGTTTTCAATTTGATTTTGCAGCAAAGTGGAGCCCCGAGTGTGTGTCTGTGGCTGTTCCTCCATATGTCACAGTATCCTCCTGCTGCTCCTGCTGCTCCGGGGGGTAGGGTATGGTACGGTAGGGAGTGGAAGGCCTTCAGTTCGAGTCGCCTCCAACAACCTCAAACTCCTGATCATCATCAGCATTATCATCATCATCATCATCAGCTTCATGGCTGTCGACTGCTGCTTCAGTTGCCAAAATGTCGTTGGCCACAGTTGATGGCTCGGTTTCGGTTTCGGTTTCGACTTGGTTTAGTGCCTGCGGCGAAAGAGCCAAATGGAAATGGGTAAGGAATGTGGCAGGCAACGTATGGCAGGGGAGGAACATACATTGGGAGCCAGCTCGGTTGGACTCTGCACCTCGTCCTTGCCAGAGTCAGCTCTGACTCCAGTTGCAGGCAGCCCCAGCTGCTGGCCCTGCTCCTGCTGCTCCTGCTTCTGCTCCTGCTGCTCGTTACGCTCTGGCATGCTTATTGAATTTAGCTTAGCTGTAGCAGCCCCTGGTGCCCCCGCCTGCGGCACTTCAAGGTTGCGTGGCAACAACGGCTGCTTCCCGGATAATGTGTCTGCGTTTTTGGGGGCATAAAATTTAACGCACCGTCACACACAAGGGGAGCGCCCAAGAACTCACTCAAATCCACATGATAGCCCAGATGATCGGCCCGGTAGAAGACGGTGGAGAACTGCTGGTTCGGCAGCGGGAACGAGTAGTAGCCCTTCCGGGCCAGCACCAAGTCCTTGCCCACGGGCAGCCAGTAGGCCCGTTCGTAGCGAGTGTTTCCATTATCCAATTGGTATCTGTAGGAGCAGAGTTAGCAGATGCTTGAAGGGACTATGGGCTCCTACCTGAACTCGTATTGTCCATCCACTGAGCGCTGGTCGAAGCTGTCCACCAGTCGAGGCATTGCCTCTGTTGTGCCCGTCTGGTGGGGTATTTGGGCGGGCGGAACTGGAGGTGTCTGAGGTGGAGCCACCAGCGGTGGCCAGTGGTGCAGTCGGTCCGGCACCTGCGTTGTGGGACGTGGCGTACGGGCCGTCGTTGTGCGCCTGGGTCGCCGGGTGTAGCGTGCATCGGCGGGACTGAGGAGACTGAGCACTACCACCAGTAGCCCCATCAGGCAGCAGAGCTTCAGGCTCTGCTCGAGTGGACAGATCCGTTGAGACGAGAACATCTTGTCGTTCAGACTTCAAAATGTTGTAATTGATTGTGCGGCAGTGGAGTTCGCCCGGGGCCTTATATATACCCCCAAAAAACGAAGCGACCACTCGAGTGAAGCCTTTTGGCACTAAAGATGAAAAATGCGCAAAGGAAAGGTCTTCCTCCCCCCGCCCTCTGTCCCGACAGGGCCATATGGATGGAGCCAAAGAATACACGTAATAAACTTCTCTTTCCCTCACACGTCAAAGGCAATGATTTGGCAATGCCTGGCGACGCCTCCTCCTCCTGCTCCTCCTGCTCCTATAGCTCCTATAGCTCCTCCAGCTGTTCCAACACCCAAAAAAAACGCCATCGCTCCATCGCTCCATCACACCCTCTTGCCAACGAAAAGAAGAAGTCTTCTGTTTCTGTTTGTGAGGCGTCACGATGCCTTTGTGATTTTGACAGCATTTGGGATTGTCGAATCCTTGGACCCTGCTCCCTGTGCCACCCTCCCGCTGACTGCCTCTGCCCCCTCTCTGGGTTGGTTCTTTGCGGCCTGTTTACTCCGTTTGTTTGTCGGACTGAACTGCTTGTTTGTTGCGCCGCCTGGCAGGCGCAAAGTGTGTCAGAGCCAGATGCAGGGTCGCCCATCCAAGTCGCGTCGCGTCGCGCCGCCCCGCGTCGAGTCAGCCATCGACATGGTTCATTGACCAGCGACATCACCGCGTCACCGTCACCGTCACCGACATCGTCCACATTGCTATCGACATGGCCCATCTTCATTGCCTTCTTCAGTCTCTCTGGCTTTGGTTTTGGTTTTGGTTTTGGTTCTTTTCTGTTGTGGGTTTGTGTTGGTCATCGATTCGGTGATTGCAGCAGCAGAAGCAGCAGAAGCAGCAGCAGCATCAGCAGGAGGAGCAGCGTAGGCGGTCACCATACTCTCCTGCTCATCGACATTCCCTTAATTGTTTAACCCTCGAGTGGGTCTGCGATAAATGCCAGACACACGTCAGACAGGGCCAGGGAGGACTGGACTTCTTCATCTGCCATTCATATGCGGCCGAATATATATTTATGCTTTTCTTTCTCAGTGATTTCGATTCTGATTTGACAGCCGCTTGATTGTTCCCAATGAGAGAAGAAAGGAAATTTCCTTCTTTTGTCTATTGTTCGGTTGAATGGAAACATCTGATTTGGGCCCAGAACACATAATATCAATGGACTAAATACTCGTGTTCCTACAGTACGAGTTATAATTCCATTCCATTCCAATTTGACTTATTATTCGCCATTTCACATGTTGATTGGGGCATTGACTGATGACTGTTTTCCCTACACTATTTACTCATTCTTTTTTTGCTCAAATCTAATTTGATATTGATATTGATTTGAGGATTATCGATGGGTTGCAGTTCCCAAATAAAATGGATGAGTATCCAAATGATTATTTTGGATACATTTAACGATTTAAACACTTTTTAAAATAATATTAAAGGGAATTTATCGCTTGGAATTCTCACATAAAAGTCCAAGTTTATCTATGGACATATATTCCAGCTTATTATTGCCTGATTGATAGCTTTCAGCTGTGATTGATTGATGATTGACTGTTGAAAAATGATATTTTAAGCACTGACCAATAAAATAAATGCGAAAACTAATAAAATAAAATAAAATAAAGTAATAATTAATTGACAAACTCCACATGTGCATGTTCGAAATGTAATTCTGTAATTTATAGCACTTATCGATCGCCGCGAGTGCCGTTGGCTAAATGATGCCGCGCGGGCCGCATCAGGGTTAAGCAGCTACAGTCGCGGCTCCCGCAGCTCCCGCAGCTCCCGCAGCTCCGGGCGGATAGTCACTTAGGCAGATTAAATTCTCCAGTCCGTCAACTTGAATGCGTAATTAATAAATGTACAAAAATGTATTCGGAAATAATTTGCATCTGCTTCATCTGCTATCTGCCGTCTGCTCCTCCTTCCCCCAGCCCCAGGCCCAGCCCCAGGCCCAGCCCCAGGCCCAGCCCCAGGCCCAGCACCAGCCTTCCCCTCTAGTTGAGGTGCCGCTAACGGTGCTCAGATCCGTTCAGATTCTGATCTGAGATCTTATCGGGTCGCCGCAACGCATTCGTTTGCCTTTTTATGGCATTCGCTGGCATGGCATTCGATTTAAGATATTTCTCATGTAAATGCCAGAGCAGGCATCATCACTCGTAAAAAGGAGTTCACATGGGCAACGACGACTGCATTTTGGGCGAACGCGGAAGAGGGATGCAGCCAGAGGGAACAGCACAACAAACTAATAAATATTTTTACCCACATAAGTATAAAATATTGTTTAGATCCGAAACCAAAAAATGGCAAGCTCAGCGCTGGCAACAACTGTGTGTCTGCCCTCTGCTTACCCTCACTCTCTCTCTCTTTCTCTCTCTATATGTGTGTGTGTGTCCTTGGGTTTCTCTCTCTCTCTCTCTCTCTCTATCCCTGCGTGTGTTCACAATATTTCATTTCCCATTTACCCAATAGCCAAACAACCGAACTGAACCGCACCGCACCGAACCGAACCGAACCGAGAACAGACCACAGTCCTCATTCGTGAGCCCATGGCTCCATGGGGCCCCACCCATCGCTGGCATTTTCAAGTGTCTAAGCCATGAATTTATATTGCTCGATTTCGATTTAAAAGTATTTCGGTTACATAATCTCAGCATTTTTATCACATTCCAGCACTGTTTGATGGCTCAAGGCAAACTTTTGCTACTAGATTCCCGCCATTCAGACCATTCAGACCATTCAGACCATTCAGACGGACCTCTGCACTCCCCCCATCCATCCACCCCACTCCCTATCCATCTTGTTGTGGTGTAAATTGCTCAATTATAGGCAAGTTTGTATCTGCGCCCATGTATCTCTGTGTTTCTCTGTGTATCTGCGCATCTTTGTCCGTTCTGTGGCTCTGTGGCTCTGTGGCTCCCAAAGTTTGTTGAAAAGTTTCACTTTAAGTTGATTACTTCATGATTTTCAACTGGCCAAACAGCACTTTCTGCTGTCTCTGCGGAAAATTTGCACATTACTCAGTCTACAGAGAGAACTACGAGTGGCACGACTATTCGTACGCGACTATGTGGGAATGTGAATAGCCGGGGGAGGGGGCTGGGTGGCGGGTTCTCGGAAATAGTTCAAATCTCAGTATGAATGTGGCACAACGAAGCTTTAAATGGGGCAGGGCTAATGCCACGAGCAAGGCAAGCAATTGATTCCAAAATTCCTCACGGCTTACGATGCTTTAAACCGGAGTGAAATAACATTGCGACGGTGGGGTGGATCTGATACATTAGCAGATATCAATCCACAACAATGTACAAAGCTCGACATTTTCTTACATACACTCGGAGGAAAGAGTATACCTTCTGGTACAGAGACTTTTTAGTACAAATATTGTGAAATTATTATTTATTTTTTAATTCAAGATTAACAATTATGTGCTAACATATAGGTATGTACACGTAAAATGATTAAAATAAATACAAATTAGAAGGTTACATGTAAAGGTAACATTTATGTTGGTGGTAATAATTTCAAGGTATGATTAAAATTATTATACGTATGACATAAAATTCTAAGAGGGTCGTGTTGAGCGTAAATTGACCTGCAGCGGGGTAGGTCTAGGGGGAACAGAAAAGTTAATCTAGCCCAAAAGTGATTGGGATCCCCAGTAGGAGCTTGTGCACATTAAAAATTCAGCGATGGTGCAATGAAGTTAGGTCTAAGAGTCTAAAACACCCTTAGCTGTTGCGGCTATAGGGCTATTAAAACACAGTTTGTTATCAAAAAGAACACCAAGGCCATTTGAACTCGAAGTTCGAAGGTGAAATGTCACAAGTTTGCATTTAGAAATGTTCAGAAAAGGAAGATTATTTGAACACCAAATTGATAACTCATTTGGGTCGAGTTGAAGGCGTGTGTGCAAGTACCAATCAGAGTAGGAGAGACAGACTTGAGCATAATCAGCATACATAAGCAGTGCAGTGTAGTGGAGTTCGCGTATTTTGTAACTGGAGAAAGTTCCGCACACTGATAGAAAAGGCATAGTAAAAAAAACTACATTCATATTTGAATTTAATATGCGATTTTTAAATACACACATAGAAAATTAAATAGAATTCACTTTGATTCAAATATAAATGTATTAAAATGGCTTTTTTAATGCGGTCATATTTAATCTAAATACAAAACACTTAAAAATAACTATAATATATTAAATTTGTAGATTAATATGTTTTATATTTAAATTGCATATTATTTTGACTTGATTTCAAAATTTTTTTTTTTAAATCCAGAGGAAAACTTTTTATTTTAAATATTCCATATTAAATGAAATGAAAAATTTTTTTGTATTTATTTTAAATATGTTTATACTATTTTTTTTATGTCCCTCGAATTCCCAACGGGTTCGCACTGCTGCAGCCTTGAATACACAGTTAAATTATCTTTGTGCAGGGACATAATCACTACCATGGCAATTCTACTCATGTTGCGGTTATTTCTAGTTGAAAACTTTAACCAATTTACACCATGAGGACTTGAAGTGTAGTCCGCAAAGGCAAAAAAATAACCAATTAGTTCAAAAATGAAATATTTCAATATAAACATCAACCATATTAAATTTAAGCATAAAATATTTTTAAATTAAATATGAAACATATTAGATTTAAATATTAAGCATATTAAATTTAAATATGAAACATATTAAATTTAAATATGAAATATATTCAAATTAAATATTGTCATATTAATATCAAAATGTAAGTGAAAAATATTCAATTTTAATACAACCACTCTTGGATGAAAATCAATGGCATACATATTAAAATTTAAGTGAAAATATTAAAATTTCAGGGCTTTTTTCTATCGGTGCACATATAAAATAAACAGAAGTGGACCTTCCCCGTGGATCTAATTAGAATTTACTTTGATTAAGTGATACATGTATTATAAAGTATTTCTAATATTCCCCAATTTAAATTTAAAACACTTCAAAGTAAATAAAATATGTTACATACATAGGGTAGGAAATGGTATTTATTTACATATTTTTTATTTACGAAATGGTAGCCACTGACACCGTAGCCACAGTACAATTAATGGTTATTTGCCAGCCCAACAAGGCCTCAGGCTGTGCATAACTAATCTAAATATAAAAAATTTAATTAAAATTTGAAAAGTATTTATTTAATATATGAAGTATGTACGTACATATATGTAGATCGAACATTTTAATATTAATCAGGCAGGCTCCGGTTTTCATTTTCCCAAAAATGTTTGATTTACTTTCAAAACGAAATGTTTGGCGCTCCCGTTTCCGCATTCGTAAAACGCAAGACTTTTCCGCATTCTCAGGGTTTTTTCTCTGAGTGTAGACTTTTTCCATTACATATTTACGCAATGAAATTACAAAATGTGAAATTGGTAATCAAAGAAAATAGATATTCACTTTAACAATTTCCATAGTCTTTAATCTTCTTGAATCTTGATCAATTTAAGTACCAAACCTTGCAGACTAGTGTATTTTCCTGTGGCACACTCGGTACTGAGTACTGAGTCACACGCCAGCAACCAGCAACCGGCAACAGCGATCAATCGCTAAAAGTTTTAAAACGTGAGCTAAATGAACCTGTTTCTGTGCTCTCTCCCCTCCCACGCTGTGCTGTCGCTGGCAGTGACTATTTACATATGTATATACATATGTACATACATGTATACATATGTATGTATGTATATCCCAAGTTTTGGGCTATAAAGCCACGCGCAAGATATGCAAATAGAGGAGAAGGCAACATGAAGTACTACAATGAAATTTTTGTATCTTTTTACTTTTCAAATGCAAAGAAGACGCGACGCGTTGCGTCGCGCCGCGCCAATTGAGAACTTTTCCCTCTCTCCATCTATCTTTCTCTCTCTCTCTCTCTCTTTGTCTCTGAGTTTCTCTGATTCTCTAACCTTGTTTTGTGCTTCTCTGCCCCGCTCTGCTTTTTGTTGATTTAGGCAAATTCGTATTTAAGCAAGAGCCAAGAAAGTTTTGGGGGCGAACGGCACGGGGACGTGGACTTGGGACAAAACGGATGTGGATTGTGGGCAGCCCAACCCCTTTTGCTGGCTTAGCCCAAACAATTTGCCCGAAATTTCTCGTCCGTCTTGGGAGATTCGCGAAATCAACAAAAACAAAAACAGAAACCGAAAAACAAGCATGAAAAAATACGACTAAACGATACCCAATAAATCTAAATAATATGGGAATTCTAGGAAGAATTTCGCTGTGAAAAAATATGAAATTGTTTTTTAATTTATAAATAAAATATATTTTAGCTCCAATTGAATACAAAATGGTATGAAACAGGGCACATACCCTGGTCCAGTAGGAGGAGTACTGGGTATGCATAGCAAAAATACTGAAGCACAGGAGGAGAGCGAAGAGCGAAGAGAGAAGAGGTAGAAGAAAAAGACGCTTCATCAGTAACAACAATGACAGCTAACAAACAACCGTTAAGTGCCGCAACAAATCGCCAAAAATTGAAAACTGTGGGAATACCACGAACCACGTCAGGGACGCCGCAAAAGCCACACAAACAAACAAAAAAACAAACAAACGAGAGAACTCACACATTGCCACAAATCTTGTTTGCTGGCCCAACAGCGAGAGAGAGAAAGAGTAGAAGGTGGAAGGAGGTACCGTACATAGACATAGGTATATAGATGGAGGGAGAGGGAGAGAGAGAGGGAGAGAGGAGCAAAATAAAAGACAATAAAAACAAATAAAAAGTATTTTGAAATGCCATTTGAATTAAACTTGAAACGAAGCTCAGATCACGTCGAGAGAGAGGGCGGAGGAGAGCCAGAGGAAGCAGCACCAGAAACAAGAAGCAAAAACTGAAACAAGAACACGGGAAGACACGAAGAAGCAGGAGCCAACAGCGTCAACAAGGCAGTGATGACTGTACCTAGGGATGGTATCGAGAGGATGCCGAAAACTCTCTTAGGAGATTTACTTTATATGGAATGACTTAAGTATGTTCTGAGAGGAATCCAAATGGTGACTCTATATAGAAAATTGGATACCCTCAAGCCAGATGCAGATCATTGCCCTTTAAATTAAAATCTCTTTTATTTACAAACGTGCACAAAAAAATATAATTATATCTGAAATTAAAATGTTCTTCCAGCTCGATCAACTTGTGTTGCTATCGATGGCTATCGATGGCTATCGATGGCTATTGAAGCAATCAACCTGTGGCTGCTCGTTGCGACGCACGCTGGGCGCTCGCCTCAGATACGCCACTGAAATGTGTTGCAGCCATTAGTGGCACCATTAAACCATTTGCGCAGCTAACTTCACTCACCTGCCAGTGGCTGATAGCCATTGATGTCGGAGCGGTAGCAGCGCAGCTCGTAGCGCGTGCCATGGCCGAGGAGGCGCGGCTGCACGTAGAAGCCCTCAACCACACGGCTGTGCAGCTCCTCCGAGTAGAAGCCGCGCTCCCAGCGCCGAACGCCATGCGGCAGGGAGTAGCTGGAGCGGAAAGCGATTATCAGTATACCATCCACAATTAATTGATTAACAACTAAGCAAAAACTGAGCAAAGCATCGCAAGAATTATTATGGGTGTTTATGGATGGTTGCCATGTGAGTATCCAATTAATCAAATCGGGAGAACAATTGTTTCCGTTTCGTGTTTCACATTGTGGGGATTCATGGATAAACTGTCAGTCTGAAGAGCACTCCATCTCCATCTCCATCTCTGCTGCACTCACCCAAAGATGTAGCTCCCATCTTCGTTGAGGTCGTAGAAATTATCACGCCACGGGTTGTAATCCTCCTGCTCCTCCTCTGCCTCCTCTGCCTCTGGCTGTGGTTGCGGCTGCGGCTGCAGCTGCAGCGGAGGTGCTGGCCCCGCATCCGGCTCCTCCTCTTCACTGGAGGAGCTTTCATCCTCCTCCTGGGACTCCTCTTGCTCGCCGGAATCCGAGTCGTCGTCGGCTGTAAACTGAGCCCTGGCCTGTGCCCCCGAGGTGGGTGCCACAATGCCGGGCCTGCGCTGGCTAAGCTGCGAGAAGGGTGTCGCGGCCAAGGGGGCAAAGGCATTGGCCAGTTTTTCTCCCAGCAGCTGCGTTAGCTGCTCCTTCATTTCGCTGCTCTCGTTGTTGTCGTTGTTGTCGTTGTTGTCGTTGTTGTTTTTGGTGGCATCCTCGAAACGCTCGAAGCTCTCGCCACCAAAGTTGGGCGTTTGCAGCTCCAAAGGCGGCACCCGGACCGGACTCTGGCTCAGGGATACGCCCAGGAAGAGGAGCAGCAGCAGCAGCACTGGGGGCAGCGAATGGATCCGCGACGGATACTGACCTGATGCCATGTTGGGTGGCTGTTGACTGCTGTCCCACATTGATGGCCGGTTTACTTTTATATATGAACGGATCGGCGGGGGCCCATTCACACGGGCTGCCCCACAAATCAGCGTATCTGCCGTATCAGCCGAGTGCATAAATTTATGGCCAACAAAGCAAAGCCAAAAGCGATGCGATGCTCGCTACAAATTTGCATTTTGCAGCAGAGTGACTCTTCGCAGCGTCGCAGAGCGCCAGAACCAGAGATATCTGTCAGACCACAGCGCCAGATCCAGCACCAGCATCAGCGCCAGCGCCAGCGCCAGCTCCTGCTCCAGCGCCAAATGGAGAATTATGTGAATTCGATACGAGTTGTGATTGTGACGCCTTCGGGTCTGTCTGTCTGTCTGTCTGTCTGTCTGTCATCCAAATTCTGTGTGTGTGTGTTTGTCTGTTTCCCACCTAATTGGGTCAATCGCAACAAGCGCAATGCTTCCGCTTCTCTGAGTTTTGCTCTCGAATGGGAATAGCCGCATATTGCCTACTTTCAGGCTCAGCCACTGGCCACGGCCAGAGGCATACTTTCAGGCGGTTGCCCGAACTCTGCCAGCCACCCACTCCCAGGAGATAATCCCAAACAAACGCTCCATTGTTCACATTTCCACAAATGAAATTTTATTCGATCGCATTTCAATTTATTTTACACACTCAACACACACACACACACAGACACAGACACAGACACATAGATACTCGTACTTGTAGTCAGCCACACACAAATTTCGCTCCCATATCCATTTTTAATCTACGATTTTCCATATTCCATGCTGCCTTTCTTTTTCTTTTTTTTTTAGTATTTATTTTAATGTTCTTATGTGTATTACTTTTTTTTGTCGCTTGACAATTTACAATTACAGTGCTGCAGTCATTTAAACAAAACAAAACAAAACGAAAACCAAAAACCATAAAATTTCTGCCATACTCGTCCGCTTTTGTTCTCTGTAGTTTTTCCTTTGATACTTTTAGTATTTATTTATGTATGTATGTATGTATGTATGCGTATATATTTATTTATTAATATATATATAAAAAAAAATTATCATACATTTACTTAATCTACGCAATGCTGACTTATAGTACGAATAGTTTTTCACTTTTCCATTTTCTGTTTTCTGTTTTTTTTTTCGTTTCTTTTTTTTGGGGTTAATTTTTGTTGCTTAACTTAGTTTCATCATTTCTTTAGTAAAATCGCTAGATTCCTTTCATCCTTAAAAATTGTAGCTAGAAAAAGGGGTTCTATGGCTGTCAGGGTTCAGGGCTTATAACAACACACATACAAAAATCATTCAACAATTACAATAACTAATTCATATAATTTATATAAAAAGCCTAACAGAAAGAAGACATGACTGAATGAGGGAACTGATCTGTTCCTCAGTTGTATGTACAATCGGAGCAACAGGCAGGACCCAGTCTTTGGCCCTGGATTATGGCTAACGAAACGAATCTGATGGTAAGAGTTGGCACAGCAGCTAAGATACAGATACAGATACATTTGGGTAAATTCATTCCTCTGGCAAAAGTTTTCTGAGAATTTTCAGTGGTCTTTCAGCTGTTTCCCTGCTCAGGTTGATAAGGGTCCGGTCTAGAACGAGTTCTTGCTCTCCCCACTTCCCTTTACTGCCCTGCCCTGGGCATGCTTTAATCACTCTAATGATTTGAACTTTCGCAAAGAGAAAGGAAATTGCAACGCTGCACCATCGGCATCGGCATTGGCACTGGCATTGGCATCGTCATCATCAACATCAGCATCAGCCTCAACCATCCTGTCGCTGTTCCACCTCCTTGTCATGGCACGTAGCTGTCTGTCGCTTCTCTTTAAATTCAATCAATCAAATGGTTTTCCCACCTCACAAATCCCGGCTCCGCCCACTCATTGTCACTGTCATCTTTATTTTTTGCCCAGCTCCCCCGCCCCCGCCCCCATCACCTTTTTTATTTTTAATTTTTTTTTATTTTGGCCCTATGCATCCGACCATTCGCACAGCTGTGACAATATTTACACCATCGAAAGCACTCAACCCACGGGGCTCATACCGCACTTAGTCCCTGGCCCTAAGCCCCCTCCACCCACTAAAGCCAACCACATTACGGTGACCATGCTAATTGTGGACTGACAGATTCGAGAGCCCCCCCTGACAAGTCCTCCGGAATTGACACAACCAGCAACGAAGGGGGCACGGGGAGTGGCGAGAAAGTTCCACGGGTCGCATCATCAAGTGGGCAAATCTGTGGCCAGCTAATTTATCTAATTGAAAAGGATTTGGATACCAGATGAGGTGACAGATTGCTGCATGGTTTGCCTTAAAGGTGGCTCCAGTCCCCGTCCCCAGTCCCCAGTCCCCAGTACCCAGTCCCAGTCTCACTAACGCCAACCACAAATGTGGTTGGCTTTTGATGTGCCCGTCGCAGCAAAGGACACAAATTAATTTCATAAAATCATTTAGCGTGGCAAAAGGACATGGGGAAAACTAAAAGCGACAGAGACAGAGAGATAAAGAGTGGGAAAGAGAATGAGATGGCGAAGGGGAAGGGGAAAAGGGACGCTTCAAAATCACTTAAAAAACTATTTTCACGCAAATTGCTTCGCTGCTCATGTCAGGAGTTGCAGTCACAGTCACAGCCACAGTCCGAGTCTGAGTCTGAGTCCGAGGGCACAGGACCAGCACCGGTGGAAGAACCATAACCAGACCGAGACACAGGCAGAGCCACAGAGACACGGAGACACCGACTAAGGGAGAGCACGTGCCTGTGATGGATGGACTCTCTGGTCGCGACATTCTCGTGGAAGTGCAAGTGGAAATGGACCACGTAATGCATGTAAATGAAGAAGTTTCTGCTCTGTGCCTGGCAGAGCTGCAAGAGGCGGAGGGACCCACAGACCAGGTCCACGAACATGTCGCAAAACGTTGCAGAGATGGCAGTCCGATGGAGTCCGATAGCAATGTTCCGGGACATGTTGCTCATACGCCACGTTGTCAACGGCTCTGTCTGTTTAGTGTCCGCTCAAGCCACCACCATCACTCCACCTTATGCAACTCCTCCATATGTATTTGTAGTACTGTGCTACTGCATCCCCATTGTTTTCCGCAGGACCATGTCCAGCCATGTTGCCTTCGATTGCGGTCCGCCGGAAAACAACCGGGAACAGCTCTAGCCGGCAATTCAATTGCAAAGGGGCTGTCCCTGGCCGAGGCCAACGGACTAACACATCTTCCATTTGTCGCAGCTGTCTACCAATCAGCGCGTTCGCCTACGCTGTCCTCCCTGTCCCTGTCCCTGTTCCTGTTAATGTCCTTCTCCTACTCCTGCTCCTACTCCTATTGAGTCCATTTGTGAGTAGATAGTTCAGTTGTGCCCCAAGCCTGTACAGATCTCAAATGACTGCTCAATTCGTAACTGAATTTTGGTACAACTCAGCGCTAGTTCCGCAGTTGATGCGGATACAATGCGGAAACCCCGGGAGCCCTGTTGCCCAAGCCGATACTCAAAAGAACTTTGAAAACAGATTCATGAACGTTGCTCAAATTGTAGCACCGATTCCCCTCCAGTTTGCAGCCAGCTTATAGCTGGTTATAGAACTTATATTTACTGAACTGAAATCAAGCTCTTAGATTAATATCAGATTAAGAACCATCACCGAAGCGACTAGCAAGCAATAACCTAACCAAGATGCCTCCTTTAACTTATTCGCAATTAATTCTTGCACCGATTTTGAAACAATTCTTATGAGCATAAAAAACAATTAAATTACGTTTCTTAACAATAAAAAATTTCACCTGGTTCCGGTTTATAACCACACCAGTTCCAAATTGAATTTAAATTTTGAAGCGGTTCTGCGGAGATTCGAACAGAACCGACTTAAAGAACCCATTTACCTGACTTTAAAGACAGCGGGGATGCAAAAAAAGGATGGAAAATATAAAGTGCCACAGAATGCAAACAGGATGTGTGTATGCAGAGGAGGAGGAGGCACTGGCGCTGGAACTGGAACTGGAACTGGCACAGACAGAGGCACAGGACCTGCCCCCGAGCTGATTGCGAGTTGCCGCCTCCGTGTCCGTGTTGTGTCATCAGCGTCGCTGCGGTTAATATGTTGGCTAACGTCCAGCTGCTGCTGCTGTTGCTGCTGCTGCTGCTGCTGCTGCTCCTCCTCCACTCCCCGTGGTTCCTCCTGATGTTCCTGTTGGTCGTAGTTGTTGCTGTTGCTGCTGTTGTTCTTGTTGATTGGCGGGCAATCCTTAAATGTCAATGGGACGTCATGATAATCACGTCTGGCGCTGAATTCCGTATGTCGATGAATACTTTGGACTCCTCGTTCTTTTGCTGCTGCTGCTGCGGCTGCGGCTGCTTGCCGGGCAGGATCGTTGTCTGTCCCATTCCCTGGCCATGTCCCTGGCCCTGGCCATGTCCCTTCTGAAGGCCCATGGCTGGGATTCGTGCTGCAATGCTTGGTGGATGCTGATGGGCAGGATGTGCATGATGCATGCGCTGTTGCTGTTGATGTTGCTGCTGCTGCTGTTGCTGCTGCTGTTGCTGCTGCTGTTGCTGCTGCTGCAGTTGTGTATGATGTTGCTGTTGCTGCTGCTGGTGCTGCTGGTGCTGCTGGTGCTGGTGATGGTGGTGACAGATCTCCTGTGGCGGCTTGGCTGTTGGGGTCAGCATGAGTCCGCCATAATGCGAACGGCCGCTATGTCGCTCCTCCAGCTCCATCGACTCGGGATGAATTTGCTGCTGCATCTGCATCTGCTGCTGTTGCTGTTGCTGATGTTGCATGCTGCGTCGTGTCAGTGTGCCCACCACCGGCGGCGGCGGTGTGGACTGCGGCAGCGAGGGTGATCCTTGGCCGTGTGGAGCCGGCTCATAGCCAAAGGTGGAGAAAAAGCGTGGTGGAGGTGGTGGCATCCCAACGCCCGTCACGCTGCCACCTCCCTGCGAAGACGAGCTTGACTTTTGTCTCATTAGAGTCGCAATGCCGAAGCCTCCGCCTCCACCTCCACCTCCGCCTCCACCTCCACCACCAAAGCCAACACCAGCACCCGCTCCGGGCCCGATGCCGGGACTGTTGACGAACAGAGATTCCCTGTGGAAAACGGACAAGAGAGATGGAGAGAGAAACAGTTTAATATTTGCCTGCCACGAAATGAAACGATACAAAGAGGAGAACTGCGGAATGTTCGGGCATGCGATGGGGCAGGGGCTCAGGTAAAGGGCTATGGACGTGTGTCAGTCAAAGGAAGTGAATCCGTCACACGCGTGTTTGCATGGTCTAAAAACTGCACGTTCCCTCACTCAGATATGGTAGCCACGGAGCCACGCGCTAGAGCTGTAACCTGTGACCCCAAAACTGTGACGCCAAATCATAAATAATGCCCACTGATAGATCAATTATTTAGCTGTCTTGTTTGCTCTTTAAAAGCTGATGGATGGGACAACAAAATAATATCTACCCAAATTTGTTCAAACACTTAGTCGAGAATTTATAGCTCGTATCAAAGCTTCCAAAGTAAAAGCTCCAAAAAAATAGATGAATAATTTGCAACCAGTATCTCGACCTTGATTATCGAATAAATAAATAGTCAGGCAGTTTCCGGGATATATTTACTTTTGGAAAACAGAATGTTCTGGTGCTCCCGCATTCGCAAAACGCAAACTTGTGCCGTTTTTAAAACGGAACATTTTCCCCGCCGAAATGAAAAGCAAAGTTTACACAACAAATCGAAGTTTAATGGCAAATATAAAAATTTGGATGACTTGTTGATGCATTGACATATAATTGACACCATTCCATTGCCAGCACAATTTAGCTTGGGTTCTTTTTTTAAAATACTTTTCTGTAACCCAACTGCAAAATTGGTCAGGGCAAGAACACTTTCCGCTCTCGTGCCAACAGCTGACGCAGCCCGATTTGGTTATCGGAGCATCGTAATAAAATCTCTGTTACTCATAGCAGAGGATATTGCAGGAGCAATACACTGAAGTGTGTTGCCCAACATCACTAAATTGTGCTCTAAACAGGACATGAGAAAATATGTCACTTCGATCACGTCGATCACGTCGAACATTTGCGAATACCGGAGCGCCTAAAAGCGAAAATAAAGCGGGTTGGTTGAAAATGTAAAACGCAAAACTAAGTGAAACCGGAGCCTGCCTGAATATGCCTGAACCATAACTAACTCAAAACAAATTACACACTGCGAAGCACTTCGTTCGCCCTTTTACGCGGGTCTGCTGTACGTTTCAGGCATCCATTTCCATTCCATCAAATCGAATAGGTTCATTTCACAAATAAAACCCAAAATGATCTGTGACAGTTGCCAAACTGCGATTCCTGCAGGGAGCGCAACATTTCACTCCCCGCTTTTTCGTATCTCTGCCCAGTGCCAGTGCCAGTGCCAGTGCCCCATGCATCATCTACATCGCGGGGCACGTCGGCATTGTGTCACTCCGTTCCCCGATTGTCATCCACTCCGCTTGCATGTGACTGTGCCAGTACCCCAGCCCATACCCTCCCCCCCCAATACGCTGTTCTGCCCACAGCTACAGCTTCAATTGTCTACGCATAGCGTGACGCCCGTCCCTTGCCCGGGCAGGGGCACGGGCACGGGAACCTGTCTCCATATCCAATAAAGACGCATGCAAATACAAATATTTGCATCGATTTGTGTTGTACAAGCGACAGGCGTCGGCATCGGCATCGGCATCGGCGTCTGCTCGGTGGAGCGCTCTCCTGTGGACTCCACGGACTGGTTCCCACTCCTATAATCCCAGTGCCAGTCCCCACACAGCCGGGCGACCAAAGCCAGAACCAGAGCCAGAGTCAGAGTCGGAGCCAGGGAGTCACCACAACCAGAGAGCCAGCTCGACATTGTCATTGTTTTTAGTGTTTGGCCAGCGTTGACTTTGCAATTTGCTGGCATCTATTTGACTACACATATGCTGATGATGACCAGGAATGTGCCAGACTCTGACTCTGACTCTGACTCCACCCCCCATTGGATGAATGTGAGTACAGTCGTGTCCCTGTTACTGTTCCTGTTCCTGTTCCTGTCCTCGTGTCCGAGGACCACTCACCTCGTCTGACAGCCCATATCGCAGGCATTAACTGGTGCCGCCGACATGGCCGCCTTTGTCATCATCTCGTGCGTGTGCGTGGCCGTTGTGGTCGAGCTCGACTCACCATCGTCGCCAATGCCGATGCCGCATAGACTCGTTTGGGTCATGTCTGGGTGGCGTCGCAGAATGCTGTGCTCCTTCTCCTTGAAATCGGCTTTGCTCGATTGCGTCGATATGGGCACTGCCTCTCGATAGTAGCGGTTCGAGACATCGTCCAGTATTTGCAGCGAGGTCTGCGAATGTTTTTGCCTGTGGGGGAAAGAGGAAAGAGAGCAAATTCCAAAAAATTATGGATTTTATTGAAGAATTTTGCTATTTTGCTATTTTGCTATTTTGCTGTTCTCTCTCTCAGTTGTTTGCTGCTCAAAGGGGTACGTACAAATTTTGTTTGGGGGCAAATTATGAGCTTTGAAATTGAGGGGTCTTTTGTGCATTTGTTTGCTGCCTTTGACTGCCCCCTATAGGGACAAGTCGAACTGGCAGAAAGTCACAAATGCATTTCGTTCTCTCTCTGAAAATACGTACAATGGTTGAGGTAATGCTCAAGGGTGGGGCAGTGTTCCACAGCGAAAAGATTTGCACAATGGAACCCCGTGGAACCCCCCAGAAATGCCGCCACCCCTGCTTGCTGTATTTAAGGGTAATGGATCGGTCTCTCCTTGGTGTCAGTCAGTCACAGCTGCAGTCCGTTCACATCTGGGTTATTATCAAACAATCAATGGGCCCTCTGCCCTTTATCGTCAAGTGATTCCCAGCTGTCGTCTGCCTCATTAGCGCACATTGCGTATACGCAATGTGGGGGGAGGGGGAGGGGGCTCTGTCGCTCGCTTTGAGCTTTAATGAATCGGAATCGAAATCGGAATCGGAATCAGCTGATGACTTACCTTGATATGTTCTCGCGCGAACGAGCCTTGGAATTGCGCCCCATCTCGTCCAGTTTGCTCTCCTTTGACTCACGAATGTGTTCCTGTCGGGGCCAAGATCCAATGGGGAGAGAGACAGAGACAGAGAGAGAGAGAGAGAGAGGGCGAAAAATGGTAACCAATATAATAAGCATAACAATAAATATTTTTAATTAATTTGGCAAAGGGATGAGGCCGTTATGGGAACGGAAACGGGAACGAGAACGAGAACGAGGATGTGGCCAGGCCAAGGACTCTGGCTTAAGCTGGAAGCCTGGACAAAGCTCCGATTCGAGAAATAAGTGTATCTGCAGTGCGCGTACCCATAATTTCCCTTAAAGCCCTCTGGAACCGGCAGTCGGCAACCAGCAGCCAGCAACCGGCAGCCGGCAGCCGGCAGCCGACACCTAGCACCTGGCACCACCCCTGCCTACAGTGGATTATGAAGAAGGGATGCGGTGGGGGTGGGGGTTGTTGGAGTGACGGTTCTGCTGCGGGGGCTTGCAGAGCAATTAAGCCAGTTGCCACCTGATGCCGCCAGTTCTCTCTCTTTCTGCGCTGCGGCGTGCTCAGTATTTCGCATTCTCTCCTTTGCAGTCATTAATATGTCGATTGTGTGCGAGGGAGCGAGCCGTAGGGCGGGAAGGCCAGAGAGCAAAAATCTGGCCAAGTGGGTAGGTCAAGGGAAGGGGGAAGGGGGAAGGGGGAGAGGGAGAGGGAGGGCCTGGAGCAAGGGCTGGTACAGGAGCAGCACTTGATAGCCTGCATAAAAGGAAGCGTTAATACGTAAATACATCATAATGAAGGACGAGCTCCGTTCAGGCAGAACAGCGCTGATCCCAAGCCAACCCCCCACCCCCCCCCCCATGGATACCGGCCTCACCCTGTAGCTGGACCACCCACTGCGTTAAACCACCTTAAACCAACTCAAATTGCATTCATAATGAAATACAAGGCAAACATTTGCTGCACCTTTCTTTTTCTTGCCTCTCTGCCTTTGCCCAGATCTTCCCTTCTCATCTCTCCTGTTTTTTTTGCCAATTACTTTCTCCCTGCCCCGTTTCTCTCGCTTTTCTCTGTTTATTGTAGACCATTTCCTTCATTCAGGCATTCAGTCATTCAGTCATTCATTCATGCGGCCATTCAATACCCGGCCAAGGCAACATTTGACAGCAGCGCCCCAAAGGAAAATAATAATGGGGAAAAATGGAGAACTTTTTCAATGGAAATCGCGAAGGAAATCAAACCGAATAAATATTGTTAGCTCTTTATTCACTCTCTTTCTCTGTCTCTGGTTTCCAGCATGATTTTGACCAGGGCCAGGGCCAGGGCCAGGGACTGGGCCCCAAATGTAATTGGTTTCAACTTCAATCTACAAATCTATTGATACATTTATGTATATATGTAGTACCTACATTTACAAACGAGTATATATGTATGGTATAGTATTGTACGAGATATTCATATTTTTTCGTTTATGTTTATAGCTTTTTGTGCGACATTGGTTTTGGCAGCAAATTGTTCGGCTAAAACGGTTAACTATTCACTTTAAAGCCTTCGATTCGTTTCGAGTATTCGATTGTCTGATGTATGCAGCTGATGTTGTTGCAGGTGAACAAAGTTTGTGGACCTATAAATATTACAATCTCTAGTCCCTGCGATTTCATTCCACTCATGAGCACGGCTCATCGGAACAGCAATCACAGTCGGACTGCATTTACACGATTGAGATTGAAATTATATAAAAATATTTTGATTTCTACGATTTATAATTCAATCAACATTGATTAAATTATGCATTTAGATTCAGCTTTGCGAATTTCAAATTGATAACAATGGGGAATTCAATTTGAATGGAATATGAAATATGAAACATGAAACATGAAACATATTTCCAATGGTTTCCCATTCCCCTTCGGCTTACAGTCAAAATTAAATTATCAAATCAGTACAAAATGCGCGCACAACTGTTCCGGCATACAGTATACAGCATAATTGCGGTTCTAGTGTTCTTTTGTTCTACTGATTCATTTGGCCTTGCATATCAATCATGTGTGCCGATGGATGCATTTTTTAGGGTTTTGCGTAATTTGCGTATTTATTTCACGATTCTGCTTGAATTAGTTAAGTTAAATTGAGTTAAGTAATTGCTTGGCCTATTTGAATTGTTTTTCGCAATGTGGCCTTGAACATTCCCAACTAGGGTGGATGCTCGTGCCATTCTGCAGTCATAATTAGAAGCTTAAATTAATGAGCAATAAATGCCCATGCACAAACGCATGTCCATCCCCCAGCCAGCCCAAAAGAATATCAGATGAGGTGGTTGTGGTTGGATTTTGTTCTGAATTTTGATTTGCGGTGAGCGCAGCACGAATCCAGGAGGGACGAAAAAACGAGGGACAGACGAATGTGGTTGGATTTCAGGGCAGGGACGGGCAGGACTGCGGCAGGGGCAGGGACAGGGACAGGGACAGGGACAGGAATTTCTTTTGTAGCCCGATTTTAATGATGCAGATTCAGATGCAGTTCCCGGACACAAAAACAGACACGAGCATTGTTCAGAATTCAGAATTCAGCAGGTGGCAGTTTGCAGTTTGCAGGTTGAAGGTGGCAGGTGGACAGGAGCAGAGCGAATAATTTTCACTGTTTTTTTGTTTTTGTTTTAGATGATTTTGTGAAGGAACTTGAGGGGATTTGTGCTCGATTTGGGCTTGGCTAGCACTGGCGGCGGTGGCGGCGGTGGCGGCGTCAGGGCCGGCAGTATGATGTCCAGCTCCATCGATGTGGACGAGCTGACGGTGGCCGTGCCACTCGTGCCGCTGCTGCACTGCATCGAGCTGCTGCCGGATGGACTCGAGTTGTTCGCGGGGCAGGGTCCCGTCACGAGCACGAACTCATCGTCGTCGGGCATGGTGAGGCTGTCGCTGTCGCAGCTGAAGCCGATGCCATCGTCGTACTCCTGATCCTCATCCTGATCCTCCTGCTCTTGCTCCTCCTCCTCCTCCTCCAGCTCATTGCCAGCCCCTCCTCTGCCATGGCACTGATAGTCGCTATCGTAGTCGCAGTCGTACACATCGCAGGTCTGCGCGTGCTCCTCCAACTTGGGTGTGTTCGAATCGGTATTGGAATCAAAGTCTGAATGCGGGCTGCCCACTGCGGCTTCTCCTCCAATCCTGGGCTCATTCATTGATTGATTGCCATCGCTGTTGGCTGGCAGCTGCTCTGCCAGATTGTAGGCGTAATTGCACATGAAATCGTTTTGTAATCCCACGAATATGGCGCTCTTGGGAGCTTCCAGTATGAAGGAGTCAATGTGATAGATGCGATTGCTTAGGGCTGGCACATCCTGTGGATGAAGCACAAAAAAGAGAAGACAGACAGAAGAGAGAGAAAGGGAGATAGATAGATAGATAGAGAGAGAGAGAGAGAGAGAGAGAGAGAGAGAGGAAGATATATAGACAGAGAGAGAGAGAGAGAGAGAGAGAATATCTATCACCGATTTAACCAAGAGTGAAGGAGAGAAGAGAATTTCTAGCGCAACTCTAGAGCGAGACGATTCTACATACATGTGCAGAAGACTAAGCTGTGTGTGTGTGTTTGTGTGTGAGAGAGAGAGAGAGAGAGAGAGAGAGCTAGAGGATAGGCGAAAGTGCATTCTGCATGCATAATGATGGTGGCAACTCTGGCAGCTACTTCAAAGCACAACAAAAACCAAAATATGAAGATAATATGCAGCCGCTGGAATTTCGAATTCTATTTTTGAATCAAATAAAAACCCATAACATGTTAATTTTATTCACAAAAATATCCCCAGGCAGAGCCAAAATATTTATAAATTTTATAACAATTTACAGCTCTAAATCTCTAGGAAAAAACACACTAGCCAAATATCGGAATTAAATTTAAGCTCCCTTTTTGCTTCAAATGACAACTTTAAGCCGCTCTAAGAGCCCGCATTTGTGGGACTAATCCGTAGAATAAAGCCAACTCCAAGCAATAATCATCATAATCGAATCGTAAAAGAATATTGCCATATAGTGCCAAGCATATGGCCACACGACGCACCCTCGAAGCTAATCTGATTTGGCATTGGAATCGGTTTGCCCCCTCGAATCGTGGATCTGGGGAACCGGGGACCGGGGACAGGGCGATTGGATTGCCCATCCTACGATTGTGTCTTCGGTTGGAGTGCCCTGCAGCTGTTGCAGCTGCAGCTGCTGCTGCCACAGCTCCAACAAAAGTCAACGATAATTTAATCATCTCTTCCCCTATCTACGTACGTCCCCCATTCCCATTCCCATCTACATCTACATCTATATCTAGATGTGAGTCTTGGGGCAAGTCGAACCGAACAGAGTCCGCACGGGTGAGATGCGAGTGGACACAAAGCCTCAGGGCTAAGCCGGTGAAAGGATTCAATCAGAAGTGCCAGTAGGTGGGAGCGAGTGGGAGGGTCTGGTCTGGTCTGGTCTGTCTATTCATTCCTCCCAGTGGCTCAGTGCTGTCAACTATGTACTACGTACATACATATGTATGTATGTATGTAGCATATTTGCCACTTGCAATTTGTTTTTGCCACTGCAACACTTGTCGTATGAGTGATATGCAAATGAAAATCCAATTCAAATGAAATAAAACTCAATTTGTAGGAGTTTTGCCCATAATTAATAGATATCATTGTTGCAGATTGCAGATGGTAACTGAAACTCTCTGTCACTGCACACACACACACACACACACACACACACATGGACACACACATACACATGCATACAAATAAAGACCGAAAGGCGAGACGAGGAAAATCTCTCTCCCAAGCGACAGAGCAAACAGAAATGGCGGCAGGGTAGGCGTTAGGGTAGGAGAAAGAGTTGGAGAAAGAGGCCGAGACAGCGACGTGACAAGTCGAGCCTTGTGGGCATGCTGATGACGGCCATCAAGAGAGTTGGCTTGCCACTGCCACTGCCACTGCCACTGCCTCTGTCTCCCACTTCGCCCCTCACATCCCTCCATCTAAATGGCTTTGGTTGGGCCTGCTTAGAGGGCCGCTTTCTCTGGCCTACAT